TCTCTTCACGAATTATTTTAACGTTCTTAGGTAGGCGATCCAAAAAAGACGAAAATATAAGTTAGAAGATCCAAAAATATCAAAGAGCGTAATGTTTTTTTTCATGATCAATATTTCATCGATTGCGCATTCCAGTAGAGCGCTCCGTCTTCCATTTTTGATCAGAAGACAAACACAGACGCATTTTCCGGCTCTATATTTGAACTGCATATTCCAAAGGGAGCCTACTTTCCCAGGAAAATGTCCAAGTTACTCTTCTGTTTTGCTCGGAATTGGTGGAGAGAGATTTGGTGTGTGGTATCCACGGGTCATTGAACTCTCCAGAGACCGTTTTCCTTTTTTCGCCGACGGGATCTTCGAGTCGACTAGGACAAGCTTCGGAATTGATTAATTTGACTCACGAGTTGTAGGAGTCCTGACGCAATCACGCCAACCCTCCCATCCTGGGCATCGGAAAATTTCAATTTCGTAAACCCTGGCTGTCAACATGTCTCTCTTAGCTCTGACTGCATGCGGCCAATATGTTGAGAGCGTTGATAGAAACTCTCCCGTTCTCTTCTTGTTTGTCCTCTTCTGCCTGGGATGACCGCACGGAGGCGGGTAGATGCCACGAGCGAAGTGCTTTAATCAAGAGGAGTCTTTCTTTTAGATACTTGATATCAGAAGAGAGGGTCTCTCAGGCGTTAAGACTATTCATTTTAATCTCCTGACCAGTCGGGCGCTGCTCTGAGGATTTCACCTCGCGCGTGAGATATTTGTTAAGATGTTAAAGTTTCGAGGGTGGTGGTTATTGAGTTTCAGCCTGTTGGAGTCAGAGCCTTCAGCTTTGAGTGATGCTCATTGCGGCTTGGCATCTTTCTGATTATGGTTTGCGAACATCAACAGGAAGTATTTTTTTTTAGCTTATAAACCCAGTGTACAGAGTGTGCCATAAAAGTGCAACATTCAGAAAACAAATAATTAAAACTGTTTAATGTTTTTTCTTCAACGAAATGATATTTTGTATTAAAGCTGGACTATTTCTCAATCCCCTCCTTTTTACTCCATTCCATTTGGGTCCCTAGATCCAGACCTACAATCAGTTAAGTGAAAGGGTGTAAACAATCACCTGTGATGTCACCAACTTCAGTGCCTTTTCAATGCAATGCTTAACCCAGATTCAGCATGTCCAGGCGAGAGTGGCCCAAGTAAAATGTACACCATTTCACTGAATTGATTGTATTCCTGGATCTAGGGACCCAAATGGAATGGGGTGAAAAGGAGTGGATTGAGAAATAGTCAGGGTTTAATGTAATATATAATTTCATTGAAGGAAATAAACATTAAACAGTTTTAATTATTTGTTTTCTGAATGTTACACTTTTTTGGCACCCTCTGTATACAACTCACTTACATATGGCAGAAACATTGCCGTTTGAAGTCTGCACTCATGTTAACTAGATGTTTAGTTTCAATCCTGAAGGATATCTCTAAGGAAAATATTTTTTTTTAGTTCTAAGTCCTTTATTTGTAAAATTATCATGGTCCTTTAGTTGTATAATATTATCATGGGCCGCTTGTCAATGATTCACTTCTTTGCCGCCCACTTATCGCCAGAGTCTTAAATTTACTTCTGTATCCTAACTCTGTACAGCATTTGATCGAACGTCGTCTTTTGTGACATATCCCCCTCAGGCTCGGCAGTTTGAAATCCTAGGTTTCATTATTTTAATCGTCATCCAATTGCAGATAGCCACAACCGATCTCAATTAATGTCATAACTGCCAACTCGAGTACGATCAGTTTCTCCTTGGGGCTTGATCAGACGATTGTCTGGGAGTTGTGAAGGATAGAGAGAAAAAAACCTCGGAATTGATGAGGTGTTCGAAAAGGGGACTGATTCAATGAGCTGCGACAAGTCTTGTGTCAAGTATCGCCCGCAACATGAGCAGGATGAGCCCAACACTGATGAGTTCAGTCCAAGTGGGTTTTTATTTTAATAAGAAAGACAACTTCGACAGTTTGCTCCTAGCATCTTCGAATGATGCGATTTCGCCCGCTGATAAAATTTATCTCAGACGTCATTCGGAGCTAATGCCTCTCTCAGTGCGTACTTATGACAGGGAACCGCTCGCGTGGAAGTTATTACATGTAGTACTGGGGATTATCTAGCAACATTCTGATGGAGGGGGGGGACAAAGTAGAGAAGGGTGTCTTAAATCCGGCACATGGAGCCTGATAAGACTCCTCTTTCCTGCTAGACTGTAGAAGACTCACGCCTTTTCGTTTGCTATACTGATTTGGTTTGCCTGACTAACACATTATATTTAACTTTCATGTTTGCACTCAAACTCCGTTATGCTTCATTGCGATGACCTTTTTATTGATGAATTTATCGGATTTATACTTATTCGAGTCCCACTCTTACTTCAAAGATTAACAAACAAGGGTACCTTCAGCCGATACCTCAAAGACCTAAAAATCGCAGCATTTTATTTCACAACGTTTTGGTCGGGACACGATGACTGTTAGCTGATACCAGTTCCTTCCTTTCCTCTTGGCAAATTACATTTAACGGATATTCCTTGCCGACTATTCCTTGACAATTTTAAGATGCCTGGGAAGAAAGTCGTGGCCAAATAACGGGGATTTATCTTGCTTGTAAAGTAAGTACAGGGACAGCATGAGGAGTTTATTTCGAAAGTGGCCCTAGGCGTTGGATATATGGTATAAGATATTTCGTCGCTATCATGAAACCCGAGCCTCATCCATTATAAATCGTTTCAGTTGACACAGCGGAAATCTTTCTTCTGCAAAAACAATTTCTGCAGAAACATTTTCTGCTTCTTCAGACTGGCATGTCCGGCAGACCGGACATCAAAGTCCACTCCGTCGGAAGTGAAGTCGTGGGCTGGGGATCGCTTCGGGCAGGGTAGTTTCGGGGACCGTACTTCGGAAAGGTTTCTTTTGGCGAGATAAAACGAAGGGCCCTCAAAACAGCTACAATGACAGGGTACAGTGTTGAATGACATTTGTTTCGGCTCAAGTTTCGAATGAGTTATTTTTAAATTTTATGAATCCGTAGAAGGTGACGGTTTCTGAATTCGAAGGAATCGATACAACATCTCATTCCTTCCATCTAGCAGTGTTGGTTTAAGAAATCCTTGATGTGTTCCTTCCTGAATGTCGACATGGAATTATTGTAGAAGCACACACCCAAGAAAATGTTCGGATCGAAAGTAATGACGATCCAGTATCGACATCAAGAAGAATCGATATTGGGAACGTGACTTAGGAAGCCTTCGACAACTCGCCCTGAGTATGACTCACTGTATGATGACTTTTAGTCTCCTCATCTTCAGCCAAAGACCAAGATGAAACCTGCCTCTCCGAAGACAGAATCAGATAAATTACCACGGCGTTCTTGCACGACCGGTAATTGTCCGGCAAGTACGGACGGCACGGCCGGCTGTGACTGTGGAGGTGAACTCGATTAGCTCTGGTCCTATATGACAGTATTGAAATTTTGCCGTGGAGGTAAAATTCAGCAGGGAGGCTTGGAGCTTTGGTGTTCCTTTTAAAGAAGAGCTTCTGTTGATGTTTGTTGAAAACCACAAATTTACAGGTTTTGTTTATGCTCTGCGCTTTAAAGATAGATTGGAATGCTGGTGATTCAAAGATGGCATGTTTACGATAGCTTTTTGACCTGCAAAATCCTCTGGTTTCATGGGAAAATTGATAGGTTAAAAGCCTTTGTTTAAAATCTCAATGCACCGCTCCACAGAGACATCGATGACATTTAGGCCGTAGCTTTACAGCGGACCTCGTTTCCTCAAGCAACGTGAAAGGTTTCACGGCGTGTGTGCTTGTCCTTGCAAGTACTTGGTCCCTTTGTAGTTCTTATAGGGAGTTGTAACTGAATGTATAAAGCTAATCATCCAGTAATTGGTATGTGTATGGTTAATGTATTTAATGGATTACATTATACTGTTTTTAAGTTAAACGATTGAACTTGGCTCCGATTACTAACTAAATAGGTTTTACATGTAGTGGTTAATCCGGATTAAAATGCAATTTGAACTTCCACGAGTATCGATCGAGTCGTTTATTGAGAGTCGTGTTGATTTGCAGCGTATTTTACGTATAAGATTCGGTGGTAAAACACATAGAGTCAGTGTTACCCTCCCTGTACCTCCGCATTATTATCGACTCAACCTCGACCCCTGGGGCCGAGGAGTGTTTCTTGTATGCAAAGCACGTACCTCAGCGGTGCAGTGTCAACATTGCCTCCTCGTTCCGATTGCGTGGCACTCCACAAACCGGAAAGCCTAGCCTGGCGGCCAGAGCAAGGCTAGCATGCCGATACACAGACTGTCGTTGTATCGGCATGTTAAGGGAATTAGGGTGTGACATGCAGGCTATTTCACCTACCCGTCTGAACATAGATTTTAATGATAACCCAACCTAACCCTAAATGTGTGGTATTTTCTTAGCGTAGGTTTTATGTTTGTTCTTTTAGTCGTTAATGGAGGAAGTATTTGGAGACTTTTTGGAGTGTGCCACACTACAAATAACAAATATTATCCATGGTTAGAACCGGCTATTACGAAGTCTGTCAAACTAAGCGTTTGTGGATTTTAATAGAAAATTTGAAAGCTTCAGCGGCGACATATTCTCACTCGTAGCTGCTGTCAAACTCGCATCACATTATGTTAAACATAACCTTTACAGGTTGCCATTGTCTCATTTTTTTCAGGAAAGCAGTTCTGTCAGTAAAATCAGTTGCTCAAGGACACTAATCTCATTCGTGGGTTCTATAATTATTGCAAGTTTCCTAAAGCAGGTCACCGTAAGATACCCTCCAGAGCTCTTAAATCTAAAATTCTCATTTTCTCACAAGTCATTCCTTATTGCATATAAAGCTGCTGTTGAATGGCATTCAGAGATGTAACATCTGAATTTGTTCCTCCTGATTTTTCATTTGTTTCAAGTATCATTCCATTTTGTTTTGTTTTATCTAGACTTTCACTGCGGCGCACAATTTGATGGTATAACCTGTTGGCCACCCACCGCCCCGGGTGTCATTGCGGAGCTGACCTGCCCAGCAATGTTTGACCGATACCAAACAACTTCAGGTAGGCCTATGCAAAGCAGCCACAGACATTACTCGACACAGATTTCTTACATTTGACCTATTTTGTTGGTTGCTCTACATTTATTTCTGCTGAACTGCTTTTTGGGTATTGATTCAGCGGGGTGCAGCCCAGTAGCTCAATAAGATTCACCGTTTCGTGTATTGATTCAACAGTTCACAAAACATGCTTCCCGAACGCCACATGGAAGGTGGACGATGTACTTGCTATCTACGGAGGCCAGGGGGAGTGCCGATGTGTCCAGTGTGAGGTAAGCAGGACGCCCTCCAGCGTCCAATTATACTTGTTAGAGTGCTTCTTACACAGAGTGGCCGATTAACGTTAATAGAAAATGCTATTGAGGAAATACATGTGCTAAGGAAAAATCTGCCACGAACAGGCACATCATGCAGGCAATATACTTGAAAACATTCGGGCCGGTAACCCATTTCTTTGTTAGCAAATTTCTTTCTGCTTAATTAGCAAATGTCTTATATTGCCCTTAATTGATATGATAATTGTGAGACCGTTGCGATCACAGTGATGGTCACATCGAGTTTCACCGCATCAGAGGTTCGCTTGGACATCTATGCACACTAGCTTCTACCATCTCTGTCAACCCCCTTCCTTTAACGCTGTGCTCTGAGTGAGTATGGCGTCTGGTCGCCTCGCCCACTCTGACTGCCTCAGTGAACGGCGTCGGAATTCCTGCGACTCGCTGGGATTTGCCGAGTCTTATTCCCGACAAGGTTATCACGCACGACACCAGTGTAACGAGGAATGATACAGAAATGAATTGGAATCGATCTGAAATTAGAACGAGAATGTAACATGACAAATAAAGTGATAGTGATTAAATACTCTGGAATTGAATTCCGGAGTTTAATTGGCCTGCATGCATGGACGGCAGTTTACTTAAGGAATGTAGGCTTAATCTTATAAGAGCCTAGGGCGGAATCCGCCCCTTCTCCGTAATCATCAACATGCGGTGTACTTCTGTGTCCATCCATGATTTCTTTCTTTGGTCCGATATCTTGTTATCATTATTATTGACATTCATTCCACAAGGTTTTGATCTTTTGAACTAAAATTAACCCTAAAAGGGCCGGGGCGGAATCCGCCCCCTTCCCTCCTCAAGTTTTTCCGCGATAGCGTTGAAAAAAATTGTGACTTTTTACCCTCGAGCCTTGCGCATCTTTTGGTACCAAAATTTTTCCCATATACGTCGTGTGCTCAGAGCAGAATTGCCATTCGTACATATTAATAATTAATTAGCCATAATTCCAAAACCCTTTGACCTATAGTCCTGAATTTTTTGGGGTATATTTGTGAAGAGTTGCTCTATGCATGTACCGAGTTTCAAAAATGTTCGTCACTCGATGCCCGAGATCTTAGGGGGCGGAATGCGCCCCCCCCCCCCCCCAGGCTGAGAGATGGTCAAAATAAACCAGCCCTTTTAGGGTTAAAACTCCCCTTTGTAAACTTAGTGTGAATTAACATATTTACCGATTAGTCTTCTTATTTGTAACTTTCGTTTCCTTTTCACGCTTGCCACAGGTTGTCGGCATTCTACTCAATCTGGGATACGGTCTGTCGCTTGCAGCATGCGCCGTCGCCTTCATCATATTCATGACCTCAAGGTACGTGAATTATATACTGTCAACTAGGTTTCTTTTTGTCAGGAGTTTTTTAGAAGGGTTTGTGAGTCTTTTAATTGAGAAGAGACTTTACATTTATTGTCATCCCTGCTCAATCAATACACATAACCTATAAGACGTCAAGGTGCAAAACATATAAACTACTTTCCTACCTACGTTAATACAGAACTATTTTTTTCGCATGTGATGCATCCTTTGTATGCACATGCTATTGTAGGACCTTACCTTTGACCTTTGACCTTTACAGAACCCTACGCTGCACGAGGAACCTAATCCATTTGCATCTGATCTGCTCCTTCATGCTGAAGTACATGGTATATTTCATCCAGCCTCCCGTTGTGGTCTTGGAGTCTTTGGTACGTCTTTGAACTTTGTATTGAATAGGCTTCCGTAGGTCGATTTGAATACCAAACGAATTCGAGGGTATTTTACCTAGGATAAAGTTTGGGAAAAGGTTTTGTTAGAACTTTTCAGGGTTCATGACGTAAAAGGATCCAAGCTCAGAATGTGTAAACTGACAGACAAGTTCTAAATAGACGGTGCCTGTTATCAGCGTCATGCTATTTGTATTAAGACCAGCTGTAACTTCTGTTCAACCAAAATATATTCTGTGATTTCCAAACTGTCTGTCTGATGAATTTTATTTCTTAAACCGGGAAACAAAGATTTGTCTCAAGATCTCAAATATCTCTAGGAGTTTCCTCATGTCTATTTTAGAATCTGATTGAGAGTAATCATCTGATTGGCTGCCGAAAATCAGAATAATAATCGAATTCATAAAGCGAAACAAGAACGATTTCATGTCTTATTCTGATTTACGTGACTATTTGTCAAACGTTCTTTCCAAGGCATGAAATCGGATTTCAGTATCAATTATTGAGTTAGAGTGACAGGTAATCTCGGCTTTTCTTCTTGCGAGTGGTAAGATTAAATCAGTCACTGAAGTTTAGAAATCATCAGATCGGGGCAAATGTGCCTCTCATCTTTTCTAGTGACTTGTAAGTCGTTATCGAGGCTACGTAAGTGGCTTATACTTTCTAAATGGGCCAGATTGTTCGCGATACGGAGTACGCTCGGCACAAAAAAGAATTGCCTGAGTTTGAGACCTATTGTTACAATGGTGATCAGGTTTTGGTAAACGGAGCACTTAAACTATTGTACTGCATGATGTTGTCACTATGGAAGATGTGTATCGTTGGAAGAGGGGTCGAGCGCCCTCCAGCGTTTTACATCAGTCCTTGTTCCTACCGAGATTTACTTCTTACTGTTAGAATGTAAAGGTAACCTTTGTGAAACCTTTCTGCAGCACCCGAAGCGAGTGGTCGTGTTCCTGCTCTACTACTTCGAGCAGACCAATTACTTCTGGATGTTTGTTGAGGGGCTCTATCTACACACGCTGGTGGTCTTTGCTCTCAGAATCGACGCAGACAAGATCAGCTTCTTGGTATACTGCGTCATCGGCTGGGGTAAGTTTTATCTAATGGGCTTGTGCATCTACCTAGAGGGCGCTGTTCGTTTACTGTCGTGCCAAGTGAGGGCACTAATTTGTGATATTAGGAACTTAAGCCTCCCCGTGGGACAGGTGTGTGTTTAGTCTTCAATTGAATGTGCACAAACCTATGTATGTGCATGCACTGCGATTAAAATGGTGCCGTGAGCTTTCTCATTGTTTCAAGTTTTGTGTATTTCGCCTCCAGAGGGCCACTGGTGAACCGTTAGCCTTATTGAAGTGTTCACTGTGCAAAGTAATATTGAAGAGAGTGTGTCTCTTTGTTTTACCAGCCATGCCTCTGGTTTTCGTGGGAGTTTGGGCCATCGTCTCTGTTGCACTGTATCCTGAAGGGTAAGCTATACGGAAAGTATTTTCCATACTTTACATATCAATTATTCTTTCATACAATCATATGACGCAGAGACATCACTAATATACTCAAACACACACAGACAAGTGTATATTTGCCGCAATCGGGGACCCCCTATTGTCCCTCTTTTGTTTGTACTCTTACTTTTTAGAGAAGACCTCCCATATGTTTTGTACACGAATCCAAATTCGAGGACCTCTCGGGAATTGGGGACCCTATTGTCCTCTATTGTTCAATGTCCCCCATTGAATGCAGAAACAAACTCACTCACACAAATTTCATTTGTACCACAACTGAAAAAAAACACTCAATGTCTTCCATTTTATATACACAAGGTATGTTTTGTACACAAATCCAAATTGGGGACCTTTCGGGAATTGGGGACCCTATTGTCCTCTATTGTTCAACGTTCCCCATTGAATGCAGAAACAAACTCACACACACACATTTCATTTGTACCACAAATGAACAAAAAAAAGCACTCAATGTCTTCGATTGTATATACACAAGGGAGATATAATATTATTATTGTATCTCTATGTTTTCAGTGATCTCATCGACTATACAGTGGAAACCACAGTGGTACACGAATACGTCTGCGTGATTGGGCCCATTCTCCTCGTGTTGGTGGTGAGTGTCTGTTAACCGTCAATTAGGTTTGTTAAACTTCTTTCAGAAAGACATTTGAGAACCTTGAGCCAAAAAGTCTGATAGTTTGCATAGTGTTTATATCAAAAGAGACACCAAACGATTTTGGCGTGTCATTGCATGTGTATTTTGAACTCCCTGCTTGAGCAGTCATATAAATGGGTCTTGTGGAATGGTGGCATGAATGGCTTGACCTACATAGGTAAGCGTACTTGAATGCCTAAAGCGAAAACATTTTTCCCCCATTCCATGTGCAAAGTTTACCAAGCCGATAAAATCGTGTATCGTACTCCGTATTTGTCTCTCCACCTCGCCTCCACTGGTGCCTCGCTGACTCGCGAGGTATCACCTTTCATATTGATTGCAGGACCGATAACTTTGCGCTATTGATGGCCGCCAGATCACGGCAAGCAAAACATTATCCATCATCTGTTATTCCTTTTTGAGCTCTGTTTCCTGCGGGTTGTTACAGCGTCATTATTGCCAGACTTGGGTAGTGTTACAGATTGATTGCTCTACATGAGCCGGACGGAGAGATTCTGTCACGCGCCAGAGCATTTCCAGACCGATTTTGAAAGGTATTTTCTCGGAGACATTGTTGGTGTCACTTTGGTGAACATCCATGGTTCTCATCAGTGAGCTGTTTGATAACCATTGCCATGAGAGGAACGTAAGCACATTAAAGTCATGTTCCTAGGAGTTGTTTTAAGTTGGTTGTACCATGATTGTAAGGCTGAGTTTTGATTTGTCAATGGGAGATAGTTAATTTTGCCAGATGATTTCTCTAGGTACTTAATCTTTCAAAGGATTCGCCTTTTTTCAGGCAGGTCAATATTTCTAAGTTCAGGCAGTGATAGCCTTCCTTCTTCCGACTTTTGTAAGGCTTTTAACCACGTCAGTTTTAAGGCAGAGTACAAAGTTTTGGTGAAGAAGGATTATCTGATACTATAGAAATTGAATCTTTGGGGTGGATTCTCGCCGTTTTGACTTTTGACTGGGAAGGATTAATTGGTTATGGATGTCGTGGGTCGTGCTTTCGCCTATGCTTGTTCTGTTATGTAGATGATAGATACCTGGCGTGCCTTGTAACGACAGCATTCTCGTTCAGAATCCACCTTATGCTAGCAAAGATTAGAATCTCTCTGTGTCGTGTCTGCGCTAATTAACCACACGAGGTCGTTCATTATAATTAGCATCGCATCGAGACCCCCTTAATCTTAATCTTAGTGGGTCGTGTTGAAAATCCATGTAAGTGTTGGTACAAGAGCCAGAAAACAAATTAGTTTCTCATTTAGTTGGCGTGCATTTAATTCGTCTTAATTAGTCATCATCGAGGAGTACCAGACAAAGTCTTTGAGACGCGTCAGGTGATTTGTTCAATTTGACTGATAACTTAAACTGTTCTTGATAACTTCAAGTTTTCTCCTGCTCAGCTGTTAACAGTTTTCTCCTTGGCCTAATGGCCTAGTTGCTACTTATGTACACGTACTTGCCTTCTCGACGCCACAAAACTCTCACACGATACAATCAGACCAAATGCTCGGAAATGAAGGCTAATGATCATCATTATCTCTTTATCCATCTCCCATTTCAGATCAACTGTTTCTTCCTCCTAAACATCGTGCGTCTGTTGATGAGCAAGCTACGCATGCAAAGTAACCGTACAAGTGACATCAAACAATACAGGTAAACAGCGGGGTTTGTCAACGGGTTGTTACCGGAGCATCTCCCGCCGTCTCAAGGGGAAAAAAATACCGCCTTGTTTGCTCTCTGCTCGCGTCCTTGCGATGAGTGTTTGTATACGGCTCTTTTCAGAAGAAGGCTGATATCTTGAGGAAGTGTTTGAGAATACTAAACACAGACTGACCGTCGCACGTCCGCACGCTTGTCTGACGTGAACAATTCTCGTCATGTTTCAGTTTGTGACTTGATGCTCTCGTATTTGTTTCTTGATATTGATACTTGCGCTGATAAATCACCAAGAATGGGGTGTTTGGATACCAATTAGGACCGAGGTACGATTCGTGACCAGACAGCGCGGCCTCGTTACGTCGAAATTCGATACTGTGTGACACTCATTTCCTTTCCTGGTATTCGGTTTTATTTCGTTCTCAAGAAAGATCATTTTGGTATTGATTAAGAGCCATAACTCTCAGTGAGAATATATGTAGTAGCTGGAGGAGAAACTAAGGGAGGCTACAATCGTGAGACTATGGATGGGTGTTGTGGCAAATAGTTCGACTTTTTCGATGAGTTTTTTGTGTGTCGTTTTGTTTTTACAGGCGAGCTGCGCGAGCAACTCTCTTCTTGGTAGTCTTACTGGGAGTTGGCTACGTCCTGATGCTGTGCCGGCCCTTCCTGGAGGAGAACCTGCCAAACATCGTCAAGCTCATCTTTGAGTACGTCAGTACCTTATTGGCCGGCACACAAGGTCTCGCCGTAGCTGTTATCTACGTCTTCTTAAACACAGAGGTAGAATCTTGTATTCTTTGGAGGCTTTACATGCATACCCTAAATCTGAATCGCATGCCACCCTGCAACACGGCTATCGTTTCGTACATCATTTTGGGACATCATCCGTCAGTTTAGCATTCAGGGTTCAGATTCTGAAGTCTGGTTTACCAAGGGCGAAGTTGAACGAGAGAAACATAGACAAACGATGTTTGAGAAAAAGTCTGGGTCAGTTTTTCTTTTGGTACGATTGGTTTGCATTTGTGAATCATGAGGCCGATGCGAAACGAAAGCCGTGTGGTATTTGGCTATTCGTGACTTATACAAAAGCGTGTATCTGGATTCTGTTTGGTAGTTGAGGGGCATTTTCAAAACGCTTTTAAGCATTCGTCTGTGCTAAGCACTGGAAACTCTGGCTTAGCATAACAGACAAATGCCAAATGTGTTAACTGCTTCTGGCTGATTTTAATACGGTTTTTGTTGCAAAACAATTATCTTACCATCATTCTCTGCTTAACAGCACTATGAATACAGAGCCTCGACACCTACCTATTCTAAAACAAAATGCATGAGTGTTTGTGTTAGCTGCGGCTGTTGGGATAAAATATTGTCTGCATGCGACGAATCTGTATGAGTTTTTAAAAAAAAACGAGCTGCTTCTCAAAAAAAGTGGTGAAAGCGAAACCAGTGTAGATGTGATGTTTCTCCCGCTTGGCAGGTGATTACCGTGTTACGCAGGAGATGGTACCAACGATGCGGCAACACAGCTTCGTCGTGCTGCTGCTTTAAGTGCGGCGACCGCTGGAACTCAGCCTAGCCCATGGCTGATGAGTGATTATTCTCAAACCATTCCCTTCCCCCTCCTTCACCAGGTCCGCACCGTGTTGAAGCGGAAGTGGCGCCGTCGATTCGGCCACAAGAGCCCGTCGTGTCTGAACCGCAAGCGCGCCAAGCCTCGGACTTCGTCCTACTCCAAGTACGACGACCAGACCTGCATGAGCACCATGCGCAGTGTGGCCCACAATGACACCGTGATGGACTGCTACCATGACGACGACCAGGGTCACCGGGGTCATCACCAGGGCAACAAGGCCGGCAACCGGGGCGCCACCACGCAGGGAAAGAACACGGGCACCGTTGCCAACGGGGACGCGAAGAAAACGGACGGCGAGGAAAAATTGGAAATGCAAGTCGTGAAGAACAACGGGACTGTCGGTAAATGGGATCGGACTGAGAAAGGAAACGAAGCGGACGAGGTTGAACCTCTCTTGGAGGAAGGAGGTAATCCTCCCAAACCCGCAGCCACCATTGTGATATCAGAGGCGACGCCCGTACACACAACTGCCAAGGAACCAAATGCCGAATATGAGGAAAACCAAGAGTGAGAATAAAACATTACTGGAGGTATCATACACCAACAATCTAACATTGAATACGGCGGCCATGTTTGTCGTGTTCCTCGTGGACTATGATCACTATGACTTTGGTACTACGACAATGGTACCAGTCTGAAATGGGACATATTGCGAGTTCCATAGACTCTTCTTAAAAAGAGAGTTGTCCATCTTGAGCGAAACTATCTGGCATATAATATTGTACATAGTGTACCATAGTGTATACAAGCTACTTGCACAGACGCCCCTTTTGATATCCAGTGTGCCCCGCCCCTCCTTCTATCCGTTTCAGAACTCGATTTTGCCTCTACATATTTCTTAACTACCTGTGTTTATTTATTTTTTGAAGACAACACACTGTTTTCTATTTGTTTTGAAATTAAGTATGTTTAATTATTCTTTCTATGTCAAAAGCAACTTTGGTCCAGCAAAAGGACCGTATGAAGTTAAGGATGGCGGCAAATTACGTCACTGCCAGGATGTAGTGATAGAAGTGTATTTTCTTCAACACAAAATTATTTCATGTGACTTTGGTATTCTTGTGTTTCTTAATGTGAACCTGTGTAAAGTGGCCACCAAGTCTGATCATGAAGTGGCCGCTATAGGCAGGTTGCTATATAATGTAAGCATTGCAGTCGCCTGGCAGATTTTAAATGACTTCGCACTTGGGAAATGCGAACTTAATTTGTGAACCTGTGTCTACATGGCCTATCCCTAACGCGTGTAGAACAAAGTTCCTCTTCAGGTTTCGGGATATATTTCCCTCTGGAAAAAAAAGTAACCCACTTTATTCTTACTCGGGATGGGATTTGTAGCACTGCCTCCAGAAGGATTTTTTTCGAACGCCTTGGTACTTAATTCTCTTAGGCTTAAAACGAAACAATTGACGCTCTTCCAAAGAAGTAGGCCTACGCATACCGCTGAGGACAAACCTCTTTGTGTAGGACATTTTTTCCAAGCTTGGGTTGTGCAGTTTTTGTGCAAAACCATTCAGCTTTTAAATTCATCAAGGTAAGGCGATTAAAGCACTAGCAAACATGGCTGCCGGATAAGGTAGCCACACGTTTAACAATACTGGTGCAATGTTCGTCGCGTGTAAGTGGCAAATGTGTAACTACAAGATGAGGGCTTGGACCTGACTTGTCGAAGTAAAAAACTTGCATGGTAAGGCCTGCTGTTTTTCTGTTTTATGCTATAACGTTTGAGTGCGAATGTTCTCACAAAATAACGGTAATGCTGTACAGTGTATTTCAGAGCAACTTGGTGCCAGTAAAAAATTGAGGTATAGGAACATTTCTCCCTCGTAATCTCCGCGAAAGTAGGGGTAACATTCTGACAAGCATTTTCTTTATCAGAAGAAATCATTGTAGTAAATTTCAGCTAGGTATTTTGTTGAAAGTCTTGTATGTCGGTCATGTTGTGCCGTCCGCCATTTTGTTGTGCCGTCGCCATTTTGCCGAAGTTGCGAACCGTCTCATATGTCAATGTCCGAGGCGTGCTTGGAGGCCTTTGCATTTCGAATTGGAAGCCTTAGATTCTTGATGCATTTTTTTTAAGAACGCTTTGAATGTAAAGCGAAAGGCGTTGAATTTTAGAGGAAAAGTCGTTGTTTACGCAGTTTCTTATGGTAGAAACCTTTGCAGTATTAAAGCTGCAACGCCGTATTCCTAACTATATACATTATTTTGGTGCTACATATAATTTATTCTGCCAACATCTTTGAGGGATATGGTCGGTTCTCTAATGTCTGTAATTAAGTTGACCCCAATTGACCCCGGTCCTTGGTTACAGCGCTCTGCTTTTGTGCACTCTACATAGAACATAATCCACGGAACGTGTACAACTTCATTTTGTACCGTTTGGAGAATTCTAGTCATATCAATACATGTATCTACTGTACAAAATTGTGTATATACATTGTAATCTGTATACGTGCGCTATAAATCTGCACTTGTTTTTACATTGAAATCACGATAAACTGAAATTAACCTTCCAGATTACATTTTTCTATACTTATGGGAAATGAGTTTCGGATTTGGTATGGTCGTTATTATTCCAAGGCAACGGACAAAAATATGACTATTTTTTTTTGAAACTAAATGCTGGAACCTCCACAGAACCTAATATTTCTGTGTTTTGTTTCTTTTCTTTCTTTTTTAGACTTGTTTTAAGGTCTTTATCAACTGCTTCACCTATATAACTTCCATATTTCATACACAACTTTATGAGGTATCTTAACTGACAACTACCAATCCCTAATTATGAAAATGAGTTTAAATATACAATCAGACAGGCGGGTGTTGTTAATTTCTGGGTTGTATTTCTGGTTGCCAGGGCAATACGGCATACCACAATATAAATGGTATTTCTCGCCAACGGAAAAATGTAAATTTTTGATACAAAGAAAGTTAGCTGTAGGTTATCGTTCGACGAAACATTCCAATAATTGTTCAGTCTTGTCATTTCGATTATCTGTAGCATTCTGTAAAAACAATTTGAAAGAACGAACCGTCGTGTGCCCGGCAGAAGGTCATATGTGCGTATGCCCTTATGTGCGAACACGTGATCACGCAGCAAAAGGGCCTATGCAGAAAACTGCCTCTACTTTAATGAAATTTAATCGTTTTCGTCAGAAATTAATACAAGTGTTGTTCCAAAACTTATGATTCATACGTGTGACAAATTTCATAATACGTGTGGGAGAACATTGGATTCATATTACGCGTGGGCAAACATTGGAGCCTTTCAAAACAATTTTCTTAAAAATGATTTTTGCGTCATAACGCTCATACCCTTCTGCCGGGCACCCAACGATTAATTGTACTTGAAAACAGGTGCTTGTTATTGTGACGAAGCGGTGAGTGATTAATCTGTCGAATGAAATGCACGAGTATTAACAATGTACAGTGGCTCGTTAATTAATATATATGCGTTTGCATCTTCGTCAGAGATAGATACATGTATCAACGATACAGGTTGAGACAAACGTTTGGTTTTGTGACTTAAGTTTTGGTGCTGTTTAACTGTGTTCTGTGAACAGTGACATTTACTTTACATGTACGTGCTTTCCAATCGACTCTCTTCATCGTCTTAACTACCACTGTGTGATGTAAAACGTGTCAAATTGAAACTTCGTGAATCTTCCCATATTTTGAAAATATATTCGACAAACTATCAATTCAGGGGAAATTATGTTGCAAACTGGTGAAAGCCTTTAGGCAAAGTTTTGGCTCTTTTTAACCCCAATGCCCGGAGCTGGCGACGGAGCTGAAAGCCGTCCGTGGGCAAACAGTTTGGCATATGAAATTTCTTAACTATCATATCTCAGAAACAAACACGCATTTACAATCAGTTTTTCGTCACTTATGTGAACAATATTTTAATACCATTAAATTGAATTTTTTATAAATATGCTCAACAAGTAGGTGAAAATTGCTGACAAAAGTTGGTTTCCTTCATTTTTACACCACCCTGTATTGTTATTTATTGCCTTTATTTTGCATGGCCTTAATTGTTGCTAGAAAAAAAATATGGCGGCGGTGGGATTTCTACAGCCAATGAAATGTTGGCTTCCAATCCATATATTGTATTACAACATGTAACATTTAGCAAACGCGTTTCTGATTAGAGGCAAGTGATTTTTAAAAACAAAATCAAGTGACATTATATTAACAAAGTGTTAACGTATCTTGATGAGCTTGGCGGAGTCAAGGTTGTTAAATTTGGTCGCGCTCAGTGGCGTACGCAGGATTTTTTCAAGGGGGGTGTTTCAAAATTGGATGTCGTCATTTACGACGCTAGAAATGAAGATGGTAAATTGTGTTGGCGCCAGAAATAAAAAATAGTATCAGTGGGCTAAACTTTACGCTAAAATAAAAGTCAGGAGTTTGTGTTGGCGCCAGAAATAAAAGAGGGTATATTTGGACGGGTTAAACTCGAAGGGCCGTGAACCCACGACCATCAGTTATCTTTTTGAGCTAAAGCATAGTAAATCGGGAAAAAAATGTTCTGTGTCTTTAGAGTATGATGAACATATGAGTAAAGGGGTCAATGTGGGCAGTCCCCTCCCTCAACAGCATTTAAACAAAAAAAGAAGAAGAAATTCAAGAGAAAAAGTTACACGGGCTGCGGAAGTGCTAGGATCTGTTCTTGTTATTGGCTAAAATCACTCAGCTTCGTCCCCTGGATCTCATGATTCTCATCCGTTGGGAATCTTTGTGTAAACCGCCCCCACCCCTACGGCCAAACTTCAGATACAGGATACATATGCGCTCTGGTCACAGGAGCGGATTCAGACTGCCATTTGCCGGGGGGCCTAGAATTATTGTAATGAAGGGTCCAGCTCCTGCGAAGCCCTTACGGCGTGGGGTCCGGGGCCCGCTTAAGGGCCCCGGAAAAAATTTGGATTTTAGATGCTCTGTGGTGCAATCTGAGGCGATTCCTGGTCACTTCCACCGTTTAGAAAACGTTTTAAACATCAAAAATTCCATTTAAATTTGTTATTTTTTTTGTTTTGTTTATAAAGTTTGTTACGTACAAACCATGTTCCATCTCCGTATTTTTTCACAATTTTCTATTTTGGAAAGGGATTTATGCCACTTGTAGAGCCATTCGCTGCTGAAGGTACAAAATGGTGGGGGCACCGTTAGGGTGAAATTATAGCATAGAGGGAATTTGAATCCCGGGACATACCGTTATTTCGTTTTACCGTTTTGGATTTCCTCAAAAACAAAAACAGTAAACGAATCATCGACCGTTTTGTCGTTTTACAGTGTAATAAAACGACAAGCGGTATTAAGATAAATACAGTTTCTCCGTTTTATAAGTTTAGTAAAATTCATTATAGCATAACGATCAATGATTTTTGTTTTACAGATTACACAAATACAGACTGTTTTTTTATTCCAGTGTCATGGTTAACAGTCCGTGGTGCATTTTGTGGCGGTGGGCAAGGGGGTGGAGGGGGACCATGTTTTACACGAAGAAGTGTTACCTCGGCATAAGTAATGCGTGATGTGATTCCTGGCGCGGACCCTGACCCCTTTCTCATGCGATTCAGTCAAGTTGGTGGGGCTTAAAAAGTTCCAAGCAAAATGGCGCTGGAAAACTTCAAGGGAGGACATTACTTTTCACAATGGAAACAGGATGGTAATAAGACGTTTGATGAAGTTGCAGACATTTTGAAGGAAACTGGGGTTCAAGTCGACGCGGCTCTTCAATAGCCAATTCGCAAATGTTGTCGTGAGAACGAAATGTAAGGAGCGGGGCCCAGGCAATGACTCGATCCCAAGGACGCATTAATTAACATTCCGGTGCATTGCTTAATTGCCGAACCTTAAATCAAAAAATGGTCGGCAAGACTATTGACCGTTTTGTCATTGTTATGATTTTGTAAAACAACACTCTAAAAATAAAGCAACTAGCCGTTTAACGCTTTCTACAATTAAAAACAACAACCCAAAGTATTTTGTGTGTGTGACTTAATACCGTTGACCGTTTTGCAAAACTGTAAAACGAGAAAACGGTCAATGGTTCGTTTACTGTTTTTGTTTTTGAGGAAATCCAAAACAGTTAAACGAAATAACGGTATGTCCCGGGATTAATTTGGCCGGAGGACCAATGCGAGCGCGGAGCGCGAAGCACTTACGGCGTGGGGTGCGGGGCCCGCTGAAGGGCCCCGGGAAATTTTGGATCGTTGATGCTCTGTGGTGCAATCTGAGGCGTTTCCTGGCCAATTTTCCCCGTTTTTTTAGCAGAAGTTTTTTTAAATTATGAAGGGATATTTTGTTTCATTTGTTTCAAATACATATAGGCCTATATACTCTTGCTCTTATAAAGTGTCTTCTGTATTCAAAGCTTAAAGTTGAGAACATGCACATAATTTGTAATTGTTCCGCGCTCGGTCACATAACTCTCTTTTCCCTCCATATTTTTACATGGCAAAGGGGGGTGTTTAACAGCCAAAACACCCCCCCTGCGTACGCGCCTGGTCGCGCTTGTAGGTTCGAATGTACAAATGTAATTAATAAATCCAGTAAATGTTTTGATTAATGTCAATTTCTGTAAATATATAAATAAAATTATCACTGTACACTAAAATAAAAAAATTATCGAAGTTGTAAATACAATGTATTCAGTTCATAGTGAAGAGATGTGTCGGCGGTGTAACTTTAATACGGTCTGCTATTTGTGTTTCATGTGTGTCGAGACAGTGTGTCGTTTGACAAAAATTGTTTTATTGTAAAGAGTAAACATCAATACTTTTGAAATAATACGTCGGGCCCACATGGTAATGAAAATTAGATTTCGTTCCTTTCAGCCCATGGAAATCCAACTTAATTCACTTAAAATAAAACGTGAAAATATGCTACAAAATTTTCTTCTTACGAATTTAAAGAGACGTGTGTTTTAATTTTACTAAATTATAACGGCCATAAATTCCCATATGCATTAAATTCCCATATCCACAAAATTTATATTAGAATTTATTTACTTATACAAAAATAGCATGGAAGAGCAATAGATAGGCCTGCCCAGTTTTCCCGTGAGATCTGAAACTAAAAGTATAATTACATCTGAAGTTGAACGTTTCGGCAATACTGCCTCAGCTCAGTTATCTAAAGAAGAATGTAGCCATTATTTTCAGACACCTCAGAACCCAACAAAATAGTTAATGCTACTCCAAGTTTTTTTCCCTATCCGACTTAAGGTGCTTGTACCCTTAAGGCCATATAGTCCTGTTCTTGTGCTGCATCTGGCGTCAGATACGTCTGATCCGGGCGTGGTTGTGTCTTCTTAGCTCCTGGTTTAGCTGGAGGTTTGGGCGCCGGTTTCTTTGCTTTCGGGCGTTGCTCTGGGTTTTTAGGAGGGGCTGGCGCGGTTTTCTTCGGCGCGTCATCGAGCGTGATACGCTTGACGTAACGCGCGGACGCCGCCTCGTCACCATCTCCTTCCCTGAAGGCCGGATTCAGGTAGGCCTGGTAGGCAGCCCCGGATTTCTGGTACTCGTCGATGTCCTCGTAGATGGGGTCGCTCTTCTTACGGGCTGGGGGTAGAGGTGGAGGGTTGTTGTTGGCTAGGACAGGGGAGGGGAGACCGCTTGGGTCGTAGGAACCGACAAATGATGTGCTCCGGACTGACATAGGTACGTGGTCATCTGGGCCCCTAATTCAACAGGAAAAAGGAGGGTACAAATTGTAAATTCAGTTAATGGAAAGGAAACTAAATATCCTAATTGATGCGTCAGAACGATTTTACCGGTAGCCATAATAAGCCATATTAATAGTAATTTGTTTTGTATTTTTTGATTATTCGTTTATTTTTTGCAACCTATTTTTAGCTTACCTGCCGCCTTTTGATCGCGCACATTTCACCACACAGCAGACGACAAGGACGATGACCACAAGCAAGGCAAGCCCGCCCCCAGCGGCGGCGATGATCACGGTGAGGTTGAGGGCGCCATTCATAGGAGGCGAGGCAGTTGTCGTAGGCGAGGCGGGTACGTAGTCAGTGACTTCTGATCCACCTTCCGTCACCGGAGATTCTAATGACGAAAACAAAAATCATCCAAAGTTGATTAATGGCCAACGATTTTATTTCATTTTCAATTAAAGTTTGTGGCTGGATAAGCAGACAAGAGATGAGAAAGCAATGAATTGAGGGTCAGAAGAGGTGTCAAAAGACTGCATTTATAGATGCGGTGGGCTTAAAACCACGATAAGTCCACGATGGATTTATCAATTGAACCTTTTTTCCTTGCAAAAAGTTCATTTGTTATCAAATTTTGGACCAGATTTTGTAATTGCTAAACGATTCAAGAAGGCATTGAAAGGGGAAATAACCTTCAGAATGAGTTACATGTTTCTTGCTAAGACAAGAGAAGTTTGTGAGGTAAAAAGTCAGTAGTGCGTTGAAACGTATCAAATTACAAAATGTATTGTTACTTTACTATTAGTACAACAAAGTACAGCAATTATAGAAGCTGACTTGTATCATTTTGAAGTGTTGTGTGTGTGTTCCTACCTTCCTCAAAGATGTCCGCAGTTTCAAATGCAACAAGTCCCTGCATCCGCAAGAACTCCTCTTTCCCCACTTCCTCCAACCCTTGCCCCGTCCACCTGTCGGCCCTCGTTAGCCTGTGCCTCAGCCAATCAGTCCAGTAGACGTAGTCACCGTAGATTACAAGAGAGAACGGGTGCACCTCTTCGATGAATTCCACCAGGGTGATGCGATTGCCACCGTCCATGTCTGACATCTCGATGCGATCACGCAGCGCATCGCACCAGTACATCACTTCATCTGAGTTTCAGAAAAATAAATGTGGGACCAGAAGTTCTTAAATCCAGAAACGTTTCTTAGAATTAAGAGCTTAAATTTCCATGTGTAGATGAGAAAATTCTTGCATCAAGCTGGCCCTACTGTATTCACAGAGTCTTTACTACTGTTTCCATCTTGGAACTTACTTTGTGAGTCTAATGCCAGGCAGTTGGGCCATCCAAGTTCCTGATCCACTAGGACTTCTCGGTTAGTGCCGTCACGTGACGCACGCTCAATCTTGGCCACCGCGCCCCAGTCTGTCCAATACACGTCACTGGAAGGAAAAGTGCACAACACACAATCTATAAGTATGATCGTGATGATATGTATGCTATGGTCTAAATGGTCAATCGTAATTATTATGATGCCAATACCCTTCTAGACCCATGTTTTTACATTGGCTGCAAGGTAAACCACTGATGCCTTGGAGTCTATAATAATAGGCGCAGTATATACTGGACTCTTAAAGAAATACACTTGACCCATTTCCAATGCACATTAAAAGTGATGGGACTAGCAAACTAAGTACTCCAATCTGCAGGATTACGGTTCACATCTCACCAGAGCCACTGCTTATGTTTCTACTGTTTTCATCCCGATTCCCCTCCACTCTTCCTCCCTCCCAAACTCTGACTAGTTGACTCACCCATTCAGCAAGTCGACAGCGATAGCGCGGGGCTCGTCAAGATCTTGGTCGATGAAAACCCTGGCCCCGAAATCTATGCTCGCCACACCAATCTCGTTCTTGTCCTCGTCGGTCCAGTACACGAGTCGTCGCCTCGTATCCAGGGCAAGACCACCCGGGTCTGGATAAGAGAAGAATACATCAGACACGACGGACAAGTTAACATACTTTGATCTCAACTCTGTCATGGTGTATAATCGGTCATCAAAAAACTTCAAAACTCTGTTACACTTTTAGTACATTTTACGAGTTTCCTGAGGAAACCCCTATCAAACTTTTGTAGTATCGAGCACGTGCTTAAAATTCAGTGGCATCTCGTTGTCTTGGGTTTGTCAATGGAATTTACACATAACATACAATTCGCCACAGGAGGGCGGTTTTTTGGGGGGGGCGGGGGTACGTTGTCGTTGCTTCCCTAAAAACAAAAATTTCGACAAGTGCCTGGCTCAATCCAATATTCCTAGAAGAAAGGACGGGCCTACCGTTGATATTCCCAATCAGCACACTCTCCGTCATAGATCCGTCCAGCTTAGCCCTACGGATAGCCGAAAGCGCCCGATCAGTCCAGTACACCATACCCTCCACATGGTCATAGGCCAAGGATACTGGGAAAACCAGATCGTCTATGGCTAAGGCTGCGATATCGTGGCTGTCGGTGGACGCGTCGATTTGGAAGATGGTGTTGAGGGAGGAGTCAACAACAAGGAAGAAACGCTCGTCGCTGTAGTCTGCAGATTAACAGAAGAAGTGATTGCCCAGATTTCGTTTCTTATAAAAAATTATGAGGATTGTTATCGTTTCTTTTTAGGAAAATCTTCTGACCGTTCGACAGAGGGATTACCTTCGTGTTTTTGCATCAAGCCTGCCGCGATTCTGAAGATCATTTTAAAGAAATTTCAACGACAGATTTATCGTTTGAAAGACGTTGATGCGTCTTAAACCGTCATTGTATTTTCTCTTTGGACATTATCATAGCAATCTCATTTTTTGCATCCTCTATTATCCTACTTTAACTAGCTTTTTATGGCCCACTTAATGTTGTATTTATCCACATTCAACAGCAAAGAATATTTGGTAAATCTTGATCTAAACGCGCTGAGTGACTCCCTGAGAAAGTCAGAGGATCGAGATGGATGGAGGAAGCTGGTTGACAAGTCTTCAAGGGGTGCCCCACGATCAGAAGACTACGGGATAGGGACAAGGGGAATCTAAAAGAGCAGATGTCCTTCAGGTTAATTACAATGCGCAAGAACACCAAACTCACCGGTTACACACGAGACCCCGTCGTCAGCGAGTCGGTACCCTGTTCGGCATCCACAGGCTCGTCTGGCTGCGCTGGTTGGCAAGCATAGATGGTCACAATCGCCATTCAGGCCACCACACGCACCTGTTAGATTCATCACGTGACTGACATTAGTAGGCGTGTCTCTATCCTTTGGTCCGGGTAATTCAGCCGGCTTCCACAATCAACATCAGCGCCATCAAGTAATCGGAGTCGTTTGTTTTTAATGGATCTTGTTTTACATTTATGTTTTGTGTAATATTTTGTATATTATTTTCTGTCCACTTTTCTTGTATCAGCGCTTTTATTTGTGATGGTCTAAGTTTATTTTCATGTAATTTCAATGTGAGGGCTCCTTTGGAAAGCATATTTTAAAAAAAATATTGAAATGGACTATTCTCTGTAAAGATTACCATTATATTAGACCAAAAATACAAAATTGTGGTTTCACCAAACAAATATCATAACTGGGCAATGCTAAATCATTTTACCTTACTTCTAAAATGTTTAAAATCTCCAAAACACTAAGAAACTAGATCTCCCTGTTAGAGATTTGGTACGAGAATTTCCAAGTAAACTTACCCGTTAATCCATTCAGTCGTCTTGGTTGGTAAGCCATATCCTCCGTAGTTATTCCCAAGGCTTGGCCTGTATGCTCTAAGGTTTGCAGGACCTGGCCCTCATTGACACCTTGGTAGGTGATGGCCATGATCTTCCCATCGGCCTCCGTAGACTGCCACACTGTGGCGTACAGAACATCCTTAAAAAAAAAGATAACATTAGGCCAAAAAAAAAAGTCTCCGGTTTCTGGTATGGAGCTTGCCCAAAAAGTGGTGCGGCGACGCGGCTTTTTTTTTTTTTACCTGTTTTTTTTTTGCTTCAAATGTCGGCTGATGACTGCAAATGGTGCCCGACTAAACTTAGTGCAAATATTATGGGAGACCAGAGAGGCCACATAAAGCTTATTCTCGATCATAACCCCATCTAAAAACACGTTAAAATTGTGCAGCAGCAGGATTCCAGTCAATCCAGTGAGTTTGGCGGTTTTGAGACATCATCTTTCATTGAAAAAAAAAACTTTTCATTTTGCCGACGCGCATGGCTACGGCGACGCGCGCGCATACCAGAAACCGGAGACTTGTTTTTTGGCCTTATTTACATTTAGAGGGTGAGAGAAAACTATTTCTTGAGGTTATATATGAAAGCCATGGAATTTGGGACATTTTTAAAGCAGTCAGAGACAGAAACAACACCTGGAAAGTCATACAACAGGTAATATAGGCCCTAAGGGCCGGAAAGGAATCTATATTCCGGTAAGGCACTCCAGCCATGCTCGTTAGCAGAGGAGGCCTCTGAACTCAATTTTATTTCAAAAAAAAATTAGGTTTGGGCAGATTGTTGGCGCATCCGTCAGCTAAGCTGGATGGTGTATTTTAAGTTGACACCATAACTACAGGGTGAGTCAAAAAAAGCGGAACCAAAACCCCAAAAATTATATTTTATATTTAAAAAAAAATATTTAGCACCAAAAATAATAATGACTGGAAAGCCAATTTCATTAGGTACTTTTAGATGAAAAAATGACTGAAATTGGCCAATCCGTTCAGAAAATATCACCATTTAAACACAATGACCCGAAAACCTGTCTCGTCCAAAAAATGCGATTTCAAAAATCGTTGTCGCAATTTGTTGTCTTCAAACATCACCAGCGATAAAATCTCGGTTTAAACGTTAAAAATATTCAACAGAATCCCTTTGAAGGCCCGTGCTTTTAAAAAAGTACATTTTATAAATCATATTGTTTGCCTAGCCAGGGTTGTTTGTGTACTACAGTTGGTGACAGTTGTTGAAACAAGTATTCTGTGTCATTTTCTTTGTTGTTCCAAACAGTCAAAACACAAAATGAATTGCTTTTTTTTTTGGGACGAGACAGGTTTTTGGGTCATTGTGTTTAAATGGTGATATTCTTTGAACGGATTGAGCAATTTCAGTCATTTTTTCATCCAAAAGTACTTTTTAAAATGGGCTTTCCAGTCATTATTATTTTTGGTGCTACATATTTATGAAATATGAAATATATTTTATGGTGTTTGGGTTCTGTTTTTTTTTACTCACCCTGTATGTACGATACATGTATTACATTACCCTGTATATGCATCAACTTACTCCATGGATTGTAATGCCAAAGAAGTCGGCGCCAATCTGTTGGTAGAGAACCCTTCGGTCTTGCCCGTCGTAGGTCACTGACTCGATTTTGTCGGTTCCTCGATCAGCAAAGTACAATCTGCAAAACAAAGACAATGTAATAGTAAAAATAATCAAATCTTCCATGGTTTCTCGCAGTGAGGAAGGTACCAATGGCGCCGTTTTAAACTTGTTTTGTTGTTTGATGTTCAGAAGAGTGTAGCTGTAATGCAGTTTATTAATGCAAAGCTGAGTTGCTAATGGATAACAGCTAATTCTTCGCAGGACCACGAACGCGAATCTCTCACCATTACTCAAGAGGTTTACTCCAAATTTCATCATTCTTCTTTCACAGCAACAGTGTCGCATTGAGTTTGTGTAGTGCGCCCTCTTTTTGAAGAAATTGACGTTGGTAAAATGTACGGGAGTGCCCTTACACACTGTAGTTTTTGTTTTTGTTTACATTTTTTTCTTCAACAGTTTCTGTCGAATTTGAAATGGATTGTGTCGTATATTACAGTCAATAATGGGACGCAGTTTCAAATCAGTGCAATGTGTTTTTCTTAAGTTATCATCTCCACAAAGAGTGCTTTAATTTTGTTCCATTAAAAGTGACTCGAATTCGAATTAAATTTTTCGCGATTAGTACACTGTATTTCCTTTATAAATCATAATCAATTTATTCTTCAATGGTTCCCGTCGAACATTTTGTGTCCCATATATCGACCAATTATTGGACGTATTTTCAATTCAATGCAATGTGTTTTTCTTGAGTTATCGTCTCGAGAAAGAGTGCTTAATTTTTGTTCAATTTAAAGCGACTCGAATTCGAATTGAATTTTTCCCGATTAATAAATTGTATTTTCTTAAAATCATATTAAATTTATTCTTCAAGTGTTCCCGTCGATTTTCGAAACATTTGTGTCCTATATCCTGAACAATTATTGGACGAAATTTCAATTCAGTGCAATATGTTTTTTTCTTGAGTTATCGTCTCCACAGAGTGCTTTATTTTTGTTCACTTGAATTCGGATTGAATTTTAATAAACTGTATGTTCTTTAAATCATATTAAATTTATTCTTCAAGGGTTCCCGTTGATTTTGTGTCCTATATCCCGAACAGTTATTGAACCAGATTTCAATTCAGTGCACTGTGTTGTTCTTGAGTTATCGTCTCCACATATGCATCTTTCAAATACCTTTTCTCTTGGAAGTCTATGACTAGTCCGCTAGGGGAGACTAGATCGTTGTCCACGATGGCAAACCGTGCTGTGCCGTCCATGTCACTTCGCTCTATACGCCCCTCTTGGTCGGACACGCCTCTTAGATCGGCCCAGAAAAGTAACCTTAAGAAAGAACACCATAATTTTGATAACGATGTAATGCTATAGTTAATAAACTACTTAGCGAGTCAGCACTTGAACTAGTTAGCTTTTAAGGCCGGTATCCGTCTCTCATCTCGCCATGAATGTCATCACCTAGCAAGCTTAGATCAGAAGGCAAGTTTATGAAACAAAAACTCCTTTAAAACTGCCATCACGCGTCTTTGAATTATACACTTGTAGAAAAAAATCTTACCCATCGAAAGGTTCGGTAACGATTCCCCTTGGGTTTAGCACGTCATCGCTGACGATGATCGCTCGATTGTTTCCGTCATATCGAGACACGCAGATGTGATTCAACTGAAAGTCTGTCCAGTAAAGATTCTTGGCCAGCCAGTCAACAGCAACACCTGGAGGAGAATGGGATGGTGGGTTGGTTACATGGTTGATTCGTTAGTTGTCTCAACGGTCGACTTGTCCCGAGTCGAGTTGGCTCAACGGTCGACTTGTCTGACATTCGTTTGATAAGTTGGTCATTTTATTTGTAGTGTCTAGGTCGATCGGTCAGAAGCCATACGGGTTGATTGGTGTTGGATGATACCTCGATTGCTTGCTCGGTTAATAAGGGTTGTTCGCTCGTTACTTTGCTGCTTGTGGCTGCATGGCTGACAGATCGACTGGCTTTCTGGATGGTTTGATTTGCTTGCTTGCCAGTGCTAGTTTACTAACTTGCTTTAATTACTTTCTTTCCTGCAATGAGCCAGCCGACTACGGTCACTGACTGATTGACCGATTTTACATGTATACAATTTCAAAATGTTTATCCTAAATTTAGACCTCCTGCCAAATCCACCTCGACTAGGCAAGGCTTGTTACGGGTTTTTTTTTGGGGGGGGGGGGGGGGAGGGGGGCGTCTATCTTTCAAGTAATTTCCCAAATATCTTTCAAGTACATCATTGAGCATTCCTTTGGCAAGCAGTTTATTAAACTGAAATTAACTACTCTCGTAAAAGATTACAATAGACAAATAAATAATGATAAGTAACTCTCTCATTTGCAGTGTCCTCACCTTCAACGCTACCCAGTCCATACAACAGTTGCGCAGGCTGAGCCTGGTCACGTCTGTACTTAAACAGCTTCCCACTGATAATATCAGAGAAGAAGATGATGTTTTCGTTTGCATCCGTTGCCAAAGCAACCACGAAGTCTTGATCATCAAGGAAACAGACGGGATTTGTGAGCAGCTTAGTTTCGTTGTCGATCCGATAGGAACAGATGGACTCCCCTCTAGCTTCAACAATAGTGTTGGCTGCAATTTCAAATAGATTCGCAGAAATAATTATTGTGAGTCTTTGGTCTCTATTTGACCACTGTAATGGCCCAAGGGCGGATCCAGGGGGGGGGGGGGGAAGGGGGCCATGCCCCCCCCCCAAAAAAAACAACACCGAAACCAATTTTTTTTTTTTTTATGTGACGTCGCAATAAAGGCAGGCAATGAGTACACCACCATCTTTTCCTCAAAAAACATTGGCTAAGGCCAAAAAAAAAAGTCTCCGGTTTCTGGTATGCGCGCGCGTCGCCGTAGCCATGCGCGTCGGCAAAATGAAAAAGTTTTTTTTCAATACAAGATGATGTCTCAAAACTGCCAAACTCACTGGTTTGACTGGAATCCTGCTGCTGCACAATTTTAACGTGTTTTTAGATGGGGTTATGATCGAGAATAAGCTTTATGTGGCCTCTCTGGACTCCCATATATTTGCACTAAGTTTAGTCGGGCACCATTTGCAGTCATCAGCCGACATTTGAAGCCAAAAAAAAAAAAAAAAACAGGTAAAAAAAAAAAAAAAAGCCGCGTCGCCGCACCACTTTTGGGGCAAGCTCCATACCAGAAACCGGAGACTTTTTTTTTTTTGGCCTAAAGTGGTCAGAAATTGCCTCAGATCGCACCACAGAGCATCGATCGAGAATCCAAAAAAAATTCGGGCCTTTGAGCGGGCCCCGAACCCCACGCCGTAATTTTTTGACCCACTTTTTGGGAGACACAAAAAAAATTTTTTTGCCCCCCCCCAAAAAGGGGGTTCTAGATCCGCCCTTGTAATGGCCTCCAGTAACGTACTGCATTTGAGTCAAAATGGTGTAAAAATTAGTTTAGTAAACAATAACGTGGATACATTTTGGTTAGGTTGCTTTGAAAGAAGCAACTTGAACCAATGCAATTTCCACTTTAGGACATGACCGATTACTGTCTAATGAAACTGTATTTTTAAAGACACCATCATCTTACCTTTTGTTCCATCGAAATACACATCAGCCATTCCAAGCATCACTAGTAACCACGGTGACAGCAAAGGAGCCATTTAGAGGGGTTTTATTCTGCTTACTTGTATAAAGGTTAAGTTGACTCACCGCGCATATAGAGTACAGTTATTATTGTTTTGGTGCATGGGCTTAAACTTGCATGACTAGTTCCTGTGTAACCCAATCTCTCGGAACCATGGACCAAGGTTGTCTGTGCGATCGTTGTTCCTTGCTCTATGAATGATCCTAGCAAATGTACATTATGTACATGTACAATCAGTAGGCCTAAACAACTTGTTGGCAGCATCAAGCCTCAAGGATCCCCGCGATCCGGCACGTACAGCCGGCCAAGCACCACGCAGAGCTCGCGGTACAAAAGGATTTACTCTGTGACCCGGGGTCACTGAGTGTTGTTCCACTGAGGCCTACACTTTGCTGAAGACACTGACAAGCAATATACGATTTGGGGTTCAATGGTTGAGTAATGTTCTCGGTTTGCTAACTAAACGCGATGTCAACATGTAAGAAAACTAATGTGTTTCCTCTGTTGTTGAGTTGATCATGGAGATGTGATATATTCCCTAGGAGAGATGACCGAGTTATTTCTCGCAAGTCATCACAAATCTCACAGCTCCAGACTCGATACTCGTTCTGAGATGAGGTTAAATTCCGAATACGACGAAACAAGGGTTCCTCCGTCACAAGAAGGAGTAAGGTTCTTGCTGGAATGTAACTGATGAGACCGTCCTGGGAGAATTGTGGAAGAGAGTTTTCCTTTCACGCAGCGAAATGTCTTGATGCTATTGTAGATTTCACACCAGAAACTGGCATCAGTAAAAACGACTGAATTCCCCGTACAACATCTCTGGCCAGAGTACTCAGCCAAATTGAATTTCCGAATCTTTTTCTGAAGTTATAATGAGGAAGACACTCTAGACGAAAGATGCTTGAGACGTTGTACCAGGAAGTGATGGTGTCAGTTTGTTCGCATCGTCATCCGCAGCACAATGATGATCCCAACTTATGACACAGCTACAGAGAATGCATCGTCGGGCCTAATAAGCTATTATTCACCACCAACACTGAGTGAGTGGCCAGTCACCCATAGGGGTGCACGATGGGGCCCACAAGGGGTGGTCAGGGAACAATAGAGGTCTGATTACGTAGGCAAGGTGTACATGTACAATAAGGGAATACTGTTACATGCACTTATGGTCAGGAGATGGAATAAGTTTACAATACAGGGATCATTGATGGATGCGTGTTTGCGGCTTAAATTTTCAGTTACATTCTGTGTAAGAAAGAAATCTGCAAGACTCGTATACTTTAAGGGAATGTACATCATTGGCTTTCGCTGTAATTTTCAGAAATGAACTATAGTTGAGGGGTTAGTATAACAGATCAAATAGGCCTATTGTTACACTGACATGTTTGAAGTGTTGTGTCCGAAAATGCTGGAAAAACCAAACAAATTTCACGTAGTCTGGTTCCCTGAATCCACTAAAGATGAAATGGATCAATTTTTAGATGCCAAAAATTGTAAGGTAAAGGAACCAGTCTAGCTGGCCTGCACCCGTTCATGAACATGTAATCAATAGCAAACACAATTTGGACTGAAACAAATGGTAAATTTGGAGCAAGTAGTTGAAAAATAGTCAGGTTTTTCAAACGGTGGTCGGCCGACCACCGTTGGAAATGTATACAAAAATACCATTTTCTTGAAAATGTCTTCACACCAGGTACCATAGTTTTACAGGATGCTTTAGACTGTCATTTATCAACATACTAGTAAGGTTTTTCGTAAAAACTTGGTAGTTTTATTTTTCGATGTTTGCAAATGTTGTATTTTCCCTTTAAGGCCTCACCGCAGCATGGCTATACTTCCATGGTCAGTTCAGGGAACCTAAAGAAAGAAAGAAAAGTCATAGGCACTGATGATAGAGGCAGGCTTGGGAGTGTTCTAATTCTTCCATCCATGGGAGAACTCGTTTATTTGGAAAACAGCTAATGGAATATCTAAAGCCTTCTGAAAGACACTCGTGTGCGTGTACTCGGAACAATAATAATAATCTCTCGCGAAGGCCGTTGAACGGTTCGGCTGTGATGAGAGTGTATATGGTTTTTAAAGAAAACGGAGGAAGTGCACATTTTTTTTTTTTTTTTTTTTAAAACGTCCGTGTTGTCGTCCATGGACAAAAAGGGCGTGGTGATGGACAGTACGTGGGACCACCGCTTCAATGAAAAGAAACTGTCATTCACTGGACCGACAATGGAGGGGAAAATTAAAGTGGCAAATGTTTCGGGGACGGATGTGAGTAGTGGTATGCCAATTAAGTAGGCCCCAATTGGCATGGGCGTCGCCAGGATTTTTTCTAGGGGGGGGGGAGGCAAAACATATGTTTTCCCCAAAATTCCTGTATTTCTCATAATTTTCTCGATTTACTAGTTTCAGAGGGGGGCAGGGACATTTTGTCCCCCCCCAACCTATAAGGGCCCCCCCCTTGCCCCCCCCCCCCCCCCCCTCGGGCATTCACGCAGTTCTACCGAATGCTAACGAGCGCACATTATTGTTATAAGACCTCTTTTTTACAGTCGGGAATTTAGATTTTTCTTAATTTTTATTGTTAGTATTATTTTCGCACAAAAAATTGTTTCTTTTTAGTCCTAATAACCCGAGGCCCCATATTATGGTCGCCGCCCACAAAAATACCAGGCGCCCTCTATAACAATATTTAACATCCGGGAATTGCTTTTGTCTCCTTTTCAGTGGTGCCCGGCGGTACGTGAAGAGCGTTCACACTTTTTAGGAACCAGCGACAATGAACTCGTTTAGCAAAACAGGAAGAATTTTGACATTGAGTGCTGAACACGAGAAAGGAATGCGGTCGAAATTTCCCGATAGAGGGAAAACTTCAAACCTCCTTTGGTTCTGCTTGTAACGTCTGATAGAATGTACTACATGGACTCAAGTATGGTAAATTTTAAGCATAACGAGTGTCAGAATTAGACGTAAAAAGGATGTTATTTTGGTGTGAAGCTTGGCCGGTACAGTTAAATCATAGTCTGGTTCACGTACATTACGGTAATGCATACTGCTGGATGGAGAGAGGACAGTACCCAGACTGTGTTATTGCGTGTGTAAAATTCTAAAAAGAAAAAAAAAAATTTTAATTTGTGTACATTTATTTATTATGATACACATGATGTAGGCCTAGGTCTAGTAAAAATGTTTTACGTCTGAAGTATCTTAGGGGAATCACACAGCTTTTGTTTTCACGGTCTTTTTCATTTGTTCACTCAGCATGCTCAGTCATCATGGTCATGTCTGTCAGTTTGTCTGTCAATGACGTTGGACAGTGTTGGAATAGCCTTTGAAAAAAATATAAATAGGCCTAGGCCTAGGCCTACATTTCAATTTTCATGACATTGCGGGCCTACAATCACCTACTTGCAGTTGCAATAAGGTGTTTCACGAAAATATGCGCCATCTTGCCTGCGGGGCAATTTTACACGCGTTGCTGTGTACGCATCGTCTTTCGAAAGCTTTGGCGCTTCCAACTTCCAAGTCATCATGCGTTCATTCTAAATGTGCCCGTGTCTAGCAACGTGTGTTCTTTTTGCCCCGCCAACAAGATGGCGCATGTTACTGTGAAACACCTTATTTAAATTATTATTATGCTGCCAATACCGACAATATGATTGTGTATATTATAATGACTTGAATAAGCACGGTAATAATATACGGCATATGGGACAAAAAGAACACGCTTAGCTGACGCGAGCATATTGGAATGAATGTACATGTATGATGACTTGGAAGCCCAAAAGTTTTCTATTGACGTGTGTACTACATCAACATCTACTTCCAGAATTGTAAGGTTTTTTTCGACCTCCAAACTCTCCCTTCACGTAATATTCGGCCCCAGTATTTCACATGTACTACTTTGGTGTAGATATGTACCTAGTCTAGGGTGGGTTGAAAACCCTCAAATGTTAACAAAAAATGTGAAATTTACCAGAATTTTGCTCACCAGCATAGGCTCCGCAGCCTTCACTCGGCCGTCTGTCAGTCTGTCAGGTCAGCTGTCGACTTAGGGCGTTTTAATTCCCTTGACCAATCACATTGCATCTTTCATTCACGGGCGAGATGCAAGGGCAATGGAGAATTGATAGGCGCATTTCTTTTCATATACATATAAAATAATCCAATTCATTCTGTGTTCAAAGAGTTAAATACAATTTTTTTTTCATTCCTCTTACATGTACAGGTATGGAGCCGTCATAGAAAACTGCAGAATTGAACCTTATTGAGGAGACATCATCTACGTGCATCATACAATTTCAAACAGTAGACTTTCAACAGTGCCCTTTTTAAGCTGTACAGGAATAACTGGTCTCGTTCAAATTTCATTGGTGCCCGTCCTGCAGTCTACCAATACCATTAGAATCATGAGCACGGTGACGACCAATGGGGGCAGCAGTCCGGGCGCGCTCAGTCCGGGGGTCAGCCCGGGGGTCAGTGGTCGCAAACGAACCACCAACAGGGCATATAAGGCAGAGGACCAGGCACTGTCTGATATCACACAGGAGGTAGGCATCGATTTCACTGGTTTCCATTCTCAAAATAAACATACGGTTAATGAGAGCATGTAAATTTATTTTCAGACTTTTCATGCAAATGGATGAAAGGGATGAAATGAAACTAAGGCCAAAAAAAAAAATATTCGGTCTCTGGTCAGACCAAAGTTCCGGAATTGACGCGGCGATGCAGCTTTTTTTTTTTTTTTTTTTAAGCTTGGATTGTACAGACAAGGTGGGGTACTATTTTGCTTTTTTGGTGTCCTCATGTACATTGGTGTCCTCCATAATTTGCCTTGGTGCTTTCGATCATTTGCCTTGGTGCAATTTCCCATTCCTTGGTGCTCTTTGGTAAAAAAAATTGAGGAGGTGCGGAAATAGAGGGTGCTGTTGGAGCTACCGCGGAACATATTGGGAAAAAAAAGATCGACGCGCATGATTAAAATCGACGCGCGCGCTGACCAGAGACCAACTTATTATTTTTTTTGGCCTAACCTTGTAAAAAGTTGAAATTTTTTCTTGTAAAAAGGTCTTGTATGCAAATTTTATCGAGTTCCATCATAAAGGACATCATGTACATGAATTGTTGAAAACAAGCTTTTCACACAAATCCTAACTTTAATTTCCTGCTACTTTTGATCGGATGTTTCCTGAATCAACCAAATTCCCAATCCTTATACGACCCTGATACTTGAACGGTCCGAAATCCATAAAAAGTACTACAAATCTACACAAAGGTGTTGGAATTTTAGCAGAATTTAGAGTAATAAGGATATGATGTGTTCAAATGAAATGTGTATTGAAAGATTATTGTGCTCAAATTCTTTCCATTTGACCAATACAAGGTATGTTAACACATATGAAATGCCAACAGCAATTCATTTATGTTGTCAATTTAGGACATGTAAATATATGCAATGACTCATAATAATGCAATAAAACAGGGATAACCAATTACCCATGTACGGTACTTGTATCGTATTTTATAAAAGCCAGTTACATGTACTTTATATGAACGCCCACTTTGTGTGGTGAGCAGGTGGTGTGCAGTCGATGCCTCACACTGCGAGGCGTCAAGAAATCGCAGCCGGGGGAGTTGTCTGTTATTGTGCAGAATATATTGACAATTTGATCTGTCTTTACGGTTTAAGCATATATAAAATGAGATTCACAAATGTACAAAAATGTAGTAGGGCCTATGTGAAAACTGTGGAGGGAAAATGATTTACACGAATTGAAGGAAATATGAAGGTGACCAAAAAAATATCTTTCTTTTGTTTAACTCACTTGTTTATTGAACTTTGTTTTGGTGTTCGTTTGTGTTTGTGATATTTTCATTTGAGGATATTTACAGGCAAAAACTTAACACAAAAATTGTTCTAAAATGTCCGTTTTATTAGCACCCCAACCTCCTGCACGGATTTCCCACCGTTTAAAATCGCATACATGTATGTGACTTACGTTTTTGTTTTTCTTTCTCTAATTTAGGCGGAAGCTAGACTGGCCAAAAAGCGTCAAGCGAGGGCCGAAGCGCGAACTATCCGCATGAGGGAGCTTGAAAAACTGCAAAAAGAGGTAATCATTTAATTTCCATTTTTAAAGGATTCAACTATTTCTCCACCTCTGTATATTTGTTTTCAGTGCATACACGGATCCTCCTAAAAGAATTTTAAAATGAAAACTTGTCTGTGTTTGATTTTCCAGGCAGAAGAACAAATGGATAAGGAATATGAACAACAGAAAGAAGAAAAGAAAAGCGTAAGTAGCTCAAAATGAACTCAAACTGAAGTTGTGGGTGTGTCTTGTTCTAAATGTCACTTGAGATCAGAGAGGTCACTTTTCATCATTCTAGGGTCGATCCCACGCACTTGACTTGCATCATTTTCATACCAGCTGGTTTATATTTAGAAAATGGAAGTCAGCAAATATGTTAGTGCCCATTAGCCATGTTTTCTAGCTGTTGACAATCGAAGTAGAGCTTTCAATGTGTAATTATGACATAAATTCATCTTTTTCTATTTTTCTTTGTGGGCAAAAAGTGTGTGTAAAGTACATAGGCATGTATTAACCCTAAGCCCTTGAGTAATTTATTAGGAACCTTCTTTACTCTTGCAAAATCCAACACCATATGGTAAACTCAACACCTAAACTGTTGGACTCTGATTATGGTGGTATGCCTGACCCCATGTAAAGCATTTAATCAGTTTACTAGTGCAGTACTCACTCCAACAGATTCCAACAAAACATGCAGTTGGATTTTGAAGGGTTGGGTTGGTTAGGGTTTTAGTGTATATTGGACCATATACAATAGATTTAGTGATCATTCTAGCTGTCTAGCATTAGCACTGTTTCATGCAATTTTTCTTAATCTCATCACTCGTTGCTCACCTTATTTGGGATCGTTTGTAGCACCGACTAAGAATCATGGTAAATTGGCATGCTATTCAAATTGTTGGGGTAGTGTGTACATCTTGTGAAGGTCCAATTAGTTATTCTTAGGCCAAAAAAAAAATACTCCGGTCTTTGGTCAGCGCGCGCGTCGATTTTAAACATGCGCGTCAACTTTTTTTTTTCTTCAAATTAACACGGAAGCTACAACAGCGCCTTCTATTCCCGCACCTCCTCAAATTTGTGTACCAAGGAGCACCAAGGAATGGGGAAATTGCACCAAGGCAATTGATAAAGGGCACCAAGGCAAATTATGGAGAACACCAATGTATAATGAGGGCACAAAAAAGCAAAATAGTACCCACCTTGTCTGTACAATTCAAGCTGGAAAAAAACAAAAACCAAAAAAAAAAAAAAAACGCGTCGCCGCATCAATTCCGGAACTTCGGTCTGACCTTAGACCGATTATTTTTTTTTTATTGGCCTTATGTGTTTTTTTTTATTTTTACATTTTTTTTTTGTAAGCCAAATAAATTGTGATATATTTTGATTTGTCAAAATGCATGTTCTACCACCAATTTTTTTTCTTCCATCATATTTCTATGTCGGTTTTGTTACCGTTTCCATTCTTACATTTTTTATTGACTTTTAGTATATCTTTTTGGAAATAACATACATTGTTACTTTCATTGACCATTCAGTGAAATACATTTAAATTAGTGATATGTACACAAATTTTATGCATCGTACATATACATATTTTGTTTAGGTATTTAGTCATGTGTTCTTATTTGACTTATCATCGTGTGGCACTTTGTCCCGTATGTTTTTAGATTGCAATCCTCACTATGTTAATCATTATGTCCCCATGCATGCACCCCCAGCTGTATTTGATATCCGGTGTATTTTCATTGCAAGTCATGTATGAATAGAGATTCTGTTTCTACACATAACACAGTGGCGTCATTGATTGCACAGTGGCCCAAATGCCACCCCGATGAAAAGATAGCATGTCAAGCTTTCAATAATTCTCATTGCATGCACTGTCTGCTTTCACAAGTTGTTTATTAGTTTTTATTTTTTTCCCTAACCCCATATTTAGTTCAAGCCTAATTTAAAGGGAGTATACAACATTTGCAAACATCGAAAAACAAAACTACCAAATTTTTACGAAATACCTTACTAGGATGTTGGTAAATGACAGTCTAAAGCATTCTGTAAAATTATGGCACCTAGTGTGAAGTCATTTTCAAGAAAAGTGGTATTTTTGTATACATTTCCAATGATGGTCGGCCGACCACCGTTGGAAAAAACTAACTATTTTTCAACAACTGCTCCAAATTTACCATTTTGTTTCAGTCCAAATTTTGTTTGCTATTGGTTACATGTTCATGAACGAGTGCAGACCAGTTAGACTGGTTCCCTTACCTTACAATTTTCCGGCATCTATAAATTGATCCATTTCATCTTTAGTGGAGTCAGGGAACCAGACATCTTGAACATTTTTGTTTTTTCTTGTTTTTTCCAGCATTTTCGAACACAAAACTTCAAACATGTCAGTGTAACAATATTTGATATATTATACTAACCCCTCAAATAGTTCATTTCTGACAATTACAGCAAAAGCCAATGATGTACATTCCCTTTAAAACGTGTGTATGCAAACTTAGTCCACATTTTTTTGCAGACATGTTATTATTATGTTAATGTGTTCATTATGTACAGTGTATTCTCCCCATGGTTTAACTTTTAAATCAACAATTTTTTTTTTTTTGCTGGTTGTTAAAAAAAAAAGCATTAAGTTGAATTCTGGAGCCATATCTGCAGTTGGCATCCACCCAGTACTCATTGTAGTTATTGTTTACGCGACCTGAATTTGAAGGACGTCTCGTGATAAAAAGGTTGAGGGGTTTCACTATGAATGGAGAAAATTTGGCACCAGAGTATAGAATGTTAAAGGTTTGGGAATTCTCTAAATTGTCAAGGTCAAAGTACTGTCAAATGTATTCTGGTTCCACCAGTAGTGTTACTTCTAGTGATTTTTGTCAAAACCTGTTTTGAGTTGAAATGATGGTTTAATCCACACAACCTCAAATATTGCAAAATCCAGTGATACGTTTTGTAGGATTTTAATGGATGTGAGATTTTGTAGTCCAGGAACTACAGTATATTATCAAAAGGAAAGCTTGATTTTTCTAATTTGTGTTGTTTAGCACACAAAAAACGATGTTATTTCAAGTCGACTTGGCCATACTTATATGTAGGTTTATTTATGGTTTCCAGCAAGTGTTAGAGCTACTGCAAAGGCAGCATCTTATGACCTACATGTATTTCACTATGTGATTAAATAACATTTAAATATAGTCTAAGGAGTGGTGACATTAAACAAGCCATCATTAGCAAGACATACTGTACATCAAATAATTGTTGCAGTCATCAGATTTTTTTTATAGCAGATGAAGTCATGCATGACAATATTCTGAAATATAATGAGTTTGGAAGGGCGTGGCAACAACATTAATAGGAGATATTAACAGAAAACAATATGATAGAAATCATAACAATACATTGAACATAGTAAGTGTCTAAACTTGGTATCAAGGATATTTTTAATGGCCCAGTGCCAACAGGAAACTTAGTGGTGTATTTGAATGTAACAGTCATTTTGTGATAAGGTCTTAAAAAAAGAAAACTGGTTATTCATCTCGGTATGGTTTAGGATTATCTTACATCAAAATAGTGACGCCACAGACCACGTAGGACAGGAAAATAATGTCCTATTAGTGAATTTCTTTGTGAGAGTTCTGGGTAGGATGATAAAAATGGTAAGAACGGCATGATGTGCCACGAACTTAATACTCTAAGTGAGCCGAATATTTGGGGGTTTGCTCCCTGCTTATAAAAGTAATGACTTACAGGAATGTGAATTGTCTTCAAACATTGTGTCCTTAAAAGTTTATATTTTTGCCAGGTCTAGATATAATAAGTTAATGGTTTTAGCATTAGGTTTAGCAGTCGTACACACTAACCTGCACATTCATGTTGAATTGTAAGTGTCAACACAAATATGTACAGTGTTGGCTCTCATTTTTAATTCCTCTTTTTCCCCAGAAATCTACCGGAGTTCTCCCGGCAACTGTCCCCAATTCCAGTGGGGGCAGCTCCTCTCGAAGAGGCAGCACTGACTCCAACGAGTTTGAATCGGCTACACTCAAGGTAAACCAGTTGTCAGTGAATGGGCATTATTGATACCAATCTGATAATTGTTTCTTTGTTTGTTTGGGTAAATTTACATACATCCGAGGTGAAAAATCTCAGAGGTCCTTTGTGAAATCTAGCATGTGTGAATGGAATTTTGAGTTGGCCGTCAAGGCAAAAGCTGAATATTCTAAGAGGTTTCTTTGTGGAATTCTGCATGTGTGAAAAGGACTTCTCACTGGTGCTTTGTGAAGGTCCTGTCTCTCAGTGGAAGCTTGAAAACCTTTGGGGCAATTCCACGGTTACTCATGTTACATTTTTAATGTACTTTTGAGTTTCCTTGGGCTGTAATTACCTTACTGAAAAGGTTTAATAACTGTTATCCCCATGGTAGATAGAGTAGACCTAGACCTACCTAAGCACCAAAGATGACATCCAGAAAAATATGTTATGTATGATAAACAAGACGCACAAAATCGGTTACTCACGTTACGAAAATGTAACGTAAAATGTGCGTCTTGTTTACCATACATAGCACATTTTTCTGGATGTCATCTTTGGTGCTTAGGTAGGTCTAGGTCTACTCTATCTACCCTGAGGATAACAATTATTAAACCCTTTCAGGCAGGTAATTACAGCCCAAGGAAACTCAAAAGTACATCAAAAATGTAACCTGAGTAACCGTGGAATTGCCCTTTGGTTGACTTGGAGATAACTTGATTGAAATGTGTCGCATCTAATCGGGCACAAGATTTTTGAGACTGTTGTCTGAAATCAGACTTTTTGAATCTGAGAGAAAGACAGTAGTAGTATAGAAAAATATGCATTTTTCAGACATTTTGTCTGTTTCAGACCTTTTTTTTTCAATTGACAGTCTCATTCCTGAATCTAATCCAGTGTAATACATATAGGTAAATTATAATAATTGGTTATTGGTGAAATTACATAATTTTTTGAGAGTTGTACTTTTTGTTTTTAGAGTTGTACAACTGTACATTTGTATTTCAGTGGTTTGGGTCTAGACAGTGCCTAACAAAGTTCAATAGGAATGAATTTTGATATTGATTTAAGAAAAAAGAAAAAAACCTATCTTGACGCTACTTTGATTAAGAACCTTTTTCAGACGTGATAAATGTTTGTGACAATTACAGGTTATGCGCATTTTATATTTTTTGCATGGGTAGCATAAATACAAGAATGACTTGCACATTGCATTTTGTGTAATCAATTGAAAAGACTCAAGTAAAAGTGGATATTTGTCCAGTCAGTGTGACAGATACGTGTGCGATACAGGCGTCCACATTTTTACGGAAAAAGTATCTTACCGTGCATAAGGCAAAAAAAAAAAAAAACACTCGGTCTCTGGTCAGCGCGCGCGTCGATTTTAATCATGCGCGTCAACCTTTTTTTCTCCTCAAATTAACATGGAAGCTACAACAGCGCCCTCTATTGCCGCGTCTCCTCAAATGTTTGTACCAAGGAGCACCAAGGAATGGGGAAATTGCACCACGGCAAATGATAAAGGGCACCAAGGCAAATTATGGAGGACACCAATGTATAATGAGGACACAAAAAAGCAAAATAGTACCCACCTTGTCTGTACAAAATACAAGCTTGAAAAAAAAAAAGCCACCCAAAAACAAAAAAAAACGTGTCGCCGCATCAATTCCGGAACTTCGGTCTGACCAGAGACCGACTATTTTTGGGGGGCCTAATTTGCATGTTCAATTTGTGTTTGATTAAAGTACAGCAGGTTGTTTTCAAAGAATGACTTCTTACAATCCGAGGTATAAAAACACAACTGTTTCATCAAGGTAAATAAAAAAAAAAAACCAACAACATTTTTCCATATGTGGTAACTTGCTTATTGGCCTTTGAAATTGTACAAGTATGTTAATTTTCCTGTGGGGAAACAGCCTATGGGTTTTCCAACACGTACTGCTCCTTATAAGTGCTAAATCGTCGGCCACTTTTCTTTCACTCACATCAAGTCACACGACTTGCCATGTTTAATGCTTCCTTGGAAGGTGATGTTCAAGTCTGCTTAAGTCTTAACCACTATAAATACACATACGAACTGTATGCATCGAGAAATTTGTTATTTTTTTGTAAACGTTGAAGAATGAGACTGAGTCCCTTGAAATTTATGATGCTCTTGTTTCATGATATCAAGTGAACCTGTGTTTTGAATGGTGTTAATCTTGAATACTAAGTGCATTTTAAGTATGATACATGTATTAAATAGGGTGACGGATTTAACATTTTGCCGGGTAAGAACATGTGGAGGTCAGAGGTCATGACCTACAACCTGAAATGGTACCTTTGAACAGTCAAGTGGATGGACACGTACGAAGCTGACAAAAGGTGGTTGTAGTCTGCATGTAATAAAGCATTGGCGCTTGGATGCATGTAGGGAACCCTGACTCCTCCAATGGGATGCATGCATGTCTTGGAACTGGGATGGTGCTGAATGAAGAACAAATAGTCCAACATGCCTGTCTTCACAGTTTTGTGTCAGGTTTAAGAAAAAAGATGTGCATATATGCTGGACAGAATACTGGCCAAGATAAAATTAAAGCTATAGTCCATCATTTGTAATTTGTGCATTTTGTTCGTTTGAAGCAACAATAGTGCTCAAAATCTAAAGAAGGGTACTGAACAACTAGCCTGATGAAGTTTCAGCTCAACTTCAGCTGTTAATATTTCGAGAAAAACAACATTCTAGGATCTCGATTTCAAATCAAAAGTTGCTGAATCATGTTTTAAATTGGGCCTGAATTCAGCGCCCGAGACACATTCTCACTGAGCTGATTGCAGCTGCGCGATGTCACGCACTGATCCGACGAATTCGGACGAATTATGGCAACCGCGCGCGTGTGCGTCGTGCCAATGCTTGCGCGCACTTCGCCTGCACTTCGCCTATTGAAAAAAACGAACTACTAACGGAAATTTCCAACGGTGCTTCTTAAGACGCACCGTTGGAAAGGCCTTCTTTCGTTGATTTCTTCAAAATGGCAGCTTGCCAGAAAGAATAATTTCACAGGGAGTTTAGTCCCCTTACTATCTTTCAACCAAGTATGTTTTTCAACAATAACTACGCCAGTTACTTTTCGGATAGCTGCAAATGATAGACTGTAGCTTTAAATACTGCACCAATGCATACAGATACAAGTTGGGTTTTGAGACGTTAAAATCCAATGTGTCATTCATTGAATACTCTGTCAAGTTCACTATTCCGTTGCATGAGAGAAAGTCAGTTCAGTGAAATTTAGGTTATTGCCATTCAGCCCCATCCTTGACTAAGCTAGGACTTGAGTCCATATTTCCAGTACATGTATAAAGATATCTCCGTCTTAATGTCCAAACAGAGTGATACATCAGAGCCCCTGGGTGAGGAAGAACCCAGTCCAGAGGAATTGGTACGTTGTCCAAAGAAAGAACAAACAAAAAGTCTGCACTTCGCTCAACCTCATTTTTGTTTTCGTTGTGGATTTCTTTCCCTATTTTTGATTGGTTCAAAGTATACTAATGACACCTGCTATTTAACCAATCAGTGCGCTCCTTACAGCTTGCTCCTTTTCCCTCTAGTAGATGGAGTTTAGTGGTATACAGCCGAGGGGTTTTGACCTTGTAGCTGAGGCATAGAGGTCGAGTCAAAATTGTAAGATCACAGTTTTCATGACTGTAGTGTATTTAAAAAAAAAGAAAAATTGTTAGTCCAAATATCTGTAACGTGAAACTAAATCACAAAATACCGTACACACATCCCTTCTAATGCTCTTTAATATGAACCCTGAGTTTCTTTTTTCTGTTTCAAAGATCCTTTTGAAACATTTGTGGTTTTGATTAAAAAAAAGTTGTACATTGCTGAGAACTGTGACTTAAAGAGGTTGTGGAATGCTCGAAGACATTTCCGTCATTTTTCGGGTATATGTAGCCTAAGGTGTGATGAAATAAAAACAACTATTGTTTCTGTCATAAAATGAGTACAAAAGGTACTTTTGAGAGCTGTTTTTCAAGTCCTGTCATGCCTGTTTCGACCCGAACGTGCAATTTGTGTAAAAGTCGTCGTTGCGGGCAGCAAACAAAACACAGTAAATCGTGACGTAATAAACAGGACTCCCGATGCAGAGTAGCATAAACGAGTCCTGTTTATTACGTCACGATTTACTGTGTTTTGTTTGCTGCCCGCAACGACGACTTTTACACAAATTGCACTTTCGGGTCGAAACAGGACCTGAAAAATAGGTATCAAAAGTACCCTTTGTACTCATTTCATGACAGAAACAATAGTCGTTTTTATTTCATCACACCTTAGGCTACATATACCCCAAAAATGACGGAAATGTGAAATGTCTTTGAGCATTCCACAACCTCTTTAACTTTACATTGACTCGAGGTACTTGGATTGTCAAGATAGCACTCATGGATAGATCGCGTAGTGTGTGAGCAAATAATAAAACAGCAGTGTATAATGGTCGGATCTGGGAATGTAAGATGGGTTTTAGCTGACCGCGTAGATGCTGGGCACTACAGAATGTCCAAATTAAAAGTGTGTCAAAATATATTTTTAAGTTGTAGGTCTAGTCATTCATGCAATAGTATTTACAATTCCATATTTTTGTGTAAACAATTGCAGAGAAAACATGACAATCTTTTGACTGTTTTTTTTTCTTCATGAAGTTTTCTATAATTAGAGTAATCGTACATTTTCTTACAGTTTTTTTTTTAGAAATTCTTCCATCAACTGTACATTCATTATATCTTTACTTTATGTGGATCTTTAAGAGCAGTTTTAGTAATACATGTACACTTCATAACTTTTTGTATGTGTTACATATCCATGAAGACAGTAGCACATGTATGTTGCACAATAGTCTCTCAATACAACGTTTGGCTAAAAGCTCACATAAAATTACCCGTAAATTCTCAGCCATACATTAAATCCCCAAGTTGCAAGTGGCTTGGTTTCCCTTTTATTTATAAGCAAGGTAACATCATTTGTCAAAGAGACCTGGATCGTGGATAATGTTTTTTTGCCCTCCGAGCATGAAGTTCCATGCCTGAATTCAATTCCTATACGATACAAGAAAATGAACAATGCGACTGTATGTTGTTGGCCTGAATCCCATAGAGTTAACACTAGTATTTTGCTGTACCTTATTGCCGTCCCCCAAAAATTGCAGTGATGGTCTGCCAGATTTTATGCAAAAGTGACCAGAATAACCGTAACGGTTATAATCAGAACCGGAGGACTTTGTTGACTCTAACCAATTCTTTTCTCTTTATCATCAAGGAGTGAAGCTATCAAGTTTTAAAGTTTCATCTGTTTCGAAAGATTATTTTTAAGAAATTGATTGTTTTGCTTCGAGAGCCGCAACAGGTGTATAATTGGTTTGCTTGAATTGATTTTTTAAAATGGCAGGTTTTGATTTTGAGGCAAGATTAACCGGCTGCTTTTAACCCAAGGTTTACCTGCAATTGAAAAGGTTGATTGTTGCTAATACATTTAATAATGCAAGTTCATGTATTATTCATTAGCTAGTGAATATTCATCACGGGTTTGTTAATACCGTACCTGTACCTACCAAGTATATTTCTGTCATCTTATCAGGCCAGTGTGCTCCATCTGAAAGAAGTACACGTACAGTAAACCTATGATGAATATGCATTAGCCTAATGAATATTTCATTTATATGAATACTCATTTGCATGTGTGTCTGCTGCCCGCAGGAAGCACTGGCTGACTTGGAGGAGAAGTACAAGAAAGCAATGATGAACAATGCCCAGCTGGATAACGAGAAAGGCACCTTGATTTTTGAGGTTGACATGCTGAAGGACCTGCAGGAGGAACTAGAGGAATCAATGATGGAGATACAGAGGGAAGCGAAGGATAAACACAGGGTAAGTGCTGGCAAAACCTCGAAGGTTATGGCTGAACCTCATGAGTGTGGGTAGAAACTCATTGCTTGTCAGCCACCTTGATGGTTGGGGTCACTTGAGGTACATATGCTCAAGGACCTGCAGGAGGATCTAGAGGAATCAATGATGGAGATACAGAGGGAAGCGAAGGATAAATACAGGGCAAGTGCTGGTAAAACCTCAAAGGTTACGGCTGAACCTCATGAGTGTGGGTAGAAACTCATTGCTTGTCAGCCATCTTGATGGTTGGGGTCACTTGAGGTGCATATGCTCAAGGACCTGCAGGAGGATCTAGAGGAATCAATGATGGAGATACCGAGATACAGAGGGAAGCAAAGGATAAACACTGGGTGAGTGCTGGTAAAACCTCAAAGGTTATGGCTGAACCTCATTAGTGTGGGTAGAAACTCATTGCTGGTCAGCCACCTTGATGGTTGGGGTCACTTGAGGTGCATATGCTCAAGGACCTGCAGGAGGAACTAGAGGAATCAATGATGGAGATACCGAGATACAGAGGGAAGCGAAGGATAAATACAGGGCAAGTGCTGGTAAAACCTCAAAGGTTATGGTTAACCTCATGAGTGTGGGTAGAAACTCATTGCTTGCAGCCACCTTGATGGTTGGGGGTCACTTGAGGTGCATATGCTCAAGGACCTGCAGGAGGAACTAGAGGAATCAATGATGGAGATACCGAGATACAGAGGGAAGCGAAGGATAAATACAGGGTAAGTGCTGGTGAAACCTCGAAGGTTATGACTGAACCTCGCGAGTGTGGGTAGAACCTCATAGAAGGAATGAGAGACAATCTGAAGGTGAACCTCAGAGCTCTGGTAGAACCTTATTGGTAAACAGAAAAACATCATTGATGTCAGAAGATCCTCACAGATACTGGTAGAACATCAAATGTTATTCCGGTACCAGTGACCGTTCTGAGGTGGGGATAAACAGTTTTGGTATTCATTTTTGTGTTTTGATTCTGTACAGGAACTAGAAAGTAAAAAGAGGGAAAACAAGCTCCTTCAGATAGAAGTGGACAACTTGAAGGAAATGGTGTCACAGCGAGACACCCTTATAGCAGTAAGTATAATATATATGTTGCAGCTTGGAGCTTAGGGGGCCTTGAAGTTTTTATATTCAGTAAAATCATGTCGGGAATGGGTGTATTGCAAAGCAGCAATGTGATGTGATAAAATCTGGTGCTTTCAGTTGATAAAGCTCTGGAACTGCATTCTCTAGGTCTCGGGTTCACTTCCTGGGTCAGTCAAATTGTCTACAATTTCGTGTTCAGTCCTTCTGATTTGAAAATCACAGGCGTGTGGAAAAAGGCACACCTGGATTTTTCTAGGCGTGTGTTTTTTTCTAGGTGTGTGGTTTTCTAGGTGTGTGATCTGTGGTCCAGGGAAATTCAGGCATGCAATTATTCACACTTCTCAAGAAGCTTTTAGGTGTGCGATGGTGTGGGGGTGTGATCGCACGCCTCAAATCAGAAGGACTGCGTGTTGGAATGTGAGACCCTCGGCTATAAAGCAGATGGTGATAACTTCTAAGGGCATAAACCTCAGCAAGTTGATAGAACACTAAACCTGCAACCAATAGGTCTCAGATTCAAGTCCTGATACATCCAAATCTTATTTATTTATTTATTTTCTCAGGAAAATGGTCTTCTCCTAGTGGGTGCCGGTGACGAGGAGCGTCTCTCGGACAAGGACCTCCCGGAGGGGCAAACCTCGCACAAACCCAAACTTCCCAAAGTCGGTACCATCGTCGTGGTCTCGCCTGAGGCTGCCGAACTCCTAGAGGTGGTCGGTGATGGTCCGCTGGACGTCCGGCTGAAACGCTTCGTAGAAGAGAGAAAAGAACTCTTAGAAAACGTAAAACATTCACGTTTCAGTCAAGTTTTTGTCTTATCTTTGTCCATGGCTATGGGTCTTTAATGTAGCACTCAATTGGGAAAAAAAACAAAGCATAGCTGCAAAGCAGCCAGAAGTCAGTTATTATCTTTGGATCTTTGATCTTTTTTTGTAACAGATTAGAAGATTAGAAATTGATTTAGAGGAGGAAAAGGAAAAAGTTGCTTCAGCGGAGAGAAGACGACCGGCCCAGACGTCATCGGTCAACGGACCGGAAATAGAGATGCTAGACATCCAAAGTAAGCGTCAGTTTGATTTATTGGATGTTGAATACTGTGAAAGATGGAGATTGAATAATTGAATGATTGGTAAATTGATTGATTGATGAATTGATTATTTGTTGATAATTTGATTCGTTGATAAATTGATTGATTAATAATTGATTTGAAGAATTGATTGGTTAATTGATAGATTGATTGGATTGATAAGTTGATTAATAAATTGATTTCATTGATTGATGTTGATAGATTGAAAATTGATTAGTTGATAAATCTATTGATTTTGGTCATTGATTGAGAAGTAAATTGATTATGTGGTACATTCATCAACTGATTGTGATTGGTTAATTGATAGATTAATTAGATTGATAAATTGATTAATAAATTGATTTCATTGATTGATGTCGATAGATTGAAATTGATTAGTTGATAAATCTATTGATTTTGGTCATTGATTGAGAAGTAAATTGATTATTTGGTACATTCATAAACTGATTGTGCAATTGATTATTTGTAAATTGACTGATTAGTAAATTGATTGGTCAGTTGATTGGTTGATACTGATTGTATTGATAAATAGATTTGAATGAAAAATTGATAGATTGATTGACTGATTGATTGACAATTGATTGTTAATAAATTGATGATAAATTGTGTGATTGGTTTAACTGACTGATAACTTTTTGGTTATTAAATTGATTGATAAACAATTTGATTGATCAATAAATTTGTTAGATTAATTGATTAATATCTTCTAAATGTTCTTTTATCTGAACTATGATTCTCTGATGTTCATATTTCACAGGAGAAGCCAGTAGGCAAGTCAATGAATACAGATTCAAATACCAGAAAGCGGAGCAAGAATTAGCAACACTAGAAGGCCACGTAAGTAGCTATTTTTCAAATATGGCAGACATGAAGTACTCTTTGTGTTACATGGAGAAAGGCTTTGAGAAAAGTGGGGCGCCTGCAACATGACACATAATAACATTGTTGTCTTGATCTCTAACAGTCCTCCTCTCGATATTAGTCTCCAGAGTAGGTTTTGCAGTTTTCGCAACGCAATCTTTAAATGTGGACCCTCTCTGTAATAGTCTGTAGCCAATGCAGCATTACACAATCCTTGTTTGGTATTTTGTAACAACTTCGTTGAACAGAAGGAATCCCGTAAAAGGTGGTATGATAGCGTACCTTTAAATGTGAAATCAAACTTGTCTATCCTTAGGAACGTAATTAATGTTAAAGACGGCGCTTTTGAATGTGAAATATTTAATGACGCTGACGTCTTCAACATTATGATATCTGTGTCAATTGAGTTTCATTTTCTTTGTATATATATATATACAGTCGAGTCTCGTTAATACAAACTCGTTCCGACCTAGCCAAATTGTTTGTTATATCAGAATTTTGTATTAAGAGGAACATCAGTCCCATTCATTGTGCACATAAATGCACAGTCGAGACTGAGGCGTTATGTTTGTTATAACCAGAATTTTGTATTAACAGAGTCTGTACTAATGAGATTCAACTGTATATGTTTTATATATATTCTTTGTTTTGTTTATTGTTTATATATATGTTTTAGATGAGCGTTTGTTGAGAGGTACAAAGCAAACAACCTAGGTCCCAGAGATCCTGCTATTTCCACCTCAGCTCCTTAAAATGAAACAAAATTTAATAGAAAAGTGGCATTTTTTTTGTACAAAGGGCACTGCCATACTTCATAACAACAGAACACCACCGCACTGACTGGATTGTTGAACATTTGGGTACAAAAGTGTGAGTGTGTAATGCATTGGGTCAGAGTCTCATTTTACTTGTTTTTTTTGGTTGGTCAGGTGATGAGGCTAGAAGGTCAGGTGAAACGGTACAAGACGGCGGCAGACACGGGAGAGAGGGTGGAAGAAGAACTGAAACAGGAACGACGCAAACTACAACGAGAGGTACATTGATTCTTAGTTAATTGAGATGGCATCAAGGGTTGTCATTTGGGCCCAATTTCATGGCGCTGCTTAACAGTTAGCAGAAAAGTTGTGCTTAGCATAGCAGAAAAATTTGCTAACCTTAAGCACTATTTCACGGCGTGGATGTGCTAACAGTCGTGCTTGGAGATTTCTATTGTTACGTCACTGAGTTAAGCAAATTTTTCCTCTGGAGTAAGCGTGCCTTTTGCTGTGCTTATGCTTACAGTCTCCATGAAATAGACGGAGGCTCTGTTAGCAGAAAATCGTGTGCTTAGCAGCGCCGTGAAATTGGACCCTGGTCATGTAGTCAACCTTGAAATTCATGAATCTGAATCCACGCAGTTCGATTTGATTTTCTCACAACCTAGACGGCAAAAATTAAAAAAAAACCACTTATTATTCCTCCATTGTTCAGTTATCTCATCTCAGCTTGACAAGTGCCCGATTTCATCTTATCAGCCATCTGCCTTAAACTAAGTCAAGTAGGGCTTGAGTAGCATCAACTAGAGTCCCCCCCCCCCTTCCTGAATGCAAGATCCGCCCCTGTGTCTGCATTTATTTCTACCTGTATTTGTCAGCCTCCAACATTTTTGGGCATTTACAACTAGTTTCTTTTATTCCTCTAAATCTACAGATCCGCACTCTGAAAGACCAGAACGAGGAGTTTGAAACGGAAAACAGCCACCTCACCAAGCGACTGGAGAAAATGAAGAGTGCCAAGCTAAGCTTGATCAAGTGACGCTACCAGACATCATAGTAGCGTCTCTCTTAGAAATAAATAAAATATTCATGTAGTAATAAATGACAAACTATTCACCTTCCATGTACTAAAATAAACTGTACCCATTTTTGTTTACAATTAGAGCGCCCTCTGTTGACTGAGTAAAGTGTGAATAGCGCCCTCTGTTGACACAGTACCAATTGCTTGGCATGAATTAAGTAGCATTTCATCTATAGCTATTAATTTTTATGGTTACTGACATCAAAGTGCTTAGCCACTACATATTTGTCACAACATGAATGCACACTTTGCAAACAAATGAGACTGTACCTAAAATATGCATACAATTTAAAGAGCATTTTGAAAGAGTTGGAAATGATGTAAAAATTCATGATTTTGTACAACTGTTTTAATTCTTGGTTCTTGAAAACTCTGCTGCTAAGGAAATGTCTAAAATTATTCACAACGCATATTTATGTCTATCTTACTGTGACATTCTTGCCCGTCAAACTGTGATTGATATCAATAGAGGGCGCCCTAATGTCAACAACTGACTCCCAATTGTAGGCTTTTCTGTACAAATCCAACATATTAAAGTAAAACAAAGGTGATGGGTGAAAAAAGGGTAATTGCAGAATGGGGAATTTTCTTCAAGCATTTTTGTAACTTGAAAAAACTTGAAAGTTTCTCGTCACTAAATTGGACCACGTGTGAGTTTGCTAAAACAAAAGCATTTGCATGAATTGAAACCCCTTTAACTGGTTTTGTTTCACTGACTTTTCATTCACATTTTAGGCCTTGGCTTTTTCTATCAAACTTGGAAGTTTCAAAAATATTGTAGGTTATGGTAGAGTGTTTAACCCAATGTACTGAACCATGCACAAAATCCTTGCTTTATGTTGGTCATGGAGTTGTAAACCTAAAGTAAAGGTCTTGAAAAATATTCAAAAAGCAATGCAACGTACTGGGCCAAGAACCATCCAAGCTTGTATATTGTACATTTTAAGATTTACGTTGTACTACTGTTAACTTTACATCTGTATTTCACTTTAACTTGGATAAGATTACCCAGCTTGCGTCAAATTACACTGACAATTATCAACAAAGTTGTGAAAAGAGAAGTCTTTCTTCATTCAATCTCACCAACTCCCTTGTGAGAGTTTCCAATTGTACAAGTGCACCAAAAGAACTGTGTATATTATTTTTTAGCTACTTTAGGACCACTTACGATTATGATTTGTAAAAGTAGATTTTACAAAAATCTGTAAAGGCCGTATATATAGTTTTTCTTTCCATATCTAAACATTATTTTTGGTGTGTCTGTTTGGGGACACTAGACGCCTAATACTCACTGCATGCATTACAAGGGCAAAGGTCACTATTGTTTGATTGGTCAGTTTGAGGATACGCTAATAAATTATTCATGATGTGAGATGCTCTCATTAGATTACACCCATGTGTAGGTTTCTTTGCAACAATCTACTTTTTAAGGTAGTTTTAAACCATTCAGATTTTGTAACAATGCCACAAATTTCTTGCATCATTAAAATAAAATCCTTATGTCCCCGTGAAATTGTTAGCAAATTGTTTTCCTAAATCCAGACTTGTTACATTCTTACGGGAGAAATTCATCAAAGTGCAGGAAAAAGTTAAACAAATAGTTTTTAATTTTAACTCACTCCCACTATACACAAAGATAAGATACTCTGGTAAGAAAGTCATCTTAAATTTATCAGTTTTATAATTTCTGACTGTGAGCAGATGAATTTACTGTAAAAATATACGGCAGTGCTGAACGAAACCCAGATTTTTGCATACTGATTTTTTTTTTTATATGAGCAATTTGTATTTAATTTGCATTTGATGAATATTCACATCATGAATATTCATGTTGTTTCGCAATGTTTTAACCTAAGGTTTATATATAAGGTCCGAACACAAATTTATCAAGAAGCAGTTGGCTCAGTAGGATGAGCTCAGGATCCGAACCGGGATGTCCCCGGTTCAGATCCTGGGTCCGTCCTGAGGAGCTTTTAGACTTTTTTCAAAATATATACTATCTTTTCTGACAAAATTGTGCATGGGTAGGACTTGAACCGGGAACCCTTGGGTATGTAGCCTTACACTCTTACCGCTACACCACCGGGTTTTTCTTAAAAAAGTAAGGATTCTGGTAATTAAAACCCTTAGGTTGTTCTGACTTAGTCTCCAGAGAGAGTTTGAAGTTGAGGGGTAGAGGCCTGGGGTCTGGGGTAGATTGGGACTTAGGTTTTTTTCGGCTGGTCTAGCTACTCACTAGCTGGATGCTTGATACTTATACTTTATACTTTATACTTAAAACATTTTATCTTCCCATTCATGTTCTTTGGGAGGTATTATTTTGGACTTAGTTTCTCTGGGAATTGATGGTGTTAATTTTTCAAGGCATTTATTTTTAGTGCTTCCAAGACTATCTGCTTTTTCATAATATTAAATTTAGGAAGACACCCTTTTTAAAGACAGGTAAATAGGAATAAAAAAATGCTACAATGCTAACATGTTTTACTTGCAATACCATGGTTTTGGAATTTATTTCTGCATTTGCAATCAAAACAACAGCAGTACATAACACACCAATTTCAGTTCAGTTAATGTACAATGTACACGCTTACAGTGCATCACAATGTGATACAATTTCTGTTAACAGTTTTTTTACTTTAAAATTACATTAAAGTGATGTAGAATTTTCACCGACGATCAATTTCGAATGAAAAGTTAGACCATTTAACCGGTCTCATTTGTTGTAATTCTGGGAACATGTATATAACCATAAAAGCACAATTTATATAATACACCTCCAATTACCACTAACAGAAAAACACTCATTTTTCTTTAAATTTTAAAACCAGTTTTGCAGTCCCGTTCAAATCACAATTGCCTAACAAAGGTTAAAGAAAAGGTCACTTGTAATTTCATTTTTGCGGCACTTTTAAAAAAAATAAATTGTGCATAATTGCATTGCATATAGCTCAGCTTTCGGAAGCCAAAAGTCGCAGTTTGACTCGATTTTTGTAGATTTTTTTAATACTAGGTGTAAATAACTTGGTGTAGGAAACAGCTTAATATTTATTCGTATAAAATTGCATTTTCGTGAATTGTAAACTCAGTAAAGAAAATTAATTTAGTGCTTTGTTTTTGTACACAAAAAAAAGGGTCACTTTTTTCTTAGCAATAAGTTCATGAATGTTCCTTATGCATTTGTCACTGGTACTGTTATAGTTTTTGTTTTTAGTTAATGAATGCTGTGCTATGCATGCATGCAAAGCCAAAGGGTACCAACGGTGCTGTGTTGTAGTATTCTTACGGAAGTGTAGTTGAGTCGAAAAATACAATCACATGCTTGGTTTTATCCAAAGTGATCATGATCTACGTGTACATTCCATCAAGGTAATGTAGGATTGTTCATTTACGACAGAAGTTTGACTATACTTTCCATACTTATCTAATGTCCAATAAGGTTGAATATATGGGTACCAGTGAATTTTACAACAGTTCACTCTCTTACAAGCAATATTAACATCAAGTGTGTTTACAAAATATAAACAAGATGTTATAAAAATGAAAATTAGGGGTTTTTTTACGCTTTTTTGTTTTGTTGCTACCTTAAACTTTTGTACATGTAACTTTGGTTGTCTGTTGATAGGTCATCATTTCTTTGGCCAAAAAAACCGAAAAATTCAAAAAAACTTTTTCTCAGTATTCTATTTTCTGTTGATAGAGAAAGCATTTTTGATATCTTTAAACTGTCCCTTATTACGCATTTGAAAAAATATTGATTTATTGGCAAAAAAATTTGCCAGACGAGTAAACTTCTGCCGTAAATGAACAATGGATTTTCTTCCTAGAATTTGCAGGAATTAATGCCATTTTAACATTAAAATTAAAAAAAAGATTCCACGTAATTAATTTGTAGAACTTCAGTGACTGCTTTTTGTAAACAGGTACTGCTTTTGAGTTACCCAAAAAAAAACCAAAAACAATAGTTTTTGGAAGTAACAGTAACAGTCATGAATGTTCGAAAGTCTTGTCAACCCTCGGACTGTTTGTAAGATTTGATTGATGATTTGAATTAACAATTAAAACAAACTTGACGAACTTTGATCGAATTTACCCGTTTTTTTTCCTTTTAGTGTCAAAGAAACAGTTTTGCATCATTCATCATGGCTCATAATTTTTCACTTATTCCTTCAATTCTAAATTGAATATAATATTGATATTACAAAGGTATATTTCCTAATTTTCCTCATCAAAAAATTAACGAGTAAAAATATTTCAGTAATTTCACCCTGATCTCTGCTATTAGCATGTCATCAACAACATTTAGGCCGAGACTAAGGCCAAAAAAAAAAAGGCTCCGGTTTCTGCTATGGAGCTTGCCCAAAAAGTGGTGCGGTGACGCGGCTTTTTTTTTTTTTTACTTGTTTTTTTTTTGCTTCAAATGTCAGCTGATGACTGCAAATGGTGCCCGACTAAACTTAGTGCAAATATATGGGAGTCCAGAGAGGCCACATAAAGCTTATTCTCGATCATAACCACATATTAAAACACGTTGAAATTGTGCAGCAGCAGGATTCCAGTCAAACCAGTGAGTTTGGCGGTTTTGAGACATCATCTTTCATTGAAATGAAAAAAAAAACTTTTTCATTTTGCCGACGCGCATGGCTACGGCGATGCGCGCGCATACCAGAAACCGGATACTTTTTTGGGGGGGCCTAAACACCCGTGTCTCCAATTACCTAACCTAACCTAGGAAACAATGCAGACTTAAATCTTTTCTTAAAAAAAACACCCCAAAATAAAAGGATTGATAATGCCTCCCCCTCGTTTTTGCGGGCATCTTTCTGCGCTAAAAAAAAATCTAATATTTTTAGTGATCCGCATGTGCAGTCTTGCTACACCATGCAGCGAAACCTATGAACAGCTCACCAAATGCAAGATGAAAAGTTGATCATATGTTTACTGCTATGAATCCATGAAAAAATATAATGAGAAATAATCAAAAATTATTTTGGGTATAGAATTTAGAGCACAAATTTGTTTAAATGTTACGCACCCACCCACCCTATTGTTTTTGGCAACATCGTTTCAAACTTGGCCTTTTTTCTTCAAAACAATACTGCAAAACTTGACTTTGTTTAACCTCCAAATTGAATAATTAAAGCGCCCTCTATCAGCTAATAAAATATCCTCTCAGCCCTTGGGACAATTTCATTAGGCCTAAGCTGCTAAGCTCAAAAAACTGCTACATGCAGCAAACATTTGTTTAGCTCAAATTGGTCACCAGCAAGAATGGCATGGAATGCATACTTTTAACTGGTTCCCCGCTGATTTTTGCTTACTGCATTAATTGTAGGATGCATTTTTCTGATTAGCACAGCCACAAAATTGAAGGTCTTCTTATTGTGTCATTTCTTTTTGACAAAAAATTACTCCTGCTAAGGCTGAATCTTGGAAGTCTGTTTAGGTCACGACATGAAACAATGGAAAAGTCTTGAGGTGAAAACAGTTCAAAGAATTGCGCAATCATGCCCTGCATCTTCAATTCGGGTGATTCACAATGCAGTGCGCCACCAAGAGTTTGCCACGGAGAGTTCATTTTTCAAGTTCACCGCCGACAAAACATGACCCATTTGAATGAGTGTCGGTAGACAACTTGAGCAAATATGTCATAGATTGGGGCATCGCGTTCTGCCGCCTTACCAAAAACACCATATTGATAACAAGAAAAGAAATGGGCAAACAGAGCCTCGAATCATACGCTTACGAAAACCGCTGACCGAAAACAATTTCAAATGTCCCGCGCTGCAAATTTGTCGACCATCTCCCAATGCACTTGGAAAAATGAACTCTCCGTGGCAAACTCTTGGTGGCGCACTGCATTGTGAATCGCCCGAATTAAAGGGAAAATCATTATACGTACTTGCTGTGTAGTTGAAAATGGTGAAAACCTTTCTGAATATTGTGTCTTTATCGTTATATTTTTCTCCCTGACTCGCTGACATTTCACAGGTTTTAGAGAAACGTTCAAATCATGGCTGTCCAAAAATGTGGCATTTGACAAACAGTAAAACTTCTCAACTTATAAGAATACAATTTCCTTACCGACTTTCATCATCATTTTGAGACGGCTCCAAATTTTGGGCATTCTTTTTGTTAAAATACTGATAATCACGGGACGATCAAATAATTGGATATTTGGTATACATGTATTCAGCACAGCTCTAAATACCCGTTTTTGGAGTCAGAAAAAAAGCTAGCAGATAATGGTCATTGTAAAACGGCGCCCTCTATGTTGCCTGCACAGACCCAATAGCCAAAAACAGAGCGCCCTCACTCAGCCTTTGCATCCTGGGAGTTGTACTCAGTATCATGCCTTGCCTTCTTCACACGATATCTGTCGGATCCCTGCACAGCCTTTCTCCCCTGTGAAGATTGGTCAACGCGTCCAAGTCGGCCTCTGCGAGTGGCTCGAGATCGAGCGACGCAATGTTCTGCTCGATGTGTGTCGGGGAACCTGACCTCGGAATAACACCTGTGGAAAGATAGTAAATAAAAAAATATATATATAAAACAAAAATAACCTTTATGAAACTAAGCCTGTCAACATTGAGTCTCTGAGGTAAAGCAGGTTTTTTTTTTTAATTTCAATTATTATTTTTGTGTCAACGATTACCTTGTATTAAAAAAATATATATAAATGTATTTAAAGGGACACTAGGTCCTGGAACAGCCCAATTGTGCTACAAAACGCGCTTTGAACGAGATGATGTTCATCGGAAATAACATTTAAAAGTAGGATATCACGGTAAGACATTAGGTTGGTTTCCTTTCAACCAGATGTTTGAAATAGGCTAAGTAAACAATCCAAAACATGAAATTTTCGGGGATTTCAGGACCTAGTGCCCCTTTAGATATTTGTTACCAGAGAAAAATATTGAAATAATTAAGAATATGCTTTACCTCAAAGGGACAATATTGGCCCCGGCTTCAAGCGACACGCAACGGATCCCAGCAAAACTTTTCCCCACGGTGAAGGTCCGAGATGTTACGCATATCTTCCTCTGTTAGCCACTTGTCGCCGTGTTGAAAGACGGCGATGTTTTCGGCTATGTGGTCTGGATTTGTTGACTTTGGAATGACACCTGTTACAGATTTTTTTAAAAAGGGGAAAAAAATCATCATTTGAAACCACAACTCAGTGTTTCCATGACCACATTAATTTTAAAACTCATATTCTGCATTGGCATTTGGCTCTGTAAAAAGCTAGGGTGAAAAATGTCCGCCTCATATCTCATTTTTGAAAATTTACGGGGCGGACAAACATTGCTAGCAAGTTATTAGGAAACTTTAGCTAGGAAAAGTTAAGCTGGGAACCGGTTGCCAATGGTATCCGTCACATGACAGAGGACTTGCTTTCCAAAACTTCTCAGTATGTAAAGATTTAAAGACAGTCTACGTACCTAGGTCTTGCTGTATGGCCCACTGGAGTAGAACCTGAGCTGGCATCTTGCCGATACGCTCTGCAATAGCTACTACCACAGGCTCCGACAACAGCTGTGAATATCAATCAAGGAGAAACTAGAAATTCAATTTTAAATAAGGGAATAAATGTGTGCTCGAGAGGTTTTAATCACTCTGTTTAAGCCTGCTTAGAGTCTGGGTGCTGATAATTACCCGAGCCGGAGGCGAGGGTAATTATCAGCACCCAGACTCTAAGCGGTCTTAAACAGAGTGATTAATACCGACCGAGCACATATTTATTCCCATTCATAAATACCTTTTCGGTAAAAAAAATCAAGGAATTCGTTCAAAAAATCCCGATTTTAATCAACAAGTTCACTCAAGCTTTTTGAAACATCCCTCTAGCAAAATAATGGAGTGTTCAGCTGGCGAGTAAGATGTAAACAACCCTTTTATGGAGATTGACGCGCGCGTAGCACGTTCTGCGCGTTGTCGCGCAGAACGCACCTGGGGCGTTGCGTTTTGAATTTAGAACTATAAAATTCTGACTCACTGGTAGTGTTGCGCATGCCTACGTGAGGATTGTGAACGTTCAACCAATGAAACGGTTAGAGGCACTGGATTTTTAGGAGTCCACATTTTATGTGACACTGGAAAAGTGTTTAAGACCAGCTAGCCATGTCTTTATCATCCGTTTAAGACCGGCTACATGACGGGCTCTCGACCAATAGGAATGGCTAAACTGTCTGAGGTATTTATGAATCAGAAATTAATGTGAAGAGAGAGAAGACAAGGAAAATAACTGGAGATGAAGAGCAGTCCCACAGTCAGCTCAAGCAGATAAAGTCAGGCAATTTTCAGTTGAAAAGACTAGTGGCTTAATTGGGATTCGAAGCAAGTTCAGAAGTCGTGTACCTGGGTTCTATCAATCTAAGTAAACTTTGGCAGGACTCGAACCCAAAACCTCCCATTTAATTGATGATTTTTTTTTAACCATGTACCTACCTTCCCTTTTCCAAGTGACCTGTATGTCTGCAGGAGAACGTTGTTAGCTTTGCACCACTGTAGCAGGTCCCTCTGGACAAGCAATGGATGGTACTCCACCTGTTCAAATAAACAATTAAGCACTTCAAATTAAGACATAATACCTGCATCAGTCAGATTAACAGAAATGCATAAACAAAGAAAAAAACATTTTGACTGAACAGCCATACAAGGATGAAGAACTGTGCAACTGAAATGGGTACCGGACATAGAGCTATATTAAATTACTAGAGCGCTAACTTGATGTACAAAGTAATGCCTGATGGGCCAACCATGTTTGTGCACAAACCTATTGGAAACTTGAAATTTTGTACGGCTTTTGTACGGCTATTTGAATATCTACATTTGTATTCCATACCGGTGCGTCATCGAAGCCGATACGCCCAAAACCGAAACGCAGGATCAGCAAATGAGCGTGTCATTTTGCTCTACGTAAACAGCGCAACGTGTGCGCGTATTCGCTGCAGATGCTTTTTGCCGTCACAGTTTCTGAACCGTCATGACGCGCTTAAATTGTTTGCGTATCTTCTACTTGCGCGTTGCATTTTTAAAAAAAATTTACAATTCAATCCATCTATTTTGATTGTGTTCTACAAACGCAGACATAAATTCAAAATGTCTGCGCCCAGAGCGGCTTCAAAGCGTTTAAGCTTGTGCACAAACATGGATGCGCCCATCAGGCATTACTTTATACATCGAGTTAGCACTCTAGTAATTTAATATAGCTCTATGACCTTTATGAACAATCTGAAGAGCACCTTTCAAGATTTGAATTTTGGGTTGGGTTTAGTAATGAACGGGTACCCAGGTACCCGTTTTTTTTTCAATCGGGTACCCAGTTCACATACCCAGTAAATGCACACCCCTACAAGGGTGGTAATTGATTAATACTTAAACACTTGATAATTCTCACCTGTAAGACAGCTGGCTGTATGCTAGCATAGGAAGCCATCTCTTCTAGATGTTTCAGGGTGTAGTTGGAGACGCCAATGTGCTTCACTTTGCCTGCAATGAAACAAGAAATCAATCAATGTACAATTATTTTACAATTGGGTTCTGCCCTTCACTCCTTCAATTACGTAATTTCAGAACAGCTCAAGCTAAGTGGTTTGTGAGAGCCTGCAAGGGAATTTGAAATGTACAGTAAACTCCGGCTAAGGCCAAAAAAAAGAATAGTTCTGCTTCCGGTTACCCGACCAACCCTATTTTTAGGCTGCGACCCTAAAAAATTTATCGGCAATTCCCAAAAAAAAAAAAAAAAAGATTGAATAAATAAAAATAAAATTTTGTTGTCTTTTCTGTCTTCACAAAATACCTCTCAACAACCCTTTTGCATCAAAAAATGCTTGTATTTATTTGTTTTCTTACTTACATTCGCTTTTTTCAAAAGAAACCTCCGTTATTTTTACAAATTCGCTTCGCGATATAAACTATGTCCGTACGGTGACTATATCACGTGGCGACGACTGGTTCCCGCCGCGCCGCGCAGGGGCCAATTTAGAAGACATGATGAAAATGCGGTAACCAGTCCATAGCTATGCGATCGCGACCGATAGCGCGCTAGCAGTGCAGGCCACTGTCAACTGGTCGGATTCGACATCGTGAAAAATGCCAAGAAAACACCGATGGAGAAAGAAAACACCGATGGAGAAAGAACATTTTTGCAAGTTAATTTACAGAATTGATCTAGCTTGTCTGTGTATGTATTTTCTGTGTTCAAGAGTTCATTTTGAGATCGCACTACTCGTATTTGGAGTGATACATGCCGCGTGTTTCCCGAAATTTTTGACCGTGAAAACAGGTCTGTCGGCCCATGGCGGGCCGCTCGCCACACATGCTCGCATCACACACCTCAGAGTTTTGGCCAGCTCCCCGCGTCTTGACTAGCGTTGTGCATATGGTGCGAACGACCTGAATTTTCCATTATTTTTTGAAATTATCGAATGTAAATATATTGACAATAATTAAAGGTAGGTTTCATTCACTTTTTGTTGCCATTTCGTGTATAGCTTTCGTAGTGCAATGGAAATAGTTCAGGCTAAAACTTCGCATATAATTGAATACCCCATTCAATCTGCATAAAAAAAATTGGCCAAAAAAAAAAAATTCTGACCGACCGACCCTATTTTTGAAGGGCATGTAATCGGAAGCAGAAATATATATTTTTTTGGCCTAAACCGGCACTCTCGGGACCTGAGAATTTGTGACGACTTACACGAATGCCAATATCTGCTGTAAGTTGTCATTTTGCCGACTTACATGAATGGTCTTTTGCACACATGATTCATTGCACTAATTGGCTTAGATTTACCCTGGAGTATCTCCTTAATGCTTGAGTTGAATCCAGCAAATTAATCCTCGAATTGTATCATCACATTTGGGGTATTGATAGTGGAGACCACAATACATACATGTATGTACGTGCACAGTAACGAATTTAATGCGTGCGTGGTCCGGTATATACCACGCACGCATTGACTGCAGCAGTAGTCATTCAATAAGACGACCCCCAAAATGGACAGAGCGCATGCGTACAGCCTAGAGGGGGTACTGGTATTGATATGCTCACGATGCATATGCGATGTATGCAGTAGGACACCCTTTTTCGACACTGATGCATGCAGCGATCACGGGCCGTGCCAAACCACTTTTCACTCGACACTTTGCCAACTGCAGTACAGGAAGTCGATGCAATGCGTGATTTTTTGAATGCCGACTTACACAAAGGATTTTGTAGTGCTTTTTATGGAAAGGGGACCGAGAGTAACACGACGACTTGAGCAAAATGGGGACTTATAAAAGCCGACTTAGAAATAAAAAATTCAATGGAAATGATGCATTACGGACAATCGGGACTTTAGTCAGACGGCCGACTTGAGCGATTTGACGAGTTGTACGATGTCGGTTTAGCCGGAGTTTACTGTATGCTCTATCTGGTGGGACTCGAACCCAAAACCTACTGTTTAATGCTGCAAATGTCTTATCACTCGATCACCCAGGTTCCTGGGGTCATCTGGCAGATCCCAGGGGTGTGAGTGACCAATGATAAAAATTGATGAAAACAGCTGGAAAAGGTGTGAAAAAGCTGAACTTTGGAAATCTCCTATACTTTTGTACACAGCAAGTGAGGGAAAAGCTGAAAAAAAAGCTGAAATGCAACATAAAAAGAGCAGAAATCAGCTTTAAAGCTGAGATTTCACACCCCTGAGATCCCAGGCACTCCCCAAGCATGTGCAGCGTAACTTAAATAAAATCATGATGAATTTGACATGTTTAGATTACAAATCAAATCCACCTCTGAAGAAATTACTTTGTTGATTGAAAGAAGCACGTTCAGCTAGCTCACTACTATAACAGTTGTAGTAATACAAACTAACCTACCTTCTTTGTACAGCTTTTCCAGGGCCATCCACGACTCTTTCCTGTAGCCAGCGTGTCTTGGATCATCCGACTTGATCTTGGCCTTGGCTGGCCAGTGGATGAGGTACAGGTCCAAGTAGTCTGTCTGCAGCTTAGCGAGGGACTCCAAGCAGGCTGTGTAGGCTTCCTCTAAGCCATGGTCCTTGGGATCTGAAGGAGGATGCAACGTTGAATTTAGACGAATCCTGGGGTCACGTAAATCTTACGAGTTTTGCTTTCTACGTTCTAATAAAAATTGAGGGAAATTTGTTGCTTGTTCAGAAAGAGGGTGGATGATCATGATAATGAGCCGCAGAACCTTGCCTGAATCAATACACAGTTCTTCTTACAGCATTAATTAACCCTAACCCACCTCACTCCTCCAAAATCCTCCTGGCGGTTTTGGAGGATTCTAGAGGATTGAGGATGAATGGTGATTGAATCAAATGAGGATTCTGGAGGATTGAGGATGAATGGTGATTGAAGCACATGAGGATTTTGGAGGATTGAGGATGAATGGTGATTGAAGCACAAGAGGATTTTGGAGGATTGAGGATGAATGCATTTTGAGGCAGGACTGTCTGATGATTTTGAAGGATTTGGCGTTGGTTATCTTTCATTTAAACACGAGTGCAAAGTTTTGGGATGAGGAGGATTTTGGAGGATTGAGGATGAATGCATTTTGAGGCAGGACTGTCTGACAATTTTGAAAAATTTAGGCGGAGTTGCAAAATTTTGGAAAATTTTGGAGGATTTTGGAGGATTGAGGATGGTTGTAAGCAACAAGGGCCTAGGGGGTTAGGGTTAACAAAACTTGTCTTAAATAGCGCCATTTTGTCTTGTTCCTGACAAGCCAGTGTCATGGGAAAACTGATATCAGTGCCAAGGGAAACAGTAAGAATGTTGTTTCTATCCTTCACTTTGATAATTAAACCTCAACCCCCTTTTACCACATTTTAATGTGTATACAACATTGTCGCGTCAGTGTAACAAGGTCGTAACTCGATTCTGCAACAAAGTCGAATCTCACCTGAATACCCTCTGTGCAAGAAGGTCGAATCTCGCGTATCGCGACGTCCACTGACTTTGCGTGTACATCCGGGTTAAGTGAGATACGACCTTTGAAATTCAAAACTCGCGTTTCATGTACGTGACGTCACACGCCATTTTTTGGGATACGACCTTGTTGCACGGACACGACGATACGTCTAATCTTTCTGGTGCGACCGTAAAATTCTCCTGAAATAGTTTATCCTTCCACTTTGTTCAGGATACCATAATTACAGCATCTTAATTCCTCTAAAACTTTGCCTGCTTACCAAGTTTGCTTTCCAGGAATATATCTTCCCGGCTTAAGCCATGTTTTGGAAGGAGTTCCAGCAAACAGTCGCCAATGTCTTTCTCATTTCTGTAGCAGGCTGCTGTATCTGTGGAATAAGAAAACACTTCACTTTAGGCCAACAAAAATAAGTCTCCGGTTTCTGGTATGGAGCTTGCCCAAAAAGTGGTGCGGCGACGTGGTTTTTTTTTTTTTTTACCTGTTTTTTTTTGCTTCAAATGTCGGCTGATGACTGCAAATAGTGCCCGACTAAACTTAGTGCAAATATTATGGGAGACCAGAGCGGCCACATAAAGCTTATTCTCGATCATAACCCCATCTAAAAACACGTTAAAATTGTGCAGCAGCAGGATTCCAGTCAAACCAGTGAGTTTGGCGGTTTTGAGACATCATCTTTCATTTAAAAAAAAACTTTTTCATTTTGCCAACGCGCATGGCTACGGCGACGCGCGCGCATACCAGAAACCAGAGCCTTATTTTTTGTGGCCTTACTGACCTCTCGCCATTTGCGAGTTAACCATGCCCCTTTGACAACCCTATGGAATTTTTGTACACTAATTTTGTTTGTCTCAGATTTTGCGCATTCCGCATCCTTTTGTATACAACATGTAATTGGACAATATTTCACAAGCTGTGTTGACGCGATTCTTCCATAACAGGTCAATTTATACCCCCCCCCCCCCTGATCTGATCAAAAAGTGGGGGCAGGCTGACATCATCCGATGAAAACATCTTTTCATTTGCACGCCAGTTTTCTTCGGTTGCCATGACACGCAAGTTTTCTTCAGTCTGCACTCCAGACTCAAGAACCATTGAGTTTCAAATTCCTGGATTTCCGTGCACACAAGACATTTTGGGCACACTATGTTTTTGAAAAACAAGCCTACTGGCTCTATGCAGTCACTTTAGAGGGCTCTGTTTATGTGGCCCATCACACAAACTTAGGAACGTTAAAGTTATGCTTCTTCAAATGTCAACATCAGGATTTATCCTTACCGATTAGTCTGTAGCCCGACTTGAATGCAGCATCAAGCGCGTTGTACACGACGTCATGGCCAAGCAGCTTATCACTTCCTACTGTTGGGAAAGACATGAAAGACGTTGGAAATAAAACCCGATTTTTATCCGTTTTTATAGCTCCGTGGAGGATTGAGGATGAATGCAACATACAATCTTGGAGGATAGAGGGCCATGGACATGATTCAGTATCGGTTGATTTTGGAGGATTGAGGCTGTAAGCATTTTGACAGGCAGGGTTGTTGAAGGCTTGCGGCCGTTGGCATCCGACCTTCATTTGAACATCCCCATAAGTGCAATATTTCTGAGGACTTTGGAGGATTGAGGATGGTTATACTCCTAGAACTATGATGCTCTGAGTAGCGGAGCCTCATAGACAGACAACTCCCTTATGCCAGAACAAGGAAATACTGAAACGTTGGGGTTTAAACTCATGCACGCGTCAACCCTAGTGGAACTATTTAATGAGCTTTTGCAACCTTACCCCCCATGCCGCCCCCCCCCCCCCCCGGCCCCCTATAAACCCAAGGGTCTCGCCTTAAAACTTCAGACTTGTTTGTTTTTTATGTAAATATATTTTTGCCATCGTTTTCAAACCACAATTGGATGTGAATGCCTTTTTATTACAGTTATTCAATCGACCTAGCTGTCTTGATTTGTGTGCTGATGAGAATTGTGTTTCCCTATTTTTCTTCTGTACTTAAAGCTATATATAGTCCATCATTTGCAGCCATCCGAAAAGTCACTGGCGTAATTATTGTTGAAAAACATACTTGGTTGAAAGACGGTAAGGGGACTAAACTCCCTGTGAAATTATTCTTTCTGGCAAGCTATCATTTTGAAGTAATCAACGAAAGAAGGCCTTTCCAATGGTGCGTCTCAAGACGCACCGTAGGAAAATTTAAATTAGTAGTTCGTTTTGTTATTCGGCGAAGCACGCACAAGCATTGACACGACGTGCACGCGGTTGCTATAATTCATCGGATCAGTGCGCGACATTGCGTATAGCTGCAATCGGCTCAGTGAGAACGCGTCTCGGACGCTGAATTCAGGCCCAATTCAAAACATGATTCAGCAACTTTTGATTTGAAATTGAGATCCTTGAATGCTGTTTTTCTCGGAATATACAGCTGAAGCTGAGCTGAAACTTCATCAGGCATTGTCAGGTGAGGCCAAGTTCGTGCAAGGACTATAGTTGACCAATGGTTAACTAACGTTTGCCCGAACTCTGTCTAGTCGACGGTGGTTGACTACGGTAGTCGACTATTTGGAACCAGCCTACTGGGGTTGGTTGCTTCGCTGGTAACCAATAGCAGAGAACCAGGATCCAGAAGTTTTGCGATGACATTTTGACCAGCGTTTGACTAGAGTAGAGACGTTCGCACGTTGCTATGTGCGCACGCGTAAGGTACGTCACAAACATTGATCTCCATATACACAGACTGGATAGGACATCGCGTACGAACGTGCGTCCGCGCGCGCGTTTTTTGAAAAGGGTAGAGAACACAAAATTCGCATTCGAATTGTGTACACTTTCGGACGGAGGATTAAAAAATGAAGTTGGGTTTTCTTCGGTTTCTTTGTCATTTTTGAAAGAATAAGAGAAACAGAGATCTAAATTGATCAAAATCGATGAGGAGTATAGTCAAGGTGTGCGCAGCATTAGATTGCTGGAGTCGGGAAGTAAGGAGCGTTGAAGAATAGGACAATTATTCGCAAGTAAGTTGCTTTTTAACGAGGCCTATACAACATGGCATGGAGGAATATGAACATAGCAAATTATAATATCGTTAGTGTTGTCGCTCTGAGTTTGAGGGGATGGAGGCCTGTGTGGTAGCTAGCGAGATATTCTGTTCAAATTCCATGCGATCTGAGACCTGTCATGCTGGTCGCCGTCCATGTTTTTTTAAGACATAGGCCTAAACGTGCATGACTGACCCGGCAATGGCAATGAACAAAAGTTGACTTGTTTAAAATAGTTTATTCGAATAACCTTTATAACTTTTATATGCAAAATCTGATTGAATTATATCTGCCTTGGCTTTAGCTCTACTCAGTGGAGCGCTGGAACTTCAGTACCCTCCGTACAAGCTTGTACGGAGGGTACCGAAGTTCCAGCGCTCCACTGAGTAGAGCTACCTTGGCTTAATGCCTACCGAAATGTTTCTATTATTTTTCTTTATAAAGAGAAACCGAGGAGATGGTTTATGCTAACTTACTGCACAACTGGCCGATTGACCTTCATATCAAACAAAGAACTTCAACAAAGCCATATAGCAAAAACCACCAGCTGCAGGACCGAGCCGGACGAAAATGGAGAACTTCACGGAGGGATGGAATGGACTGTATCATCCACTGAATGGAACATGCGATGTGATAGGCATCTGAGCGTTTGACTTAATCAATTTTTACGATGTGGAACTGTTAACAATGATTGCTTTTGGTTTTGGAAAGAAGTTGTGGAGTTCAACGCAAGTATTTTTATGAGCTCCCAAGATGACTGTCACATTATTGACAGTTTGTATGGTGAAGAAAGCAATGAGTACTTTTACGGTTTGAAATTATGTTGTGTACGCCGTTATATAAGATTACTAGCTATAGCCATATACACCGTCATATTCGCTCACAAAACGATTCACGTTACACTTATAAGTAATTATATTTATTTTCAGAAGTATAGCTAAACATTGAATTATAAACAAGACCGTGCGTAGCTTGAATTATTCTTTGACAAAATTAGTAAAGTACTATTTTGGTTTGTGATTCATCTCCTTTCACACAATATCACAAGAGATGAACGATGTCATTCCCTGATCAATCTAGGGACGGGAAGAAGTTTTTACTGATTACCTTGTTAAATTAAGGTTTGTTTACCTTTTAGATTGTAATTGGTGTATGTTCAGGTTTTTTAATAAATATATCAATCATTTGAATGAATCTCCATACAATTTCTCGTGTGAGTGTTCAGTTAAAAAAATATGATGTCATTTTAGCATATTATTAATACAATTATTCGTTTCGTTGATTGAGTAATTCAGTGTGCTCTCATGACCAATGTGCCAAAATGAAATGGCAATTTACTTACAATCATTTTTGGGAGGAGGAGGGATTAAAAAAAAAATAAGGGAAAAGGAAAGGGGGGGTTCTTTAGCTGGAGTTACCCAGCCCTGAGTTTTATCATTGGGTTGTCATCTAGGGCTGGAGCGCATTTTTCTCAAAACTTGTAGTATTTGCAAAAAAAAATTGGAAAATGTTCAATTTTGTCCCTGTTACACACTAATTGCAACTGCAACTCACCCCAAACTTGCCTGGAATAACCATTACACAGGTCCTTGAAGTAAAAAACGATCCACGATGAAGATTCAGCCTACAATTGCAGTGAAAACAGGAGGAATAACCGCTAACTTGACAACCTTGCTGGATTGGCCAGGACCGCTATTGGTTTGTGCACAAAAAAAATTGTGTACAATGAATGGCGGTCGATTAATAGGCACAGAGAGCGATCGCTGTCAACTACTCGTTTTTGCCGGCTGCGCTGGCTGTTGGCGCATGACGTCACGCGGAAGCGTAACACCCGATGACTGTTTTATGCACTAGTATAAGGTTTACCACTCGCATCACAGCTTTGGTACTGGAACCGCAACCAATAGTGCATGAAACAGTCATCGGGTGTTACGCTTCCGCGTGACGTCATACGCCAACAGCCAGCGCAGCCGGCAAAACGAGTAGTTGACAGCGATCGCTCTCTGTGCCTGTTAATCGACCGCCATTCATTGTACACAAATTTTTTTGTGCACAAACCAATAGCGGTCCTGGCCAATCCAGCAAGGTTGTCAAGTTAGCGGTTATTCCTCCTGTTTTCACTGCAATTGTAGGCTGAATCTTCATCGTGGATCGTTTTTTACTTCAAGGACCTGTGTAATGGTTATTCCAGGCAAGTTTGGGGTGAGTTGCAGTTGCAATTAGTGTGTAACGGGGACAAAATTGAACATTTTCCAATTTTTTTTTGCAAATACTACAAGTTTTGAGAAAAATGCGCTCCAGCCCTAGATGACAACCCAATGATAAAACTCAGGGCTGGGTAACTCCAGCTAGGGGTTCTTGAATTTCGAAAATGCATAATAAGAAAGTGTATATCAAGAAAGTGTGGAAAAGCTGTTTGGAGGGATTGAGGGTAACTCTTCATCGTTCAGTTATTCTTTTTTAAAGATTGTTTTCGCTTGAACTCCCTTCTGTAAGAAAAATTTCACTCAATAATCCATTTCCCAAAGTAAACAAAGTGAAAGCACAATGCGCGTTTGCGCGTTTACCCGTCTGACAGTAAACGCGCCGCCATTGTTCGGCCGCGCATTCGTGCACAAACACGGCGCGATGTCCTATCCAGTCTGTGTATATGGAGATCAATGGTCACAAATCAACCACTAGTCGACTAATGGTCCTTGCCCGAACTTGGCCTTAGTTGTTCAGTATCCTTCATTAGATTTTGAACACTGTTGTTGCTTCAAACGGACAAAATGCACAAATTACAAAGTAAGTGTCGCGATGATGTACAACTCACAACCAATTAGGGGCATTTTCAGTCCACTGTGGAGTGCCGTAAACTTCATGGTAAACACGACTGTTTTCGTCACCAGTAGGCAGTAAGCTTGATGTTCTAACCCCAATAAACTTGCAGTCTAGTTTCGCACGCCGCGTCTTTCACTCCGACTCCGTACCGTACCCGTGCAGTTTTCGCGCGCCCGCAGTTTACTCCATGGATTCTACCGCACGCATTAGAATACATACAGTAATGGCATAAAATACGGGATCTGCGAGCTGCCATAGATTTTTGTGATCATTCCTTCAATGCTCTCACTTTGGTCTTATGTTTTCGCTCGTACCCCCCGCCCTGCAAACAGGACGCTGGGATACTTTGATGAATTCACGCTCTGATTGGTTGGATTTTGCGTGACCAGTGACCTACGCGTCATCAAGGTCATGACTCTGCAAGGTTTGAAACGGCCGTTAAGACTGATTCATTACTCTTTTATTTATTAAAACTTATCTGTTGTAAATTTGCAATTCCCGTCACATGCTCAGGCTTCGTTTCGAATCACGAACGGTCGGATTGCATTATGCGACACTCAAAATTTTGTCCACATGGTCCGCGCTGAAACAGAAATCACATCCGGTATGGACTGTGCGCATTTCTACGGGAAGTTTTCGGATAGCATTTGCGCACATTGTCTAACTGAGGTCTTGAGCAGCTGCAGCCAGATGCTTTTTACATAGGTCATAGGCCACTTCCTTCACAAGATTCTGTGAAGCTCATCAGAGTATCCCAGCGTCCTGTTTGCAGGGCGGGGGGTACGAGCGAAGTCTTATGTGTTGCCGGTAATAAAAAGACATCTAGAACAAATATGAAGCAGTCAATCTTTATTTTTATAAAGGTATATTAAGTTGAATTTATAAATGGTATATACCCCAGTATTATCATTTATGAATGTTAAATTCCTAAGCACATGCCTAAGCACAATTCCTAAGCACAATAAAATTTAATCGCTCTCACAATTGCATAAAAACAACTTCATTTGTATCATACAGCAAAATAAATTATGATCATGCACACATTTAAGCGTTCAGCTATCATAATCATAATGCACATTTCTTCTTTGGAAGTTTATGACAGCATTTCTTTGGTGATTAAGGACAGAGTAATGCACCTTTCGTAATGAACCATTGAAAACTTGTGATTATTCTATTCATCCCCTCAATTCAAGCTGGTCATAAAAAAAATCATTTTCATGCAAAATCTGTTGCATGCACGGCAAACCAAGAGTAAAAACATACCTATTATGCCACCATAAACTGAGAAAGACTGTAAACTGTCTACCCTGGGTGGAGTGACCTGATGCCCCTGGGGCATCAGGTGACCAAATTTTTTGAATAAAAAAAGAAATTGAGGGCCAATGACGGTCACCTCCTATCTAATCCTCATTCAACCATTGCCAAATCAGCTGGTTCAATGAACTTTGCAGCCAGGGCTACACCCAGGCCGTGTCAACAAACTTTCGACCAGGCCTCCTGCCAAGTCTCATTGAAACATATACAAAGACCTGTAACTTGACACAGTCATCTCCCTTCATAACTGCATACCACAGCCACCAGTCAATTATCTTTCCAGCGCACTGTCTGGCAACTGTCTGGACACTGTCTGGCACATGGCTTTTTGTTGTATTGCTATGAATAGGGTCTTGCGTAGTGCGGGAAAGTACCTGCTGCCCAGAGGGCCCCCGTTGACGAGTTGTTGTATAGTTTTTTTGTAAACGCTGCGCAGGGTTTTAAACGACAGTTTGAGTTTGGCGTCTGATTAGGTTTGAACAAAAGGTACCTATTGTAGCACTTTCATGGGCACATTTCGGAATGAACCCATGATGACTTGGAAGTGCAAAAGTTTTCAAATGATGATCCGTAGACAGTAACAACTAACATGTGTAAATTTGCCCCGTAAGCAAGATGGCACATATCACCGTGAAAGTGCTTAATATATTTATAATTTTGTAACTCTCTGGAAAAAAATTAACAAATAATTAAAAACAGATAGCAAAATTCTAGCTGCTCTCCTTAGAAAGAATTAAACATTTGCCAAAATTGTTGTTCTTGCTAGTTGATCTGAGTCAACTGCAAGGGTACAAGGTTGACTTGTTCTCCATGTTATTTCTGCTTGATGATCCTCTTTCTCAGGGCTGCGGCGTCAGCCATCAGGTTGCGACCCAGAATCTTGCAGCAGCTGATCAGACCCGAGAACATCGCCCCACAAAAACCACAGGTCATCACATCTTGGCCTGAAAAGACAGGACAAACATCCAAACTTGTCAGATTGAGTGAATCTGAAAATAGACACAGTGCTACATGGAACGGGCAACGAGTTCAAAGGAATTTTGAAATAGGTCCAATTAATTAGCAAGTTATCATTTGCACATCGGCACTATCCCTTAGATGGGTTCCAACTTTTTGGAAACACAACTAAAACAAAGTTACCAGACTTTTTACATCTGTTGTTTCTGAGTTCACAGTTTGTATGGCTCCTTACTTTGTGCATGCACTGACGCGTAGCTACAGTAAACTCCGGCTAAACCGACATCGTACAACTCGTCAAATCACTCAAGTCGGCCATCTGACTGAAGACCCGATTGTCCGTAATGCATTTCCATTGAATTTTTTATTTCTAAGTCGGCTTCTATAAGTCGCCATTTTGCTCAAGTCGTCGTGTTACTCTCGGTCCCCTTTCCATAAAAAGCGTTACAAAATCCTTTGTGTAAGTTGGCAATCAACAAATCATGCATTGGCATCGACTTCCTGTACTGCGGTTAGCAAAGTGTCGAGTGAAAAGTGGTTTCGCACGGCCTGTGATCGCTGCATGCATCGGTGTTGAAAAAGGGTGTCCTACTGCATACTACTACGCGGCGCTATAGGATCTTTGCTGCATACATCGCATATATGCGCATCGTGAGCATATCAATACCAGTACCCCCTCTAGGCTGTACGCATGCGCATTGTCCATTTTGGGGGTCGTCTTATTGAATGACTAGTGCTGCAGTCAATGTGTACGTGGTATATACCAGACCACGCACACATTTAATTCGTTGCTGTGCACGTACATATGTATCGTGGTCTCCACTATCAATACCCCAAACGTGGTGATACAATTGCTGGATTCAACTCAAGCATTAAGGAGACAATCCAGGGTAAATCGAAGCCTATTAGTGCAACGAATCATGTGTACAAAAGACCATTCATGTAAGCCGGCAAAATGACGACTTACAGCAGATATCAGCATTCGTCACAAATTCTGGGGTCCCGAGAGTGCCGACTTAGCCAGAGTTTACTGTATTTTGGTTGTTGGGAGTCAGGTTGGCGTAGCGGTACTTTTCTTGCCTTCCACCGCTGTGACCCGGGTTCGAATCCCGCCTGGGCCAATATGTTTGATCGGGTTTTCAGTCCCTACCTGATTCTGTGGGTTTTCCCCAGAATATTCTTCTGGGCTTTTCCTCCCACCTCTAAAACTGTAATTACTTCTCACTGTCTTCTCTCCACAGGTTTCTTCAGGCTTTCGGGCTACAGTGCCTAGGGCGCTTTTGAGGAATCCTTTGTTTCATTACCAGAAATACATAAAATGAATAAAAAATAAATAAAATAACAATTCGTAATGTAAGGAGCTAAACTGGAAATACTCATGATGTAAACACATCCAAGGACGAATGTGCATTTTGATCGAGTTTCCTTTGGAACAAGTACAATGTAGTCAGAATGTTTGGGTCTCACCGGTCAGGTAGAGATTAGGGATGTCAGTCTCTGGACGCAGAGTGTGCCAGGTCTTGGAGCTGAAGCGTTCCTTGTTGTGGTCCAAGCCGTAGATTTCTCCCTTCATGGACTGGATGTAGTACTTATTGGTGACTGGACTACCAACGTTGAAATACTCCACCTGCATGGATCAAAGGACTCAAGGGTTTGAAACGGACCTGCCCTATAAAACCCTCTTCATGTACAATGTTCTAGATACACAACACTAGAAGCACCAGGGGCAAAATCTGCAAAGTGTGTTTTCTGCTGACAGCTTCATGATTACATTGCGTCAATAGCATATTAGGGGAGAATGCAAACTTAACCCTTTCATTACCACATTGTTTATTGACTTGGCTCTTCCCAGGACCAAATTGTTTGCTCAGTCATGTGGAAATCACCAGAGCGTGAACAACATGACCACAAGTCCAAAACTCACTTGTTTTCAACCCAGATTTTCACTGCCAAGTAGTGATTAAAATCATAGATGTTGTGTGTAAAGTTTGTTCCTTGATCTTTACTCTTTTATGTGATGTAAAAATGAAGTCCATATGTGCAAATATAAGAAAGTTATGCCTGTTTGTTCATCTGGTTCTATTTATCAAACTGCAAGCCATTTCACCACATGCCAAATGGCACTCCATACCTCAATTTGTGCGTGGATACTTCTGAAGCACTTTCCTCATTTTTTTTGTAATGGTAACACTGTGAATAAACTACACCATTAGAACGATCCGAAAATACTCTTTCAGCTGGTATTTGGCTAATGTATGGGCGGCCAAACATATCAACATGCCGCCTCTCTGAAAAGTAGTAAATATATCTGTGTTGAGGGTGTTCTGTGTGAGGTTTCCTGGTCGACTAAAGTCGCCCATGAGAATCAGCAGGGGGGTACTTCTTGTCGACAAAAGTCGCCCATGGTAAGGAAAGTGTTAAACCAGTGGTAACTTGATGTTTACCGCAAGGTTTTACAAGGTTATAAAGGGTTTTGTGGGGTACCTCAGGATAACAAATGGAATTATGTAACCCTTGTTTAATTTTGCATGCTTCCCTTAGATAAGTCAATCGGCTGATCTGAAGGCTGTGCCAGGATAACAGCGCCCTCAATCAACAACGAGGTGCAATGATCATGCGAACTTATATGGTAACCTTGGCCACTGCAAGCAGACCAAATAATATTATAAAGTTTTCAACTGTTAAGGTCAAAGGTTGAATTCACCTTATCTTTCAGATGAGGGTAGAAGGATAGACACTGTTCCCACATCTTGTCACCGATAGCATCTTTGATCTTATCGTACTCTTCGCCGCGTTTGGACATCTTGCCTTCCTCCCACTTAGAGAACCATTCCCACTTGGCTAGGGTCACCATGGTGCAGGTAGACTTGCCTGATTGGGAATCATGCCCGATTAAGAAAAGAAAAATTGTAAGTGGAGAGAAATATGTATCCAACCAATTCTAAAAGCCACTGGCAGATGATTCAAATTGCAAAAATACCAAACTCTATGGAATGAAATCACTGAAGGATTAACCCGTCTCTGTAAACCCCAAACTGCCCTGCCTGTTACTCCCTGTACCACCTCATCCGCCCCAGCAGAAACAACACTATATGGTTTGATGGATTCATCACAGAATAAGCACAATGTAATACAATGTAATACAATGTAATACATTGTAATACAATGTAATACAATGTAATACAATGTAATACAATGTAATACAATGTAATACAATGTAATACAATGTAGTACAAGTGCTAATGGGTTAACTAACCTGGGTATCTTTCAGCCCAGCTAGGATCTTTAGCGGATGGGAAGGTGATGAATAGCAGTGGGATGTCGTCCTTCCCTGCATCCTCAGCGCTTCGGTTGATGTACTCCTCCAGACTCTTATCATGGTCGTTATCTGTGAAAGCCCAGATCTGACCCGCTGGTAGTCCGAGCTCTTCCTTGGTTCCCTTCAGGCCGATGAAGACCGACATGGCACCAACGCCGTGCTGAACTCCCTTGTGACGCTTCTCGATAGCTGAAAGAAATGTAACAACTTTTTATTAGGAATCTGTAAAGGGCCATTCTGAAACTGCTCTGTGCAGTTATCACAATCACATCCACAATAATCTGGTAAAATGAGACAGAACTGGGCACAGGCCTTTGTGGAGAAAAATGAAAAAAAAATCAATTTTTAATTTTTTTTTTTACCCTAAAAGGGCCGGAATCCCCCCCCCCCCGACTTTTTCCGCAATAGCCTTGAATTGGGTTTTTTTCCCGCGACCCGAGCTGTTATGACTTTTTAGCCTCGAGACTTGCGCATCTTTTGATAACAAAAACATAAAAATCAGACCACAGGTTGACTGAATTTTACCATATACGTCGTGTACACAGAGCAGAATTACCATTCATACATATGAATAATTAATTAGCCATTATTCCAAAACCCTTTGACCTATAGTCATGAAACTTCTTGGGCATGTTCAGGATGAGTTGCTCTATGCATGTATTGAGTTTCAAAATTTTTCGTCACTCATGGCCAAGATCTTGGGGGGGGGGGCGGAATAAAAATTCAATACTTTAAAGGTCTTTTTCTCAGAATTTCACTTTTATGACCTGCCGATAAATGTGACAGAATGTACCATTGAAGTGCAACATCACATGCCAAATCACACAACAGGCCAATAAGTAACACTGGATATGCAATTGGCCTATCAATTCTAGGATAAGAGTGAAGTACCCACGTTTCTGAGCAGACGTGACTTTGGAGGGCAGAAGTTTCTGGAATGTGTTGTAAACTCCAGCAGCTGAGATGATCATGGGAGCATGGATGTCCACATCACCCGACGTCTTCTTAACCTTCACACCTAATGACGAGAAATCAAGACACAACTTGGACATTCAAGTACAGGGTTGAGTATGATGTACCTATGCAAGTACCCCTCAGCAGTGGCATAAAGATGTACGTCAAATACTTGAACGGCATTGCCAACGCAGAGAGGCTCTCTTCAGTCACAATGCCCGCCTCGCCGACAATATCCCGGCACACAAGGCACTTAACATCGCCATTCATGGCAGGGCAGAATTCCCCCAGCACCTGGCCGGTCAGGACCCCGAGGCCGACTTAAGACATCCTGGCTCGAGCAACTGGGACCGCCCAGCAAGGTTGACAGGCTCTGGAACCAGGCTACAAACAGCGGACACAGGAGATCAGCGTGATGGACCCCAGATGTCTATGTGGTAGAGTGAGTGAGTGATTGCCACAACATTCTTGGCAGCTACGCTATGGGACATTCAATAGTACACAAATCAAGCATCATCTATGCCATAAGTGCGCATAAGAATGGGCAACTAGCTGTCTCCTCTTATAGCTCTCATGTGCAGGAGACTCTTTGCGGTGTACGAATGCCTAAAGGAAAACTGCACAGCCGTAGAACATTGTCTCACGTTCCCTTCAACTTCCAAAAAAACTCAAAGAAAACACAAATTGAGAAACCTTCTACTCACCACACGCTTTCCCTTCACTGTCCAGCAGAATCTCCGTCACTGGTGCACGGACCAGCACCTTCCCTCCAGAACGCTCAATGGTAGGTATGATATGGTAGGCGATCTCACTAGCGCCCCCTATAGGGAAGAAGGTGCCCTTCAAGAAGTGGTTGACGAGGAGGCAGTGCATGGCAAAGCTGGTCTTGGAGGGCTGAGTGCCTGTGGAAAGGAAGAACTAGCTCGACAAATCTAGTAAACTTGGTCCCAGAGGACACCGAATTCTATTAAAGATATAGTCCATCATTTGTAATTTGTGCATTTTGTTCGTTTGAGGCAACAAAACTGCTCAAGATCTAAAGAAGGGTGCTGAACAAATAACCTGATGAAGTTTCAGCTCAGCTTCAGCTGTATATTCCGAGAAAAACAGCATTCTAGGATCTCGATTTGAAATCAAAAGTTGCTGAATCATGTTTTGAATTGGGCCTGAATTCAGCGTCCGAGACACGTTCTCATTGAGCCGATTGCATCTACGCAATGTCAAGCACTGATCCGACGAATTGTAGCAACCGCGCATGTGTGCGTCGTTTCAACGCTTGCGCGCGCTTCGCCGAATAAAAAAAACGAACTACTAACGGACATTTCCAACGGTGCTTCTTAAGACGCACCGTTGGAAAGGCCTTCTTTCGTTGATTTCTTCAAAATGACAGCTTGCCGGAAAGAATAATTTCACAGGGAGTTTAGTCCCCTTACTATCTTTCAACCAAGTATGTTTTTCAACAATAATTACGCCAGTTACTTTTTGGATAGCTGCACATGATAGACTCGGGCTTTAAATTGATCAGAATGTCTATTCGGCGGTAGTATTTTCGTGTATCTGGTCTACACAAATGGGCCCAGATTTATGGCGTAATCCTATATAATAGCACTGCCCAGCTCATTCCGCCAGTTTACAATCAGTCACCCACTGTGATGAATTACAAATCTTACCATAATCTCCAAAATTGTAGGACAATACGGCCTTCAAGTCTTCGTTGTCGGTCAGCTCGTCCATGACGTCTTTCAGAGTGCGATCAGCATAGGTAAAGTAGGATGAGATCAAGTTGATGATGCCGTAATGGATCAGGAAATCACAGACTTTCTTGGGGATAAGCTTCAAAGCTCCAGCAATCAGAGACTGTCTCTTCACCGTCTGAAATTATTGGTAAGTGATGCATTTTGTCAATACCAACAAATCACAAAAACAGACTCCCTTGTCTTTTGCATATTCAGGTCAAACCTCAGGTCAACATGGTCAACGATAAAATCTACGAACATTTTCTGAAACACAGCATACTAGTCATGAAATTAGGATCAGTGATTCAGAGAAGATGAAAGTCAGGACTATCATCTGTGTACCTGAAAAATGACAGAAAACAAACTATAAATTTCTAGTTCATAACTAAATGTACATTAAAAACAAGTCAGGTGTGTTTACAAACACAAATGCCCCGCAACCGTGACTGTTCCCATGACATAACACCACTCTTTTAACATCAACTTACATGTACCTTGGTCACATGGAACATTCATTGACAGCATTAGTGTCTTCTGTAGGTTTTATATGAATTAATCCCTAATCCCTATAATCTCAGAATAAATACAAGATTTCTATTGTTTTAGCCACTGTGAACTTGACCCTTGACCTTTTGGCCCCAAATTCAATAGGCTTCTTAGGATTGCCAAAAACAATCCACAAACCAAATTTGAAGTTCATATGTTAAGTATTTCTCAAGTTATCGCGCTGACAAGATTTCTATTGTTTTAGCCACTGTGAACTTGACCTTTGGCCTTTTGGCCCCAAATGTGAAAGGCTTCTTAGGATTACCAAGAACAATCCACAAACCAAATTTGAAGTTCATATGTTAAGTATTTCTCAAGTTATCGCGCTGACAAGATTTGTCCGGACACACACACCCACACACCCACCCACCCACCCACACAGACTTGTTTCACATACCTAGTGTGGACTTTCCTTTCTTTTCGTGTAGTTAAGGAACACCAGTGGAAAAACTCATTTTTCTCAAACTGTGAAAACTCTTACAACCCAATTTTTTTCAATGATTCCCTTTAGTGTTTCTCTTCATTCTGCTACGGATAAACCTAACCCAAAAATGCCTCTAAACCTGTTTTCCAGAAATGGGGAAACACTGTGTGGACGTGGGCAAGTCCACACTTCGTCGCTGCTACCTACATTATGTGGACGTCTTTTGTTCGGAAGTCCACACTGCGTATGTAAGACAAGCTCACACACACACCCACACACCCACCCACCCACCCACCCACGGAAGGACAAGGCGGAAACAGTATGCCCCTTCGGCTTCGCCGCGGGGCATACAAATCATCACGTTATACTCATAAACTTCATGAAAGTCACCTAGAAAATTCTAGGAGGTAGCATAACGTCTACAAAAAAATGATGTCAAATTTACATTTTGGTGTCAGAAAAACACGAAGAGAAATTACCCGCAACATCTTCATGAATTTGTTAATGGCCTTCTCCTCTCCAGGGAAGCTTTCCAGCAGAGCCTTGCGGTACTGGTCATTCCGTCCGCTCTTGATCGGATACCGACGCTGTTTGCCTTCTTTACCGATGACCACAGTGTCAAAGGTCTCGTCCAAGGGTTCCCACTGCAACTGGCCGTCGGTCAGCTGGTCAACTAGGACCTTGGAGATGGTGTTGTTGGCCATCTCACCGATGTAATGGATGCCTGGATTTTGAAAACATAATAAACAAAACCTGTTGAATTGACTTCGTCTTGGAGAGTAGAAAAGGCAACTTGAGCGCAGGTTTCAAAAAAGGGGGTCACTTTTGCGGAGGTGATGAATTCACAACTTGTTGAGCAGAGAATTGTTTTGTTCGGCAGGACCAGATACTAGCCAAAATGAATGTAATGGGGGACTTTTGAGACGTCCTTTTCAATTGTTTACGTCATGTTTAAGCTACAGCGCGCATGCTCAATATGACGCAAACAATGGACAAAGGACAGTGTATTTGCTGCCACAAACGTCTCAAAAATCTCCCATTTGTAATGCATGTGCCCGATTTTCATCTGAAGTTTGTTTTGCCAAGCGGGATACCCCATCAGTGGCTCCAAGAAAGCGGCGTCAAGACATTTAGATCCTAGTCCCTACGTCACAGTGAGGGTTGTCTTTAATTTTATTTCGTATTCCCGAAATGTAACGTGACAGAATTTATTTTTAACAGGTGCCAAGTTATACAACTGGGTGGAATGAGACAATTGAAGTAAAGTGTCTTGCCCAAGAACATAAACACAATCAGCATGTTCTCCCATCAAGGTACAAACCAGTATCAAACACTGTAACCATTGGACCAAGACAGGATGTGAGTGATTTAACTGAAACGTTTAAGTGGCCTGTTCAGCTGCAAGTCTTACCAACGTCAAACTCGTAGCCTTTCTCCCTGAAGATGTGACAGCAGCCCCCAGCTTGGTCATGTTGTTCTAGGACTAGGACCTTCTTGCCGATACGAGACAGGATAGAGGCGGTAGTCAGACCGCCCATCCCGCTACCGATCACAATGGCATCCAGATTGTCAGGAATCTTCTGTGCAGTGAAACCTGGTTTAGCGTGGGAAAGAGTTTAAAAAAAAAATATGTTCCATTAGTGAGTGAATCACACCATTCCTATAAAATTAGTTTAAAAATAGTTCCACTTTTTAAAAAGAAAATTACCAATTCTCCCAACTTACCCTGCTTGAGGACTTTATCCTTGACTGCATGGTCCTTCTCTAGGGGCTGTGGAGGCCGCCTGGTGTCCATGGCAAACGGGTTAGGAGAATTTGAGGTGATCATGAGTTTGTTGAGGATCTTGTTGAGTAGATAGATGAAGGTTATTGTGAGGCAGACGAGGCCAACTAAGGTGGAGTTGGCCGTGAGGAAACTGATCGCTCTCGCAAGTACAACCATGGTGGATAGCAACCTGTGGACTGTGGATATACATGATATATATGGAATTCAAAATTGATAACCATTCATGTAGTTGCTGGTTAATACACATGTACTTTGACCCTTTAATTACCACATTGTTTATTGACTTGGCTCTCCCCAGGACCAAATTGTTTGCTCAGTCATGCGGAAATCACTAGAGCGTGAAAAAATGACAACATGTTGAAAAATCACTTTTTCTCAACCCAGATTTTCACTGCCAAGGAGTGGTTAAAATCATAGGTGTTGTGTGTAAAGTTTGTTCCTTGAAGCTTACTCTTTTATGTGATGTAAAAATGAAGTCCACGTGTGCAAATATATGAAAGTTATGCCTGTTTGTGCATCTGGTCATCATTGATCTAACTGTAAGCCATTTCACCACATGACCAAATGGCACTCCATACCTCAAATTGTGCGTGGATACTTCTGAAGCTCTTTTCGTAGATTTATTAATGGTAACACTGTGAATAAACTACACCATTGGAACAATCCGAAAACACTCTTTCAGCTGGTATATGGTTGATGTATGGGCGGCAAAACACAACAACATACCGCCTTTCTGAAAAGTAGTGAATATACTGTGTTGAGTGTGTTTTGTGTGTGGTTTCCTGGTCGACCACGGGAATAAGCAGGGAGTACTTCCTTGTTGACAAAAGTCGCCCATGGTAAGGAAAGGGTTAAGAAAAGCCCTTCTTTCCTCTCCTCCAATCAAAATATTTTTTGTTAGAAAGAGTATTTCGTACATTTTATTTTGCGGTGTGATATGGCTCGGTGCGATAAACAAAACAATTTTGCTGTTCCTTTTAGTGACCGAACACCAGGAATACGGCCAGAAAACATTTTGACCTCCATAGGAAACCAAAATTGTTTGTGTTTTTATTGGCATTTTTCAACTCACAAAGGACCCAATGTTCCCAAAGGTGTCAGGTCAACTTGACCATTTGCCAGCTCAACTTCGACCAACGTGACCGTTTACCAACAAAACCGTTTACCAATAAGGCCATTGGTAAACGGTCAAGTTGGTACGACGGTCGAGTTGGTTGAGTCGAGTTGGCAAACGGACAAGTTGACTGTTATCCTTCCCGACCATGCTATACATTAAAAATGTGATCATCTTGAAGAGTATGGTTATACTTTCAAATGCTTAGGCCGAGGGAATGAAAGTCATAGAATACCATCCACCGCCCGCATGTGCCGAAAGGTGCCGCCAAAATTTTTCATTATTTACAAAAAAAATCATTATTTACCCAGAATATTAATCTGCCACATCAGTTTACTTCTAATTTTATCAGAATCCGCTTTACACAATTTTTCTAAGGCAGAATAGTCGTATTCGGTGTACCACATTGGCGCAAAACCCAATCTGCCCACGCGTACAGAGTACGGTGAACACGCGGTACATATACAATAAGTGCATACAATGTATTGCACACAGTTACCAGCACTAGCGCTGCTAGCTTGAGTAACTCCAGCTCTAATGCCTATCGCACTAATGCAATAGGCATTAGAGCTGGAGTTACTCAAGCTATAGCACTGCATGATACCAACGACTGCCTGTGGCCGTTTTCCCAAACACTTTCTTAAAGGGACACTAGGTCCTGGAACAGCCCAATTGGGCTACAAAACGCGCTTTGAACGAGATGATGATAATCGGAAATAACTTTTAAAAGTAGGATATAAACATCCACACAACTATCCTTTCAAAACTGGGCGTTTTTGTGTTATTCCTGTATTATGCGTGCGAGAACAAATTTCTGGGTCCACTTTTGCGACCCCATAAATTCGAGCTGTTTGGATGCTAGTTGTGATTTCATTCGTACACGTAAAGTGTTGAAGAAACCACAATTTTTTGCATTGGTGATTGGTCACCGCGCGCTGTTCCAGAGACACACAACGTGTATAGCGTGCACGAGAACGACACGAAAAACGTATTCGTACTCCGCCATGTCCGATGTAAACAAGCGGGGTTTTTTTTCGTCTTTTCTCGGGAACGGTAAGACATTAGGTTGGTTTCCTTTCGACCAGATGTTTGAAATAGGCTAAGTAAACAATCCAAAACATAACATTTTCGGGGATTTCAGGACCTAGTGCCCCTTTAATGTCCACGTAGTGACATCATGCAATTTGTCATCTGAACCGCACAGCGCGCAAGCATGGAAACGACCGGAAAAAGACTAGTAGGGAAGTCGCAATTGAGCAATTAGAATACCCCCTCTGGGGAATTGATTTATGGCAAGCGCACGTGTGGGGCGATATGGCTACTTCTAGCTGTGCTGTGGAAAGAACATTTTATGTGTAAATTGGTATACTGCATATATAGAGCTGTTTACCTATGATTTTACCTGATTCTGGTGTGGTTAGTACTTCAGAATAATGAATAATGAATAATGAAAAAAAGCCTCATTGTTTTTCAAAATCAGCAGGACGGCATTCTATGACTGCCATTCCCTCGGCCATTTTTTTTTAGCGATATGGTTAGAGATATATCAATCCTTTTTAACATGCGAAAGTTCAGAAGAGGTACAAAATGTATGTGTTTTGTGGCAAAGCACAGTGGGGCTGTGCCGTTGAACAAATGTCTGCAAGTTTTTTATATGCAATACACGTGAACATTAACACTAGACACAATGAAAGCATGATGCTGATTAGCTGATCAAAAACTAGAAGAAAAAAATGTTTTATCAGCCAATTCGCTTCAAGCTTAAGTTTCATTGCATCAAGCTTTCAAAGTTGCCATCTTGGCTTTTGAACCTGCTGCAGTGCCAGTGTTAAAGTTTTACACAATTTCCCTCATCAAACCCCATGGACTCTTCACACAAAATGAAACCTGCCAATGTTAGTAAGTAGGCCTACTGAGTACTGGCTGTTCTGTGTTCAGCTAGCTACACGATACTTCTGGAATCAGAAGGCAGACGGAGAGAAGCCTTCTGATTCCAGAAGTAGCTAGGCCTACACGACATACAGGCATCGCCGGACGCGGGGGGGTCAGACAAGTCGACCGTTGAGACAACTCGACCGTTGAGACAACTCGACCGTATGTGCGATAAATGGAAAGACAAGTCGACCGTTGAGACAAGTCGCCTCGCATGTTTTGGGCCTAGTTTCGGGGATAGTACCGGGGATTTTGACGGCGGCTGATCGCCATTTGGGAGTGATGACACATGAGTTTTTATTTTTGCATATAACAGAGCCGATATAGCGCAGCGTGATTGTCCGTGCACATCGTTCGGTTTTTTTTCAAGGCCACGTGCGCGCATCCCCGGTCAACGTGGCCGTACCGTGCACGGTGACATCGTTTTTGCCAGCCCTGTGCGCCCATTTGCCGCGCCCTCTGTACGTCGAGTATGCCCGCGCCGCACCCGTGATCGGTCTTGCCACAGATTTGTGCAACTTTTTCTGCTCCACGTGTATTCATTTCCATTAAGTCGAGCAGTCTCAACGGTCGAGTTGTCCCGAGTCGAGTTGTCTCAACGGTCGACCTGTCTCAACGGTCGAGTTGTCTCAACGGTCGACTTGTCCCGAGTCGAGTTGTCTCAACGGTCGACTTGTCTGACATTCGGACGCGGCCCCACCATGAATATACATGTAATAGGACTACTGACTGTGCCATGGACTCTGGAGTAACTTGGTCAACAATTTATTGCTATATCACGGAACAAACACTTCCCCATCACTTACCGGGTCCCCGTACAAAATGGAACAGAGGCCTTGGTAGAAGCAGCTCGCACAGATAACGAACAACAATCCGTACTCAGAAAAGCAAAGTCCACTTCTTTTGGATTTTATTTTTAGGACTAGGACGTACATGTACTTGGACCGCTTTCGCGTGTGGACTATGGGAATAGCGCCACCAATATTATTTAGTTCGGACCAGCTGGTTTGGGCCACATACTGTGCATGCAGGGTTATTGGCCTCTCAGTAAAATCTCATATGCTTATAGTGGTGCTTTTCAGGGAGGCACACGCACGAAATTCTAAAAAGGCACTCGTTACAGCCGCTAGTTAAAAGGGGCACTCACTTTGGTGTTGGAGAGGGCACTTGTCAAAAAAGGGGTTACAAAAAAATATTGGAATATTGGAAGGGGGGCGTTAAACACTTGCGAAAAAAAGGCACTTGAATGGAAAACGGCAGTCTTTACAAAATATTGGGGAAATACTCAAACAAGTAAAATCTAGGTGAGGGTATATTTTCCCCGGACTCCATCACCATCTTCTGAAGTGAAACAGAACACGATGCGTAAAAATAAATCAAGACCTTCCATTTTGTTTCTGAGTATTATTTTATTGTTTGAAAAGGAGCCTACTCCATTATTACAAAGTAAAATACGGGACTATGCGCTATATCGGCATGTACACTCTATCACAACTCCCCTAATATCATGCGATCCATTGTGAGTGAATAGAATAACATGCAATGTCACAAAATGTAATACTCCTATACTTCATTTATAATTATGATAATAAAATTATAAGGAATCAATCAATCAAACCATCCCACTCCTATCGAGAACAGTACCACTATAGCCGATGTACTCTAATATCAATTAATACAGTTGGCCAATAACAACGATGCATGGGTGTTGTGAGGGGGGACAAGGGGGCGCTTGCCTGCCCCTTTCCCCGGACAAGCAAAAACAAAACAAAAAAGGGGGGGGGGGGGAAGGAGGTGCGAAATCACGTTGCTGTTAATTTAATGGGTTGGGGGGGGGGGGGTGTCCCTGCCGTTCCCTCGAAAAAACTATCAATCGGAAAAATGCTGGAAATATAGGGATTTTTTTTGGGGGGGGAGGGGGTATGTGCTTTGCACCCCTCTAGAAAAAATCCTGACGACCCCCATGCAACGATGTTTTTTTTAATAATAATCGTAATAGTGATGAATTGTTACAAAAAAGTCATAATTATTATTTAAAGTTTGCTGCCAGTTTTGATGAAAAGATGCACTCCACTGATATTCTCGAGTTCCAACTCGAAAAGAAGGTTTTTCATTCAATTTTAGTAATAGCTAGCAACGGAAAAGTTACTTACTTTTTATGATCTGAATAAGACATTGAACCAAAAAAAAAAAATAGTTCGATTATATTATGCTTAGGTTCTGTCTCGGTCCAACTGCCCGTGTGTACTTTTTTCTGCTTTGTGTTTGTCAGTCCACAACAAGCCTAGGCTTCCAGAATATATATGTCTCCATACCAATTTATATTTTCGCCTTTTTCGTGCACTTTTTGACGAACTCTATTGATTTATGTGTATTCTATGCTTGTACTTCTCATTTTGGTATGGAAATAAATGTGAGTTTTGAATTGAAAATTGAATTAAAAGTCTATCCCAGTGCTTGTTAGACACCTACAATCCCGGCCAAAGTGGTTGGGACACTTCCTTAGCCTCCCACGGTCACCCACTCCCCCGCTCCCCCGGTCAATGTTGTTCTCTCCAGCTGATGGAGTACACACCACTCATGAGAGACAACATTGAACGGGGGCCGGGGGGTTGGGGCCCAGCGAGATTTAGCCGGGATTGTAGCCTGCAGCAGCTACATGTACGACTCCAAATCCTCAGCAATAGACACCGTCTCCAGTAGATCATTATTAGATATCTGCTTGTAGAACCGTCGCAGGTACGGGTCGGCTGCGACACCTGTGCTGTACGTGTTCTGCACTCTCCGCTTCTTGTAGACAGAAGAACGGGAACTAAAATATAAATATAAATTTGCCAGTGATCTGACACGGACAAAAAAGAATCTACATTTATACTGTAAGAAATTCATTAGATCTCGATGAACAGCTGCAGTGGTGGCAGAGGTGTCGCGCAACAAACGACGGCCAGAACAGGGGCTGCAAGATTTTCATAGCAACAGTAGCAACAGCTTAATTAGCGGACTTAGATCAAGCAAGTTGACTGAGCAACATACATTGCGGTGGATGTAGCAGTATAGCTAAATAGCAGCGGCACAGCAGAGACAGTATAAAGTAACAGCAGCAACAGCAGAACCCTACTGTTAGCAACAACATCTTTACAAGCATCAGACAGCATAAGCATCGTATCTTCGCATCTCCACAGCATCTTAAGCAGTGGTGTGGCAGCAGCTGCAAACAACTCCAGCAGCAAACTAGGAAATGCGGCATTGCGACATGCAACAAAGTGAGCAAGCATGCAGCCACAGCAACAGTAGCAGCAGCAACAAACATCAACATCTCACCTCAGAGTATCCACAACATACCATACCAACACATCATACCTCACCATTTAAAAAGTAACAGCATCAGCAGCAGCTGCAACAGACAGCATTAACCATTTTTACCTGCCCGCCACCTCAGCATCTTACCTGACCATTTCCACCGCATCCTTGAGGAGTAACAGCTGCGCCTGGACCTTATCCTTGTGTTTGACGCGAGATCGCATGATCTTCTCCTGCCACAGAAATCGCTGAACCAATTTCTTTACGATATGCTGTATGAGGAAAAATACATTATTTTACCTCAGTCCATATTGCATCAACTATCTGGATGGTGAACTTCTCCCCAACTCTTTGAAGGTACAAGTTGGTTTAAGCATATAATCACTATATTGTATATAACAATGTTGGAAAACATGCAGTTCTGTTAGACATTACCTTATAACCATCCTGCTGGAATTTCCTGCCCGCCTCTCTCCTCTATACGCAAAAAATAAAAATAAAAATAAGTCGAGATAACAGTTATTTCAAAGATGCAAATGAATTCGTGGTGTTGCTTTACATCCCTTGTTACCCGTGACAGGACTTGTGAATTGACTAGCTCCTTCCGACCTGACGTGTAAATTAACTCACTACTTCTGGCCGGACTTGTTAGGTCCTCGTGATCCATCGAAATCTTGACTAACACTGCTAAGGCCAAAAGTAAAGTTTCCGGTTTCTGGTATGCGCGCGCGTCGCCGTAGCCATGCGCGTCGGCAAAATGAAAAAGGTTTTTTTTTTTCAATAAAAGAGGATGTCTCAAAACCACCAAACTCACTGGTTTGACTGGAATCCTGCTGCCGCACAATTTTAACGTGTTTTTAGAGGGGGTTATGATCGAGAATAAGCTTTATGTGGCCTCTCTGGACTCCCGTATATTTGCACTAAGTTTAGTCGGGCACCATTTGCAGTCATCACTCATCAGCTGACATTTGAAGCAAAAAAAAAAACAGGTAAAAAAAAAAAGCCGCGTCGCCGCACCACTTTTTGGACAAGCTCCATACCAGAAACCGGAGACTTTTTTTTTGCCTAACCTGATGTCTAGGAGGCGAGCCTCTGAAAAATTTGACCACACGACGGATCAGTCTCCGAGTGCTCCTCGTAGACGGCACGATGTTGAGAGGCGGCGGTATGGTAGCGCTCTCTGACAGGTACTCGGTCATCAACCGCGTGCGGGCAACCTTCCATTCCACGTCCGAGTTTTCCTTCACGAGAACACACAGAACAACGTTAGTTTTTCGTTGGGTTTATCACAATTCTAAATTGCAACAAAAAGTATAGGTACCCCCAAAAAATTAGGCGCTATATATTATTGCTCGAAGAGTCCAAAACGAAGGAAGCAACATAATGAATATGCCTATAGTTTAAACAAAGAGCTAGGACCCAAGGAGTCAGAACTCTTGGGCGATTTACTTTTAACCATAACATTCTAATATTAGTTGAAACGGAAGACGAGTAAAGCTATACAAAACTAGCCGCGAAGACGTACTCTTGGAACATCATGAGGTATGGATGGGTTTCGGGTTCAAGAGAAGTTCGGATGATGGAAAATATTATTTATCACTGCCTGGACAATATTTTAACTTATCGGCAAAAATTATCAGAAAGAGCCAGCGTGGGTACAGAACATGCAAAGCTGCAACTACATGTAATATTCAAAATTTTCGACAAAGTTCCATCTAAGAGTAAGGCTTGTCTCTCGCATTCAGCCTACCTCAACACGGGTGTACGTGTTACTCATCATAGCGATGAGGGCGTTCATGAGCACGACCACGCCCAAGACGGAGTAGGCGGCATACAGAGCCGTGCCAATAGCCTCGGAGAACTTGAGATCGGAGGCCATAGTGAGATTGTCCAGATCCATCAGGTCAAAGAGAGACCAGAACAAGGTCCCTATTGTGAGAAACAAGCTGGGGAAAAAAGGTGTTGCCATTTAGTGCAAGAGCATTATAACGGACCGTCTGTTCCGGTGTGTTGTGGAATTTGGATAGTGTGAAATAGGGACTCATTGGTTGTATTGCGCATGCCTAGATGAGGACAGTGACATGTCACGTGTGAGGGTCAGAGTCCATCGGAACCCGAGTCACCTCAACTTCTCCTTGGACAAGCAACACTGCTTGTTAGGAGTCTACACATGAAACATCAAGCACAAGTCCATGGGTAAAAGAGACCCAATTCATATATGGAGTCCAAATTTCATATGACACTGGATTTGGCAATAAAGTCCTACCTATACTCTTTTGGTCTGAGTGAGTTCGAAGGAGCGTTTGCTCACCTGATCAAAAGTCGAGATCTAATTGAGTCTCCTGATGACGGGCAGAGTACACTAAACGTTGAATTTCCCCCGGTTACTCACAAATTCACAAAAGATCCTTTGTCACAAACCTTCAACTCTTAATTATCTAATAATCAAGCGCCCTGTTTGATTGACAAGCAGGAAGGTTTCGTTGATACGCATATCGACCATCTCACCTTCCAAATACATGCGGGTCACACTCTCCCTCGCAAGTCTGCTGCCTGACCATCTCATAAGTCCTGAAGATCTGCGTCATGCCCAACGAGAAAGCCAACAAGACGACGCTGAAGAGCAGCAGAAACTTACCGATGTCTCGGGCCATGCTGCCCATGGAGATTTGGAGCGGCCCCACGAAACTCATTGCCACCATGGCGTTCAGGAGACTGAGCAGAGTCAGCACGTTGCCTATGGCAAAGGCTGCCTCGGCAACAAAGAGGGGGTCGTAAGGGGACCATATCACGACGGTAGGAGACCTGGGGGTCCTGGGGCCACCCATGGTGTCGTTGTACATGGCGCGGGGGCGACAATTTGGCGGCAAGCGGCTATCTGGTGCCAGCCTGAAATTAACAAAATATTTGTCTATCCATAAAGATGGAATATATTTGCCCCAAGGATTTTCGTCATCGCGATGTCAACATGGTACGGTATCAAGTTACGTTACATTAAAGGTGTATTTTTCAAAGCCTTGTATCTTTTAAAGTACAAGTCTGATTGAGTCGACAATTTGGTTCGTAGACAGGGACTTGTTATAGATGAAAATGGAAGTGAGGTCATGATGACATCACATGTCATGTGATGTCACATTAAAGGGACACTTTTCTAAGGCCTATCTAACTGCTCGACTAGGTTGTAACTTGATATGTACCTATAATTCAAGTGACGTTATCAGCCATGACGTCGTCACATGTCACAGAGTCATTTCAAACAGCCGAAGCAGTTGGTGTTTGTCCACTTGATCTCAGTTTTCGTATCTTTTCATCAGGATTTGAAAGATGAAAAGGCTCTGCTATGTATTCCAACCTCACAACAGACCTAAGCATTCTGTGCCGACAACGCTCGGGCAGAAAACCCTGCGCTAACGTGACACTGCAAGTATTACGGGATATATAATTCCTTGCCAACCCGTGAAATACGCTAACAAGTAAGCGTGGAATTGTCTGTTATATAAGCTAGGACTTGTCGCTTACGGTAACCAAATTCAGCGTAGCCTTTTCTGATGAGTTTGGTTTACTCACTTATGCAGTGATGCACACGGCACGGCTGTAGGCAGGCCATGATCATCGTAGTTGCTTGAACCCAGCACGTGAAATAGATAATCCAACTGGACAAAAGAACACGATAAAAATGACGCTCATAACTTAAGGTTGGTGTATACGTGTGTTTTGGGCGTGGCAACTTGAAATATGGATTTTTAAATTGCATTGATAATTTTCTAGCATTACATTAGTTATGAGCTTTCCAATGAGACATCGCACGAAAAAATAATACCCCATGACAAGTAATCAGTTGAATTTCAACATGCTTCTAATTCTGAATAGTGTGCGCAATTTCTGAACTGGAACACGCCATTTTAAACCAATTTTTAAAACTGTATAAAGGCCTGTGTGGATGAGTATTAGTTTTCTTTGTACTTTTTACTCCCTTGCCACTTGTACATAGCTGATGCCAGATTTTTCCTCCTGCTCATCCATTCACTGAACTTAAGAGGTGTTGTCATTTAGTGCCGCTAGAGTGAATCTCTATTGGTGCTGTGTTGCTATTATCTATTATCTATTATCTATACTTTTCTCTTTCTTTTCCTCTCTTCTTCATACCAATTTTTTTTTTTTTTGCTTTTGGAAACCAGTTGAAGTAAATTTTGAAGATACGTTTTGAGTTTTGGATAACTAAGTGTTCCCCTTTTAAAATAATTTGTTGAGCAACTAAAATTTCTTTTTTGTGTGTGTTGATTTTGTTGAGTTTCATGTGAATAAAATATTTTGTTGTTGTTTGGAAATCAACTCCTGTTTCTGTCCCAGCTTCTTAAAAGTATTTCGCGCCCAGTCATTTGAACCAGGACAATTTCCTCTCCCACGTGTGTTTAAGACAGTGTGCTATTTTTCCAGGTTACACCTGCAAAAACAAACAAGCAAATTTGTGTGTTACAGGACATCATATTCCTTTAAATTTCGTTCGGAAAAGAAAATCGAAACGTGGGGAAAGCAGGGATATACATGTACCAACTTTAACAGTGACCGAAGTTATTCGACGGACTAATACCTGTCAAAATGAACCTATTTTGGTAAAAAAAAAAATCGTTTTTCCAATCATAAGAGAGGTCTTCCTTACCTTAAAATAGGAGACGAAGCTGAGAGCGATATAAGCCCAGTAGAATACGAGTTGAATGGTATGCAGCCAGTTCCAGGGGTTTTTGGCGTAGAGGCGGATACCAAGGCGCCATAAACCTTTGATCTCTCGCCAAGTCATTCCTAACAACGTGCAACAATTAACAACAACAACACTTCAAAAAGTAGGAAGACTGAATTATCAAGCTCATGCAAGCTACGAAGTATAGCTTGAACGAATGATACAGAAAACGGTGGCATATTGGAGTGCCAACGACAAATGTTTCATGTGGACTCCTAGGCAGGTGCGCACTCATTCCTAGCTAGATATCAAGCACAGAGCACACCTGTGCGTTTTGCGAATGCTCTCGCGTGAATGATGCAGCATCGTATTCACAGTTCCTGCATGGATAAACCCATAATGTTCGAGACAAATAATCTATAAATCGTATACCGATAATCCAGAACATGACAATCCAGGGTACGGCCTGGCTGAGCTGCACTTCCTCGTGCACGCGGTAGGATATCAAGGTGGACCCGTCTACCGAGCCCTTGACGCCTTCGAGATGAAGACGTGTCACGGAGGTGAAGATGAGAAGGAGTAGGAAGGTCAGATGGGAGCCGGTGTGGAGAAGGAACCGCACGTACCTGTGGGATAGTTGTGGAATTTTCACTCGTTCAGTTCTGGCGGACATTATTAATAGCCCTCTTTTTGGGGGGGGGGGGCAAATCTTCTATTTCAGGAATACTGAATGCATTTGAATTAACTATTTTGCTGAAAGTCTCACTGAAGACATCAGGTGGTTGAGTGTCAACATAATATAGCTAAATGATAAGAATGTTGTCGAATGTATCCATCGAGTTAGTTTGGGTGAGTCTGAGTATGGGAAACAGTCCTCTTTGACTTGGCGCACAGGTACGCCGACTAACTTCAACAGCTCCTCTTTTGGAATAAGTTGCTACCAAACAGGTGGTTCAAGACTTAGTAGAGTATCTATTTTGACTCACGGGGTACGGATGAAGTCCACCATTTTCCCCCTCGGAGCAAAGATGTAGAAGAGGCTGAGGAATGGCCACGTGACCATGATGAGGCTGGAAATGGCAGCCATTCTGAACGAGGAGAGCTTACGCCATGTTTTGTCGGAGCCGCTATACCAGCGGGATAGCATGTAGTCCTGGCAGGTGGAGTGGGCTACAAACTACAGGGCGAGTCAAAAACGGAAACCCAAATGGTAGGACCAATGTTTTAACCCTCGGAGTAGAGTGACCAAAAAAATCACACCGTGAAACCACATGGAGAATTTTATCACCACACTGTTTCTAGGTCCATAACCCCCTCATGCACAAGATATAGGCAGGTCACATGGCCTTTGTGTGCGCCAGGATTGTTTACGACCTGTCTGAGCTCTGGGCGGCACGAGGGGTTGACACAGAGAGATCGGCGGCACAAAGGGGTTGGCCACTAAGATCTCCAATTACTGCACAAAGGCATAAGGCGCCTCTTGGGGCTGCTGTCTTTCAACACTCCTTACTCGGCAGTGGTTAGGGTCTGGCCAATGGGAGTCTACAGGCTTGTGGTGTATAACAGGGATGAGGATTACATGGAATCTTGGCCTTATTGGCCCATTGAAAAAAAGTTATGACCATATTTGGAAAATGTGGAGAATTTTATCACCACGTGGCCACACCGAGGGTTAATAAAGTTCTGCAATGTAACACGATCAAAATCTAGGATTATGAAAGCCCAATGAATAAGCTTTCTTTAAGTACAAGAATCATTCAAATCACTCATGTACTGTTTAAGTTACGGAATTTTAAACACAGCCACCATTTTAAACTTCTGTCCATGCACGGATCACAACAAAAAGGTGTGTGTTCTTTCAGCAAAACGAAATCAATTCACACACATCCCTATGTGAATTGTTTTTAAACTCACACACACTGAAATTTGTATCATTGTGGAGACATTTCTTTGTTCTCGTGTAGTAAAGTTTTCGAGTTTGAAAGTGAAGTTTCAAAATGCTCTTATTTTAACCAGAATTAATTTCCTTGGCTAAAATTTGGACTTAATATCCCTTTTCTAAAACTCTTCAAATTTGCGACAGATCAACCCACCTTGGAAATTCCTAGTTTTTGAGTAAAATCCATGTATCTATTTCGTGAAAACCTTATTCATTTATAGAAATTGCCCTGTGGTGACGTATACAATCTTTTGTTCCCTATTGTACACACGTCTCCAGAGGGCACGGTGTATCAGATCACCCTTTACACCCACACAAGGGAGGTTGTGTGGTGATCTTGTGATTAGCAGTCACAAGGGACAGGAAATGAACATAAAGATATAAGGTGTGGTCACAGATCATCTGAACTTAGCTTGTGACTTGACTTGTGACTTGACTTGAGACTGACTTGTGAATGACGTGTTATTAATAACTAAACTTTGATGGACTTGTGACGAACTATAGTAATGGGCATGTGACACACTCGACCAAAAACACTGCATGTAAATCCCAGCACTTGAGATTCTCCCGAATTAATCGGAGTGGGGTTTAGACTGCCGCCTTTTCAGTAACTCCGGTAACTTATCCTACCCGTTTGAACCCGAATTTGACGGCTTCTTGCATTCTGACTGGCAGCACGTCGTGCGTGGCGAAGATCTCGGAGTTGGGTTCCGAGACGAATCGCTGAGCTCCCAAGACGGCCTCAATCTCGTCCAGATTACGGGCGAAGCCCAGGAGGCGGGTCACAAACTGCTCCAGGTGGGCGGATAACTCATCGTACTCTTCCTGGTAGGGAAGTAAGAGAATGTCTTAAAACGGACCATTCCAGCCGCTTGCCATCAGTGACGCATTGGCCACTTACATCTGGAGATTTTGGCGAGGTGACCACGGTAGAGCGGTCAAACTCGGTCACAAGCACTTTGAGAAATGTCAGGGATGATATTGTCAATTAAAAAAAAAGTCTGAAAACTGATGAAAGGTCTGAAAGATGCATATCTTTCCATACTAATGTCTTTCTCTCAGATTCAAAAAGTCAGATTTCAGACAAAAGGACACAATAACATCTCATGCTCAATAACTTGAAGGTAATAATTTTGCCGGTTCTCGAACTAACTGTGCCATTACATACAAACCTTGAGTTGGGTGACGGTTGTCGACAATGACCGGAATTTATCAGCGAGCCAGAAGGCGGCATCCATGGGGTCCTCGCTAGCCAGCAGCAGGTAGGCCTGACTGGTGATGGCCTGGTACCAGCGGAGCTGAGCTAAGGCTCTCTCGAAGCTACCGTCTTTGATGCGGGCCAAGACAGAATTCAGGCTGGGTATGCGGGCGTCATAGTCCAACAAAACCTGCCAACATTGATAGCGTTATATTTTGTATAAGCTTTACTTCTTATTGAAGGATTTACAGCAATAAGTTTTGGCTGAGCGGTTTCTTAAAATTAGACACCCATAGGTTAAAAAAACCCGACTGTTTGACCAGTGATGATGCTGGGCCTTGGCCTTAAGGCTGCCTTAAGGCTGGACTTAAGGGCCTTGGCCTTGGCCTCGAGGCTTGAGGGCAAAAGCCTTGGCCTTGGCCTTGGCCTTGAGAGATCAGTGCCTTGCAATTTTGAGTCAAGGCTCTTCAATGCCCATAGATTTTTTGCATTTTCCAGATAAATCTGTTTGTATACAATTATGGAATAGATCTGATTGGTTGTATATGTCTCCCTGATAAGTGCTAAAGATTTGCATGTATCTGTTTTAGATAATGCTAATATTTCTGACCATGTTGGCCCAGCAAATACAAATTTCCCAAATCAGTTTCTTGGATCCCCCTTTTGTTACACTCGGGAGAATTGTGCGTCAATATATCGTTATTTTGTTTTAGTTAAACCATATTCATGAAGACCTGAACTTATACTTTAATAGATACAGTGCAGTCATAAAACAGTGTATGCGAGCATGTTCTTCTTCTCAGTAATGAGTGATTCGTGATGATGTGTCATGTGACTATAATTAGTTCTATATTAGTGGTCATTTGATAAAACAGGGCCTTGGCCTTGGCCTTAGCCTTGAGGGTCAAAGCCTTGGCCTTGAGGGTCAAAGCCTTTGCTCCAACACTGGTTTGAACAATTTTTTTAGTCATCAATCTCTTTTTCAATCAGCAATCTCTAGTAACAGAGTCGACGGTAGCAACTGCAAAATTGTACGAGAGCTGCATTTTCACGATTTGTTGGTGGATTAAAATATTGGTCAGTGCTCGCCCGATTTGTCAGTCCATATACGGTACCTTCACGACAGCGTAGTCGTTGAGGAAAGCGGCTAGTTGCAATGGGTTAGAACCCGGCGGAAAATTCACACTGGACGGAAAACCGTTCACGAAATCTTTCCCAAACTCCTGCCAAAAAAAAAGAACTACTGCTTTGATTGGTCTTCAAGATTATTTCAGAAGTTGAAGGCAAAAACAAGGGCCAATCATTACTTTTTCAGGGATGTACGTATATGAACATCTTCATCCCTTAAAAATTCAATAAAGAGCCATCATTTTCCCTTGAAAGTATAGTTAACTAAATGTTCACGGATTTTTCAACATATTAAGCCAGATTAGGAGTCCGTGAAAACCGCTTTAGAAAGTCCTTTGTTTACCCATGGAGATAGACCCAGTGTACCGTTATGTATAACCAATGGTAATCCCCAGTGGCCAGGGTCATTATAAAAACCGTGAAAATACCCTTACAGGATTAGTCCTATATAAGCCCCATGTAAATGTCCGTGAAACATTCTTTTCACGGAGAAATGGACTTTTAATGAAAATTTAAGGGATCAGATGTTCATAGTCAGCCCAGAGAAAAGTCAAAGTCAAATTTACAGTAAAGTAAAAGTAGTATAAAAAGTATGAGGTAAAAGTGAAGGTAAAAGTAAAAGTTACCTTGACCTTCTCTGACTCCGAGTATCGACAAAGAGCCTTGACGGCCCCTACAAACTGCACCTCAACCGCCATCAGCAACGCGTCACCGATATACACATCATGCTTCAGTAGAATATTAATTACATCTGTGAGGTGAATGAATATTAATTACATCTGTGAAGTGAATGAATATGTATTACACCTGTGGGGTAAATGAATGTTTATTAATTCGTCAACTATTTATTAATTATCAGTGATTTTCCCCATCTTTTTCTATGTTGCGTTTTCTCTCATGCCATACAGCTTGTTTGGCGGCGCTGATTAAAAATTGACGTTGTAATTTTACAAAAAAATACATGTAGGCAACTTCTTCACTTGTTTTTTAAATAATTGTATTACAATCCAAGTCAGTATCCATTGTTTTATTTATTGAATAAATGCAATTAACAGTACAAAATCGCACAGAAGTCGAAATCATAAAATTCAAGAGCTAGAACTTTTGTATTGAAAAATACATAATTGTTTTCTATTATTGTTTTGAAGGCACATGAAATTGTGGTGTTTTTTGTTTCTGAACTCACCTAGATAGCCCTCCTGTATAGCAATCATGAGCGGGGTCCGTCCGTCCGTATCTCGGCATTGAAGGTTGATCATACCGCCATAGCTGCCCAGAATCCGTCTAACCTCGTCCACTTGATTCTGTTCCACTGCGTCCAGGAAATCCGCCTCCAAGGACATCTTGGCTGCCAGCCCTGGGAAAGAGGTGATTATTTTCCACAAGGTAAAATAATGTAGTTTGCACTGGCATCGAGAAAAATCCAGGGGGAAAGATTCAACACAGTCAAATTCTAGAAATATTCTAAAATGTTTGGGAATTATAAACATTAAATTGTGCAAATTTACAGACATACTTTCCCCAGGCAATCTGTACAATTCATAAAATATATTAAATATAAAAATATGACATTATTTAACAGACATTCCTTCCGTGTCGCATGAGGAATCACTTGTAGACATAAACAGACAAAAACAAAATTACGGGAAAACTAAGCTCTGGTGGTCCACTACAATACAGGAAATATTGATATTAAAGCAAGCATCGTTTTAATTGTACGGTCTAGCTAAGCTATAGGCCTTAACACGTGAATCAATTACGCAACTCAACGTGTACATACCTGTCTTTATATGTCTGTAATCTGCTACTCCTCTGTCAGTGGAAGGAATATGTTAGAATAACTTCAGAACTGACGTCACTGATGACGCAAGTGTGATGTCACAGACAACAGTGGATTGGTATCATCTGCTGGATTGGTTGGAAGATAGACATCTCGAGGAAAAAGTATACAGACGATCCATGATGTGACGTCTTTATTTTCAACAGCGCGTCTTCAAAATTGACAGTGCTATTCGTTTAGTGCTGCTTTGATGTGATTTTTACTGAAGTCTCGGAATAAAAGTACCAGCAGAAGTCGTAGAAATTCCCTGGTGATGGTTCTGGATCAGTGGTTTTATGCAACGAGCATCGAATCACGGCAGTGTAACACATTTCAAGAATCCTGTAAAGCCATGCATGCTATATTTTTTTTATGACGTTTACCTCAGTTCGCATCGGCGCAGTTTAAACACAGAGAATGTACTTCACGAAGTGGCTTGTCATGCTGGTATGATTCCAAACGACAAAGGGAAAAATACACATGAGATTCCAAACAACAGTATAATATGGCCTTCTATTCAAGCAAGTTTTTAATATATTCTTACAACTGTACAGAAAAGCAATGGGGAAAAAAATCACGTTTTTTACACAGATGTGGTCTCTCAACAAAAAAATAAAATAATGTCCAACGTTTAAAAAGTGGCTTTTCTTGTTTTGATTTTAAATACATGGTACAATTAAATTCAACAGAATATTTAGTCAATGTGACTTTTTTGACACGAGCACAACACATGATAGTAACCTTCAAACAGTTTGGTTTCATAATATCCATTGAAATTCTAATACATTTTATTGACAATGCTATGGAATAAGTACATTTTCTTTTCTTTTCCTCTCCTAAAAGCTTTTAATAACAAAGAATTAATAAATTTGAAAGAAACAAAACTTGCGAAGAAAAACAGGAATTGTGTATTTAAAAAAAAATAATATACAACATAAAGAACACGAACAATTATTGATTAACACAAAAAATGAAAACAAAATGAAGTACACGTACAAGTGAAGATATGTACTTAAATGCCAACCAAATGCCCTACCTACCGTGTCCGAGTTTAACTTGTGTACATGTATATGCTTCTTAATAAATGTCTATGAACCCAAAAAGTGTGAAATGTACTTGCACTTTATACTCTTTTCTCAAAAATTTTCAATTTTTTTGAATACTATACTGAACAAACAACCGTTGTACATGTATAACTCAATATGAGCAATCTATTTACACCAAAATCAATTGTTTGTGTGTCTATAACTTCAATTGTTTAAAGGGGAGACACAACATTTGCAAATATCAAAAAAAAAGAAAAAAAAGATCAAATTATCAAACAATTTCTTACTGGATTGTCAGGGTATGACAGTCCAAAGCATCCTGTAAAATCGTGGCTCCTGGTGTGCTGAAATTTTCAAGAAAACTTGTATTTTTCCAACAATGGTCGGCTAACCAGCATCAGAGAAAACTGGCAATTTTTTTTTTCAAAAACTGGTCCTTATTTTTCATATTTATTTATTTATTCAGCATTTTCTTTGCAATTATTTACACACGTAAAAAGGGGTACAAGCCTGTTGGACTGATTCTCTGACCTTTAATTCCCCAAAGTCTATAAACTGCTCTGTTTCATCTTCGGTGGGGTCAGGGAACCAGACTACGAGAACATGATTGGTTTTCTTGGATTTCCCAGCATCTACAAGCCCAAAAAGTGAAGCAAGTCAGCTTAACAATATTTGCTATAACATACTAATCCTCCAAATGCACTTATTTCTGAAAATGCAGCAAAAGCAAATGTTGTACATTCCCTTTAAAGCCATGATTATACATCAATTTAAAAAAAGTATTTCCAGAAAAGCTGGCTCAACTTAGAAAAAATAATTAGAGAACAAACGAAAATGCACCCACAGGGTAATTTCTGAGTGTGGGGTTTTAGTAATGGATAATAATAAGGAAAAAAACCAACACATTAAATTTAGAAAACAAGTAATTCATAAATAAAAACAAATAAATCAATTGAATGAAACAACTAACACAAACGAAAGCAAATAACAGACTGAACGGTGTAACAAATTAACACAACATCTGAAATCAAATAAACCACCTCAGACTAACTGGGTCAGGATCTTCAGGGTGAGCTCATTTTTGGCCGTCAGAATTTCTTCCTGACTTTTGTTCAGTTGATGAAGCTCTGCGATCATTTCCAACACTGCAGCCTTTCTCATTTTCGTTTTCTTGGACTTCTTTTGGGGCGGTGCAGATACTTTCAGGAGCTGGGCATTAATGTGGTCACTGCAAAAAAGAAAAGGAGGAAAACAAGGATAAACATTTATCAACTGAATTATTACATTATGTGGGACACTCGCTCTATTAACTGGTTCCCAGTTCTGCAGTGCCATGTTTTTGTTGCAACAGAAGGACTAGCCTTTTGTCCTCTGATACGACGGAGTCACAGCTGACTGACTGACAGTCAATGAAATTCGGGCGATTCACAATGCAGTGCGCCACCAAGAGTTTGCCACGGAGAGTTAATTTTTTCCAGTGCATTGTGGGAGATGGGCGACAAAATTGCAGCGCGGGACATTTGAAATTGTTAGTTTTTCCGGTCAGTACTTTGCGAGTTAGCCACACCCCTTAGACAACCCTATGGAATTTTTATACACTAGTTGTGTTTGTCTCAGATTGTGTGCGTTTCGCGTCCTTTTTGAGTATCATGTAATTGGACAATATTTCACAAGCTGCATTGACGTAATTCTACCGCCATTCTACCGCGATAGGTCAATTATTCAAAGATCTGTTTGCCCTTTTCTTTTCTTGTTATCACTATGGTGTTTTTTGTAAGGCAGTTGAATGCTACGTCTCAATCTATAACAAATTAGCTCAAGTTGTCTACTGACACTCATTCAAATGGGCCGTGTTTTGTCAGCTGTCGGACTGTAAACTTGAAAAATGGACTCTCCATGGCAAACTCTTGGTGGCGCAGTGCATTGCCAATCTCCCGCATTTAGAGCCGGTACCAGAGACATGGAAGTTTTACCTGAGCTCTTCCAGGATGGTGCCCTCATACCGTTCGCTCTCTTCCTCTTGAACACCTTGTGGTTCAAGCTCCAAGGTCCGTTCCACATCTCGGAAGAATGGCCAAGAAATCGAAGGGACTAACTTTTTGCCATCTCCTGCATCAATGGTGGGCTGATTCACAAGTCTCTGAGAGCAAAAAGTGATTAATAAAATGAAATTTACATTTTAGCATTTTAATTTTTTTACCAACACAGGGTGATTGAGCACGAACTCTGTGTATTTAATTTGACATTCTTGAGTTGGGTCGTAAATATGTTATGCAAACAGGAAATAAAAAAAAGGAATTCATATTTATTTATTTTTTGGTTTCAAACTGAACAAGTTTGTTCAATAAACATATTTTTTTGGTTTCAAACCGAACAAGTTTGTTCAATAAACATTTAATTTGAACAAATGCATCCTTTTGGGGTCGCCGATAGATTTCATTAAACAGATTTGGAAAATATGAAAAAAGAAAACTGAAAGTAATGGTCACTGCAAATAACTTAGTAGCACCTACAATAAAACGTCTTCATCAACTACAATACTGTAAGTGTACCTTTGCTGAAATCTTTATTTATTAACTAGTAAATATATTCTTCAAGTAGTACTTTTGCCTGGCAGGAACAACTGCTTTCGCTTACTGACCGGTATTGTTTTACTCAATTAACACCCTTCTTTATCAAAATTCACTAACTTTCTTTTTTTATTAGTACCTTTGCTCATGTGAAGAGCCAGTTAGAAATCATAGCCTTTTATTAATATTTCACTTTTATCATTCATTCATTCATTCATTTCGGTTTTATTGTTAAAAAAGATGGTGACCAAAGAAAAAGTCCAAGGACTAAAAATATTTGGTTTACAGTAATAATTAATATTTACAATGATTGCTAAGCATTACATACATGCAAACAGAAAAGCTTGAACAGATAAAAAACAATTAGTCGAATCTCGTTAGTACAAACTCTGTTAATACAAAATTCTGGTTATAACAAACATAAAGCCTTAGTCCCGACTGTGCATCTATGTGCACAATGAATGGGACTGATGTTCCTCTTAATACAAAATTCTGATATAACAAACAATTTGGCCAGGTCCGAACGAGTTTGTATTAACGAGACTCGACTGTACAGTGACTCACATTACAGATACAATTTGAGTAATTAAAACAGAATATCGGCGCCAATTGAATGAAATGTCGGAAACTTTAGAAGTATTGTTCTGAATTAAATGTAAAAGGGGGGGGGGGGGGAGCTTGGGCTAGTGATTGTTGAAGACAGTTGTCCTCTTTCGCTGACATATTTACTTGTGAATGCAACTCAGTGTGTAGTTTCCCTTACCCTGTAAAGCTGCGCCATGTTGTTCCATTTTTTACGAGCCTTTGAAGGAGTCACCTGCCCTGTCAGACCCATCTCCTCAAGAATCACTCTAATGAAACAGAAACATGGACAGCAAACAAATACAGAGTGGATCATCATTTTCATCTAATTATATGAAATAAATACCAATCAGGCCAAAAAAAGAAGTTATGCTTCCAGTTTCCCTACCAACCCTATTCCGAGAGCCCCACCCTAATATTTTTTATGGGAAAAATTACAAAAAAAAACACCCAAACCATCAATTCTTACCTTTTACCCTTGACTACACACATACGTTTAAAAATATCTTACAAAAAAATTGGCAAAAAAATAAAACAATAATTCCCTACTACCTACATCATTTTGTACATGCCCTATTTTTTGGCTTCAATAACAAATTGCAAGCACATAATTGAGTAGAATACAATTTTACGACACCCCTTATAAAGTAGTGAATCACCCCCAGAAAAACCACAGAACAAACAAAATGCACATTAATAATATATCTCCTTACGCATATGTGTCCTGGATGCTTCCTCGCTTCCCTGAGAAGAAGCTGTCGATATGTTTCCGCCGAAGTTCTAGGAACTTTCTTGTTTGTTCATCTGACCCTAGTTTGGCATGAAAAATACATGTATGCATTAACAAAAAATATTAAATAAAGAAAACGAAGGGCCCCTATTTTGGAAAAAGACATGAATCCTTTCTAATTTTGTCAGAAAATACTTTGAAAATGCACTCGAATTGATCTCCATAAACTTATTGCATTCTCTGAAATGAGCTCAAATTGGCATCTCTGAATTAGGCCTAGGCCCCTAGTCCTTACTAATACTATAAAAAAAAATTCTTTTCCAACATGTTTCATAATTCCAATAAGTTGTTTAAAATTAAGCTGCACAGTACAGATCGAGCTGAGAATTTGAGATTAAGAAAGGCCATTTCACCAATTCTGTAAAAATTAACAACAACTTGCCCGCACGTAGCCGGCGCCGCTTGAGCCAAAGAGCAATGAACAGAAAAAAACACATTTAATACAGGCATGACAAATAGTAAATACCCCATGTTGCTTTACGTACATTTGAACTGATCTTCGGGCTTTCTTAAGAATCTTTTGCATGGTTTGTGAGTTGTGGTAGCTAAACCTGGGCCGTAAACATGGTCAACTAAAGCTGGCGTCTCGTTTTCTTTCGGCAGAATCTCCTTCAGCTTTTCCTCGTTCACATCTAAATCATGTTCCATCCGAGATGTAGTTAGCTTTCCCTCGTTCACAACTATAAGATCCATCCGACTAGACGTTGTTGACGTTTAGCCGAAAAAGTTGTCAAACTTGCCCGGAGACAGCAGCTCTTTCCTGGATGGCTACAGCTCAAAATGGCGGCGATAACGTAATTTTATCGCGGGACCGGACGGACGTCGTACACGCCAAGCCTAGCCTTGTCACGTCACGTAGCCGCGCCAGAATTAGCACATAATTCTATGAAGGGCACAAAAGAAAACAAAATTAGTCTGCAGAGAAATTACAATATTTATAATAAATAAAGTAGTTTGATTGGAAAAGTGACTATTTAAAAAGCAAAGATTACATTTATAAAAATTATGAACTCGTGTTTTATGTTATAATGTATATTTAAATGTACGCCATGCCATTAAACACTTTTTTCTCTTATAATTTTTTAGTTTTTACGTGCCATATCTAATGGATATTTCGCTGGTGCACTACATCACTTGCAAGGTACACAAATTAGATTTAATGTGCACCAACGTGAACACACGTGTTCCTATTTCCAAGATGGCTGCGCCCAGCTTCAAGAATTTGCAGTGTGAAAACTACGGGAAAATATCTGCTGAACAGCACTTGGTAGGTTCCCATATCTGGCCACCATTAAATTTTCCCCTCAGTGACCCATCAGCCATCAGAAAGTGATAATGTCCTGGGAAAAAAAATCAAATTTAGCAGGAAAACATTCATTGTTGTGCACAGTCGGCCACAGCCACAGGTGACAGGGTGACACTGACAAGTCATGCAAGTGATGGCCAGATAATGAGATATGGGAATCTTTCCTCTGTCTCTGTTGAATACGGTGTTTCACGGTAATACGCGCCATCTTGCCCGCGGGGCAATTTTACACACGTTGCTGGGTATGCATCGTCAATGGAAAACTTTGCAGTCAATTGAGTAGTCCTAGAACTATGAGGCTCCACGTAGTCTCCACTACGTGGAGCCTCATAGTTCTAGGAGTATCAATTGAGTAGTGTTGTGAATGTTATTTGGTGTGATGAGCGATTGTCTGATTGTAGGCAAAGGGTAGGTACATGTAGGTAGGGATTTTTGGGGGGCAATTTTTTTATGTACGATCATATTAATATTATTATTATTATCATAATATGAAGGTGTCTGCATGCAGTCAAGGGTAAAAGGTAGTAACTGATGATTTTCATTTGACCCCTCATCCCCCCCCCCCCCCCAATCAGGGTAGCGGCTGTCAATATAGGGTAGGAAGGGTAAACAGAAGCAGAACTATTATTTGTTTTTGCATTATTGTTGGTGTTTTACCCTGTAATTTTGCTCCAAAATCAAAACACTATCCTCTCTCCACCAAATTAATCCTGCCGCATGACTTCGCCAGCTATTTAGGTTAGTCCGGAAACTAAAAAATGGATTTTCCTTCTCTTATAACTAGTACTACTACTAGGAACGGGGTCCTAAACTATGCAATCAGCTTATCCTCTTGCAATCTTCTTGCCAGTTGTTTTGTTAAAGGCACAAGCTGTTTCATGAACGACTGATCGATCCAGGAAGTTGGAGAAAGTTTTTTCCCTACACAATTGATGGATGATTTCACAAAAATTGTGCAATCAGTCGATACAATACGACTGATTGATGCTTTCGCTAATGATAAACAGTGCTAGTTAGTGCAGCTCGATTTACCCTTCCCTTGATCCAGTGTTCTCCAACCTGTAAAAATAACCTGGTGCCCCGCCAAGCTTTCTGAGGCACCCGCCAAGCTTCAAAAGCTGCCGCCAAGCTTAAAAAGTTGCCCGCCATGCTTAAAAAAAATAATAATAATAAAAAAGACAAACAAGTGGGACTACCCTTACCCTCCAGGGTATATTTTGGCCAGAAACTCTGCCAAAAGCAGTAACATGCAACACTTGTCAAACTGACAAGCCTGCCCTTTGTCGCAATCAATCAGGTCAAAAGTCTCAAGGCCAAACTGCCTCAGAGTCCCTGGTCAAGATGATGCTGAGCCAGTATAGTACTTAATTGTTAGTGTTACTGTGTTAGAAATGTCCTAAAAGCTGTTATCTGTACATAAATTACATGTTCATCTGCATATAGCGCCCCCTAGCATAAAGACATGTATGACTGCAAATAGCGCCCCTAACATAATTATAGCGCCCCGCCCCCTCCACTTTTTGACAGCGTACCGACCTTTAATTTTCAAAGTTGGAGAACACTGCTTGATCCACCAATTAAGTTTGGTTTCTGAGATGTTTCTTTTGCCATTCTTTCCCAGCCTTTACAAGAACTCACAAAGCCTCACATCGAGTCGTTCAACTATGTCATGAGAGAGGGGCTCTCCCTGGCTGTTCGGAACATCCCACCTGTAGAATTTGAGCTTGAGAATGGAGACAGAATATCATTTGCTTTCAAGGTGAGGACTTATGCCTTAAATGGACCAGACAAAACAAAAAGTCTCATCTTTTTAAAACTTTTTTGGGGTAACATTGATTCTTTTTATAAAGTAATGAATTGTTGACATGCAGAGTCCCTCATTGCAATTAATGAAGGCCATTGATACATATTTGTTTTGTTTGTTTTGTGTTTGTTAATTATTTCTATCTGAATTCTTTGTTTTCTTTCTTCAGGATGCAACTGTTGGCTTACCTATGGTCAGCGTTCGCAACCGCTATGCAACAACTCTGAGAATTTTTCCAACTGAGGTATGTAGAGAGGCTTTCAGTTTCAGACGAATAAAATATGCACACTGTATTTATTGTCCATTGACTAGACCCTTAAGTTGTTCAAACAGTCAAACTTTTGACGTAGTTGCTCATGACTTTCTGAAAATGCATAGAGCTATATTAAATTACTACAGCGCTAACTTTGTGTACAAAGTAATGCCTGCTAGGCGCATCCATGTTTGTGCACAAACCTATGGAGACCTAGAAATTTTGTACGGTTTTTGTACGGCTATTTGCATATCTGCGTTTGTATTCCATACCGGTGCGTTATCGAAGCCAATACGCCCAAAACCGAAACGCACGATCAGCAAATGAGCGTGTCATTTTGGTCAACGCAAACAGCGCAACACGTGTGCATATTCGCTGCAGATGCTTTTTGCCGTCACATTTTTTTTAACCATCAATGACGCGCTTAAGTTGTTTGCGTGTGTTCTACTTGCGCGTTGCATGTAGAGTACACTTTCCAAATTCAATCCATCTCATTTCATTATGTTCTACAAACACGCACATGAATTCAAAATGTCTGCGCCCAGGACGCCTTCAAAGCATTTCAGTGCGCAGAATGGTGTGCTGGAATTTACTACCTTACGGAGACATGAACACAATAGGGAACAAAAGATTGTATACGTCTCCAGAAGAACATTTCTATAGATGAATACGTCTCCACAAGAATTTCACGAAATACATATATGGATTTTACTCAAAAACTAGGAATTTCCAAGGTAGGTTGATCTGTCGCAAATGGAAGAGTTTTAGAAAAGGGATATTAAGTCCAAATTTCAGCCCAGAAAATTAATTATGGTTAAAATAAGAGCATTTTGAAACTTCAATTTCAAACTCGAAAACTTTACTACACAAGAACAAAGAAATGTCTCCACAGGAATACAAATTCCAGAATGGGTGAGTTAGCGCTGTAGTAATTTAATAGAGCTCTATGTGAAAATGTCAAGAGTTTTATGTTCTTAATTCAAATCTTTGAAATACTGAACAGTTCAGCACCTCTCATGAAATCCAGTCTGATAAGGGAGGAACCGTCCCATCACACACCAATGCTTTTCAGAATGTCGAAATTAAAGATGTTTCTGTTCTGTTTCAGTGCCGACAGCGTGGGATCACATATCGGGCCAAACTGCAGGCTGGGATCGTGTGGAAGAGCAGCAATGGCACCCTTGGAGTCAAGGATGTAATGATGGGTGAAGTGCCCATCATGGTCAAGGTAATGAACCTTAAAGGGAATATACAACATTTGCAAACATCGAAAAATAAAACTACCAAGTTTTTGCGAAATACCTTAATAGGATGTTGGTAAATGACAGTCTAAAGCATCCTGTAAAATTATGGCACCTGGTATACTGTCATTTTCAAGAAAATCGGTATTTTTGTATCAATTTCCAACGCTGATCGGCCGATCAGCGTTGGAAACAACTGGCTTTTTTTCAAATACTGGCCCCAATTGACCATTGCACTTGTTTGCAATCGATTACAAACCTATGAACGGGTACGAGCCAGCTAGACTGGTTCCCTGACCTTACAATTCCCCAATGTATGTAAACTGCTCTGTTTCTTCTTATATGGAGTCAGGGAACCAGACTACAGGAAAATGATCGTTTTTCTTGGTTTTTATAGCATTTTCGAACCCAAAACCTCCAAAAAGTCAGTGTAACTATATTTGCTTTATATTTCCAACCCCCCAATTCCATCCATTTCTGAAAATTACAGCAAAAGCAAATGATGTATATTCCCTTTAAGACTTGACTCTTAACCCCTCTATATCCTGCAAAATCCTCCAAAACATTTTGGAGGACTTTGCAAGTTTTACAGCACAGCTACTCCAACCTTCAACCCTAAAAGGGCCGGGTTATTTTGACCATCTCTCAGCCGGGGGGATTCCCATCGGCCATCCAGTGACGAAAAAAAACTTGGTACATGCATAGAGCAACTCATTATGAACATACCCAAGAAATTTTGTGACTATAGGTCAAAGGGTTTTGGAATTATGGCTAATTAATTATTCATATGTACAAATGGTAAATGTGCTCTGTGTAGATGACGTATATGGGAAAATTCAGTTTTTATGGCGTGTAGCGTTGGAAAAAAATTTTTGGTATCAAAAGATGTGCAAAAAGTCATAACAGCTCGGGTCGCGAACAAATTTCTTTTCAAAGCTATCGTGGAAAAAGTTGAGGGTGACGCACTCCCCCCCCCCCCCCCCGGCTCTTTTAGGGTTAACCTCTCTTGTCCATAAATGCAACAACAAGCAACATTTTTAGAAGTGAGAAACCTGACAAGTGCTACGAGAATCGAAGAGGTTAAAATTCCCAAGGCCAAACTTCCTCCAAGTCCGTTGTCAACTGCAACAGGATATATATTGGCGTTGCTTAATGGGATTCAGACTTTAAAGTTTATGCACTGCTGTCGAAGGCTCAGTACAACAAGGTCCTACAGACTTGCAGATTGTCATGGCCTAGCGATTAAGAGCACCGCACCAGACTCATGCTCTGGTGTTTCAGAGGCAGCAGAATGTGGGTTCTAGCCCGGGTCTGGACACTTGTGCCCTTAAGCAAGGCACTTAACCATTATTGCTTCATCCTTCAGATGGGACGTAAAGCCGTAGGTCCCGTGTGTTGTAAAATGCAGTGCACGTAAAAGAACCCAGTAACACTTATCGCTAAGAGAAGGGGTTTAGCCTGGTGTTGCTGGCCTCCTGTTAAACTCCCCTGCGGAGTATTTAGGAGAAGAACCAACCAAGTACTCTCACACTTCTATTCTATTCAACTTTATATAACCGACATACAGATCCTTGTCATTTGATTAGTGGAACGCAGATCACGTGACATTTGTTATTACATGTACTGCCATTCATGCCGGGGCTCAAAAAGTACTATCCGCCCATGGGGAATGGGAAATACTATTCAACAGTTAGGATCATTCTTGTTCCATGACGGGGTATTTGTGTGCAAATGCATGCTGGTGTGCGCATTCATCGTTGGGCGTAGCGCGTATTGTTCCAAAGAGCCAGCGCTACAGCGTTGGGTTCAAACATTTTCATGAAGGGGTGGTTTGGAAGAGAGAAATACATTTTTCACCAATTTTGTATGGAAATAAAAGTTCAAATATATCAAATGACAAGGATCTATATGTATATTAGCAAATATTGAGTGGCTTTAAATTGTGAAATGGGAGGAATATTAGCGCTCGGTAAAATCTGGACTTTTCCAGTTCACTCGGCTTCGTCTCATGAAATGGAAAGAATATTTTACCTTGCGATAATATTCCTCCCATTCCACCCTGATCCACTCAATATTTGTATACTATTGTATCTGGAAGGGATGGGTCAATTATAAATTTGTGTCTTCATTTGTTTTGCTTGCAGTCTGATAATTGCAACCTGCGGAAGCTCTCCCCGTCTCAGCTTGTCCATCATCATGAGGAGGCAGAAGAGATGGGTGGATACTTCATTGTCAACGGCATCGAGCGAGTCATCAGGATGCTCATCATGCCCAGGAGAAATTATGTACGGATGTGATTATCTGAAATAGTTTCTTAACTTTCCATCCAAGTATTTTCAAATCTGACCACGGGCCCTGGCAATGGTTTATTTTCTGTGGATAAATTTTGTTCACCCAGTGATCTGAGGTCACCATGATTGAATTTCATTGTGCATACAAATGTCCATGCATTTTTGATGGCGGTAAAAGTACTCGGAAAGTTGGGCCTTAATATCTTTGAAGCATTTTGTGGAAAGGTTTAGCCATTTTCAGTGTTCCTGGAATGAGTAATGGATATGAAACTACCCTATATACATGTACGGTTAGTAATGTCTGTAGCATGAAATCATAACATTGTGTCTTGAAATAAACGAATTTACTCTCTAAAGCAACACTGATACGTTTTTGTTTTGTTGGTTGATTAGCCAATGGCCATCAGTAGACCGAAATGGAAGACGAGAGGCCGAGCGTTCACTGAGTACGGTGTCACCATGAGATGTGTCCAGAACGACCAAACTTCTACAGTGAGTATGAGTTGCTTATTGAGTAACAAATCACTGAGTTCCAGTTGCTGTATCAAATTCAAAGTCTTCAAGCTGAATCCGTAGTATTGTTAGTAGTCTAACAATAACGAATCAAGTGCTCTTGAGTACAAATTTGGGTAATGGTTAGTTGTAGATGAGTACATTACCCTTCGTGGATCAAGCCCAAAAAATTTACGCAGTGGAACCAAGTGGAGAATTTTATCACCACATGTGCTTATAGGTCAATAACCCTGGCATGCCTGTACATGCTGAAGATATAGGTCATACACATGGCCAGGGATTGTTTACAACCTGTGTGAGCTCTGGGCGGCACGAGGGGTTGACACAAAGGGATCGACGGCACTTGGGGGTTGGCCACTAAGATCTCCAATTACTGCACAAAGGCATTAGGCGCCATCTTGGCTTCTGTCTTTCAACACTCCTTACGCCGGAGTGGCTAGGGTCTGGTCAATGGGAGTCTACAGGCTTGTGGTGTATATTAGGGGTGAGGATTACATGGAAGCTTGGCCTAATTGACCCATTGAAAAAAAAAAATTATGCCCATATTTGGAAAATGTGGAGAATTTTATCACCCCGTGGCTGCTGCGAGGGTTTGAGTTTCAGTTCAGAGAAGTGTACCTGAGTAGTATACAAGTTTGAGTTTTACACTTCTGTTGCTTTAGAAAGATGTTTTCCTCTTTCTTAGGATTAATTCGTTCCATTTGGATTGTTTTCACCTTTACAGAATATAATCCTACACTACATGAACAATGGAACTATTGTTCTGAGTTTCACTTGCCGGAAGGAAATGTTCTTCGTCTCGCTTGTCATGGTTCTAAAGGTATTTGTTCCTTTTTAAAGATTTAACAAAATATGCTACTATTGCAGCTGTTCAATTGACCATCTTTGTTTCTGTAACAGAATCGTGGACATTGAGAACTGCAGGAGTTAGTACCATTAGTTTTTCTTAAAGGGAATGTACATCATTGATTTTTGCTGTAATTTTCAAAAATGTACTATTTGAGGGGTTAGTATAATAGATCAAATATTGTTACACTGACAAGTTTGAAGTTTTGTGTTCAGAAATGCTGGAAAAAACAAGAAAAACAAAAATGTTCAAGTAGTCTGGTTCCCTGACTCCACTAAAGACGAATTTTATAGATGCCGGAAAATTGTAAGCTTAAGGAAACCAGTCTAGCTGGCCTGCACCCGTTCATGAACATGTAACAAATAGCAAACAAAATTTGGACTGAAAAAAAAAAATAGTAAATTTGGAGTAGTTGAAAAATAGTTAGGTTTTTCCAATGATGGTGGGTCGACCACCATTGGAAATGTATACAAAATACCACTTTTCTTGAAAACGACATAATTTTACAGGATGCTTTAGACTGTCATTTACCAACATCCTAGTAAGGTATTTTGTAAAATATTTGGTAGTTTTGTCTTTCGATGTTTGCAAATGTTGTATATTCCCTTTAACAAGATATTTTATGGAATCGCAAAGACATGATAACGATCTTAGTGTGCCAATTTTATTCAAGTTGAAAGAGTGTGCCATCGGTTAGGGTAATAAGGCATGATGCTTAAGTTTTTTTAAAAATATTTCTGACCTAAGGCTCTCATAGACACGACAGACCAACACATCTACAGTGAGATGCTGAAAGGAAAAGAGCAAGACACTTTCCTCATCGGGTGAGAAACCAATTCATCATTTCTAACTTGAACCGTTCAGTCCATGCTTGAGTCACAAGCTATTCAAACTGTGACACAGGTGTCCTTTGTTATTCACCATCCCCTGTTACTTCAGGCATGCAACTTGTCCTCAGATCTGCTGATTTCCTCATTTGTTTACTTCTCATGAATACTATTACAAATTGAAAAACACTGTACAAAGTCTTGTGTGGTTTGGAGTTTCTTCGTTTTGTCTAAATTCCCAGTCGCATGCCATGTTACTTGTGATCTGTGACTTGACCTTTGAAATTACTTGTGGCTAACTTTCAACCAGACTTTGTGATGCGGATAGCTGATCTGGTACACCGTGCCCTCTGGAGACATGCACACAATAGGGAACAAAAGATTGTATACGTCTCCACAGGACAATTTCTATAGATGAATACGTCTCCACAAGATTTTCACGAAATAGATATATGGAAATTACTCAAACACTAGGAATTTCCAAGGTGGTTTGATCCGTCGCAAATGGAAGAGTTTTAGAAAAGGGATATTAAGTCCAAATTTTAGCCAAGGAAATTAATTCTGGTTAAAATAAGAGCATTTTGAAACTTCACTTTCAAACTCGAAAACTTTACTACACGAGAACAAAGACATGTCTCCACAAGGATACAAATTTCAGTATGTGTGTTTTGTCAGAGTATAACGATTCAGATCCAGATCCAGACTTGTGATGGACTTGATAAACACATGTTTTCGATTAAGTAACTGGTCTTGTTTCCATCTTTCCCTTTAGTTGCGTGACTGAGATGCTTCGTCAAGCGCAATCCCTGAACCTGACCACACAGAAAAGCATCCTTACCTTCATTGGTGAACAGTTCCGTGTCAAGCTAGGCCTGCCTAGCTGGTACTCGGCCGAAGAGGTCGCCAGATTCCTGCTCAGACAACAGATCTGTATTCATCTGGACTCCAACGTGGACAAATTCAACACACTCATGTAATTAAAGCTATAGTCCATCATTTGCAACTATCCAAAAAGTAACTGATGTAATTATTGTTGACAAACATACTTGGTTGAAAGATAGTAAGGGGACTAAACTCCCTGTAAAATTATTCTCTCTGGCAAGCTGTCATTTTGAAGAAATCAACGAAAGAAGGCCTTTTCAACGGTGCATCTTGGAATTTTTTGTTAGTAGTTCGTTTTTTTATTCGGCGAAGTGTTGGCATGACGCACACAAACACGCGCGCGCGGCTGCTATAATTCGTCGGATCGCTGCGTGACATCGCGTAGCTGCCAACGGCTCAGAGAGAACGTGTCTCGGACGCTGAATTTAGGCCCAATTCAAAACATGATTCAGCAACTTTTGATTTGAAATCGAGATCCTAGAATGCTGTTTATCTCAAAATATACAGCTGAAGCTGAGCTGAAACTTCATCAGGTTAGTTGTTCAGCACCCTTCTTTAGATTTTGAGCACTTTTGTTGCTTCAAACGAACAAAATGCACAACTTACAAATGATGGACTGTACCTTTAACCCATTAGTCACAGTGACTGCCCCAAACTGCCCTGCCTGTTACTGCCCCAATATTGTATGGGCTCATTATCAAGGAGTGAATACAATTTAATACAATGTACTACAATTTAATACAATGTAACAATACATTGTAACTTTAAGTAGCTTTGTCTTCAGCCTCCGTTTGAGGAGAATCAAATCCTATATAAATGCGAGGCTATTGTCAGGAATATTTCCCCTTAGTTTGGACATTAAAAGCTTTTAAATGATTCCAAGGTTTCAAAAAACCCTGTTTGAATCAAGTATCTCTCCCCCTGACTTCTCTCCATGATTTAAAAAGCAAGATATTAGGCTGTCGTAAGTGAGACTTCAAAATGGTGACTCATAACTCATCACTCATGGACTTCTGAGAAGTTCATGTTCTCCTGTTTAGTTATCCTGTTCTGTTTCCCTGTAGCTTAATGGCTAGGAAGTTATTCTCTTTTGCCCGTGGTCAGTGTTCAGCAGACAACGCTGACAGCCCCATGAACCAGGAGGTCTTGATAGCAGGACATCTCTACCAAATGCTCCTCAAGGTATGGAATTGCCAAATTTGAAATATATTTCTGTAATCCCTTCCGAGAATTTTTTTTTTTTAAAGGGAATGTACAACATTTGCTTTTGCTGCAATTTTCAGAAATAAATGTATTTGGAGGATTAGTATGTGAAATAGCAAATATTGTGAAACTGACTTGTTTCACGTTTTGGGTTCAGAGATGCTGGGACAGCCAAGAAAACCAACCATGTTCATGTAGTCTTGTTCCCTGATCCCACTCAAGATGAAACAGAGCAATTTATAGACTTTTGGGAATTGTAAGGTCAGAGAATCAGTCTAGCAGGCTTGTACCCCTTCACGGGTGTGTAATCAATTGCAAAGGAAATGCGGAATAACTAAATGTGAAAAATTAGGAGCAGTTTTAAAAAAAAAAGCCAGTTTTCTCCAACGCTGGTCAGCCGACCAGCATTGGTTTTCTTGAAAATGTCAGCACACCAGAAGCCACGATTTTACAGGATACTTTAGACTGTCATTCCCTAACAATCTAGTAAGATATTTCGTGATAATTTGATCATTTTGTTTTTTGATGTTTGCAAATGTTGTATCTTCCCTTTAAATGTAGATTTAGCTTTGTTTACTTCAAATTTGAAGTAAAATGTGATATGAATTGACAATGTTTTTTCTGGACAGGAAAAAATGGAGTCGTGGTTACTGGGTTTGAAGTATGCTATCTTAAAGAAAGAAAAGAACTCGATGAAGAACTTCATCTTTAATAAAGGTAATTAAAATCCCAAGAAATAAACTATGCATACTTCTTGTGATTCAAACATCTCTGGAGAATATACTCTTAATGCTATTTGTGATGTAATATTCCTAGAAAAAATTGAGAATAAAAAGACAGTTAACATTTGAGGCCATTCCATTAAGTGACTATGATTTCCTACTTCTTCTTCTTCTTCTTCTGGGTGGCATTGGTGGCTTGTGCGTAAAGCACTCGCCTCTCACCAAGGTGACCACGGTTCGAATCCTGGCCGCGGATCGCATGCATGTGAGTAGAGTTGTGCGTTGGTTCTCTCCTGTGCCACGAGGGTTTTTCTCCGGGCCTTCCGGTTTTCCTCCCTCCGGAAAAATCAAACACTTTCGATCTCAGGTTGTGCTCCGTGGTTATAATGGGTCGATGTGGCCGGCAGCCATAGGCGCCTTTACGTGCCAGCGGCCCGACCACGTTGTAGCCGCGTCCTTCGCAATTCAGCATACCAGCTGCGAGTAAGGATGATTAGCCTCCCAAATTATTATTATTATTATATTCTTCTTTTGTCAGCCACCATGTCTGAGGTACTCAAAAGTGTTAATGATCTTACCCGACCGATGGAATATCTTCTTGCAACAGGAAACTTGGTCTCTAAGACAGGGCTTGGTCTCATGCAGGTAGGTATGGGAGGATCTCGATATATTTTTATGAAGTAATATTCAGTATCCAGCAGTAGCCCTTGCTGTATTCAATTTGCACTGGTCAGCCGACCCTGGCAAGCTCGGCAGTTGAGTAAGTTTGTGAATATTTTTTCTCAAAAACTTGCCGACAGCACTGATTGTGAAATTACATTGCTGAACAGCAACTCAAAGTTTCAACTCTGAACTCTGAGCGCATGACCTCTTGCTAACCGTTTTTGTGTTACACATCAATTCCAGGCTGCTGGAATGACTGTCGTTGCTGACAAACTCAACTTCATGCGCTTCGTCTCTCATTTTCGCTGTGTCCATCGTGGGTCGTTCTTCTCTGAGATGAGGACAACATCTGTCCGGAAGCTTCTCCCAGAAGCTTGGGGTGAGAGAAGTTCTTGAATTAAGACTACAAATGCCTATGGTATTTGATATGACATAATGTCAAGCTACAACTGGGTTGTCAGATTCTTTGTGTAAGCATAATTTAGTAAATTGTTAAATGTAACAAATGTTACAAGTGTAAGTGTTAAAGAGAATGTACATCATTGGCTTTTGCTGTAATTTTCAGAATTGAACTATTTGAGGGGTTAGTATAATAGATCAAATATTGTTACACTGACATGTTTGAAGTTTTGTGTTCGAAAATGCTGGAAAAACCAAGAAAAACAAAAATGTTCAAGATGTCTGGTTCCCTGACCCCATTAAAGATAAAATGAATCAATCTATATATACCGGAAAATTGTAAGGGAAGGAAACCAGTCTAGCCGGCCTGCACCCGTTCATGAACATGTAACCATTATCAAACAAAATTTGGACCGAAAAAAAGTGGTAAATTTGGAGCAGTAGTTGAAAAATAGTTAGGTTTTTCCAACGGTGGTCGGCCGACCACCGTTGGAAATGTATACAAAAATACAATTTTGTTGAAAATGACTTCACACCAGGTGCCATCATTTTACAGGATGCTTTAGACTGTCATTTACCAACATCCTAGTAAGGTATTTCGCAAAAATACGAGTTTTATTTTTCGATGTTTGCAAATGTTATATATTCCCTTTAAATGATGATGATCGTGTTCTTGGTTTAACATTTCACCTGTTTATTACGCAGGTTTCCTGTGCCCAGTTCACACCCCTGACGGGGCCCCCTGTGGCCTCCTGAATCACCTTACAGCGTCCTGTCAGGTGACCAATACTCAACCAATGATGTCTCACCTGCCACGCCTTCTATGCTCCCTGGGCATGGCCCCACTGGATGGCCCCGCCCCAGCACCCGTTGTAGACTGCTATGAGCTTGTCATGGATGGGCGTGTATTGGGACTGGTTGCCAAGGACGTGGCCCCGGAACTAGCGGAAAAGTTGAGGACACTGAAGGCAAAACAAGAAAAAGGGGTCAGTGCAAGCTTAGATAATTTGTAATCAACTGTTCGGATTTACTTGCATATGATCCAATCCGAAATCTGTCATAAATTTTGTTACCCTACATTTTTGGGTCTAATATTCACTTATGATCTTAAGGTTAGACATCTTTGTCTCATTGCCAGAAATACAAGTACCCGTTTCCCCGAAGTTATTAGAATATTCTTTGCAGGTTCCAGCGACGCTTGAGGTAGTGCTCGTTCCCATGACCAAGCATGCCAGCCAGTACCCAGGTCTCTTCCTGTTCACCACGCCGGCGCGACTCATGCGACCTGTCTTCAACTTAGCGACGCAGTCGACACATCTGATTGGTACACTGGAACAGGTGTATCTGAATATTGCAGTCACGCCAAAGGAGATACATGAAGGGGTGAGTGGGTAACCCAAACACATCACAGTACAACAGGTGTAACAGTCTGTGCGACCTAGTAGCATTGGGCCGTCAACACCAGTGCATATAAAATGCCGATTCTGAGACAGTGCCACTGTCGTATCCTGTAGCAGTTGAAGAACACGGACGCTGAGGCAGTTTGGCCTTGGCGATAGTTTACTTGTTGGATTTTGTTACACTGGGCAGAATTCTCTCTTTGACAAGTGATGCACGTTGGTGTGTTGGATTCCTAGCCAAAACACTTGAGAGTTTGCACTAACCCCTTGATGATAATAATTTGTAATCCGACAGGAGACAACCCACATGGAGCTGAGTGAGACCGGTATACTGAGTGCAGTGGCGAGCTTGACTCCCTTCTCCGATTTCAACCAGAGTCCACGTAACATGTATCAGTGTCAGGTACGTTGGTCAAGTAACCAATGAAGATTAAAAATGTGAAGTAAAAGCTACGTTTACTTCGACTCAGTTGGCACAGCTCGAGAGTTGTAGTTCAGTCCTTATGAGTCCTCAGAAGTAAATCACAAGTAAATCACAACTAATTCACAAGTCAATCACAAGTCAATCACACGTCAATAACAAGTCCTCACAAGTCCATCACAAGCCAATCACAAGTCCATCACAAGTCAATCACACGTCAATAACAAGTCCTCATAAGTAAATCACAAGTCAATAACAAGTCCTCACAAGTCCATCACAAGCCAATCACAAGTCCATCACAAGTCATCACAAGTCCATCACAAGTCAATCACAAGTCAATCACACGTCAATAACAAGTCCTCATAAGTAAATCACAAGTCAATCACAAGTCCTCACAAGTCAATTACAAGCCATCACAAGTCAATCTCACGTCAATCACAAGTCCTCATAAGTAAATCACAAGTCAATAACAAGTCCTCACAAGTCCATCACAAGCCAATCACAAGTCCATCACAAGTCCATCACAAGTCCATCACAAGTCATCACAAGTCCATCACAAGTCAATCACAAGTCCATCACAAGTCAATCACAAGTCCATCACAAGTCAATCACACGTCAATAACAAGTCCTCATAAGTAAATCACAAGTCAATCACAAGTCCTCACAAGTCAATTACAAGCCATCACAAGTCAATTACAAGCCATCACAAGTCAATCACACGTCAATAACAAGTCCTCATAAGTAAATCACAAGTCAATCACAAGTCCTCACACGTCAATAACAAGTCCTCACAAGTCAATTAAAGTCATCCAGTCCCTAGTCTAGTAACAAGATTTCAAATCAATCATGAAAAAAACCCAGTAATCCAATGTCAGTGATCGTCCCCCTTTTAGGTAGAGGTCCATTAAAACAGCTCCCAAATTTTGCCATTTTGAGTAGTTTTCTGTTCACATGGTTGTTTTGTTTTTCTTTCAACAGATGGGAAAGCAGACCATGGGAGTTCCCTGCCATACCTTGCAATATCGCAACGACCACAAGATGTACCGTCTTCAGACTCCACAATCGCCTGTCGTCAGACCCCATGCCTATGACCATTACAACTTTGACGATTACCCACTCGGAACCAATGCTGTTGTCGCCGTTATCTCGTACACGGTAAGCTGATGTGGGTTTTTTCAGTGAAGACTTTCAGCAATTCACAGTAAAGTGCACAATGCAAAGTGTTTGCCTGGAAGAGGCAACAGTTCAACTTCACTGTCGTCTTTGTCGAAAAATTGTCCTGAAATTAACCGTCAGTTATTCTTCGTTAACGTAACAAACACAAAGGCATTTTGAAATCTCTTAATCCAAAAATTGTCATTCAAGGCACAATGCATGTGTGCAAAAAGTGTAATACTGCCAAGTGTTCCCTAGTGCAGTGCCATTCACCAATGAAATGTATTTCAACATATTCCTACGATGTGGGTGCAACATGATTCAGGCCTCCAACAAATCTTTTCTCTATCGTGAAGTGTCCAAATCGCGGGTTGTTCTTCTGAATATTTATCGACAGGATTCAAAAAATTGTGGAATCATATAATTTCAAGTTTTCCCCTGTGTTTTCTGGTCGTTTTCAGGGCTACGACATGGAAGATGCCATGATTCTCAACAAGTCATCAGTTGAGAGAGGTTTCTGCCATGGCACCATCTACAAGACAGAAGAGATTGATCTCAAGAAGCAAGGTGGCGGGCCGGCAAACCAAGTCACACACATATTTGGTAACTTCCTAGACTGGTAACCTTGCCCCATTCCACAATGTTATATGAGGACAGACAACCCCTCGATGATTCTGAAATCTCATTGGTTGCTAAGCACCTTGATGATGCTGCCTGTCCTGTAGTCTGATTGGCCTTCCCCAACACGTTTTATGTAATATAGAATCCTAGGTGGCCTCGGTGTGCCAGTTTTTAAAGAGGTTGTGGAATGCTCGAAGACATTTCCGTCATTTTTTGGGTATACGTAGCCTAAGGTGTGATGAAATAAAAACGACTATTGTTTCTGTTATGAAATGAGTACAAAGGGTACTTTTGAGAGCTATTTTTCAGGTCCTGTTTAGACCCGAACGTGCAATTTGTGTAAAAGTCGTCGTTGCGGGCAGCAAACAAAACACAGTAAATCGTGACGTAATAAACAGGACTCGTTTATGCTACTCTGCATCGGGAGTCCTGCTTATTACGTCACGATTTACTGTGTTTTGTTTGCTGCCCGCAACGACGACTTTTACACAAATTGCACGTTCGGGTCGAAACAGGCATGACAGGACCTGAAAAACAGCTCTCAAAAGTACCTTTTGTACTCATTTTATGACAGAAACAATAGTCGTTTTTATTTCATCACACCTTAGGCTACATATACCCGAAAAATGACGGAAATGTCTTCGAGCATTCCACAACCTCTTTAAATTATGTTTATCCTACATCACAGGTCAATCAGCCGGTGGCAGAGTGGCCTACTTCTGTAACATATTTCACGTCCAGCAAAACGCAATGCCCTACTATCCGAGTATCCGTGTCATATTTAAATTAGTTGACCCAACATCATATAGGACAATTGGCCAGCCTCAGTCTCTAAATCTGCCAAGTCTTGTTTACCCAGGTTGTGATGTGAACAATCAACGTGCAACAGGCAAGCTGGATCCTGATGGCTTCCCACCGATAGGCACAGTCATAGAGCCAGGAGATCCGTTCTACAGGTTAGTTAGGCTGACACCTGACAGGCAATGTGGGACAGTTAACAGCCCTGCACCCGATTTCACGAAGCGCTGCGACGCGTCGCAACTCGAGTTACAACGTGTAACACGTCGCAACTCGCGACGCGTCGTATCATCCATTTCACGAACGCGTCGTAAGTTCCTTGACAACGGCTTAAAACACGTCGCAAGTTACGACGTGTCTAGTGGTCGTCGCAAAATAAGAAGAGTCCGTTTCTTAGCCAGTTTAATGCCATAAACATTACATAAACGAGATTATAATACCGAGGCAATGTCTGTAAAGTTGTAAATAGAAAATTCATTGAATAATTATGAATTAGCCTGGAATATTGCAGTTGAAATTTCAAAGTAGCTACACAGTCCACTGAGAGCTTGTTCTCCTTTAAAATTGCATTGCACGGCCGCCATTTTGTTTTAACAAATTTCGAGCGGAGATCCGACGACTCTTTGTTGAATATCAGACAACTATTTACTGTACGCTGACTTAATACATAAAACAGTAACAGTCACCGAGTTGTGCTATAAATACACATACAACGCGTCGCACGTACAACGTGTTTTGTGAAATGGATCGCAGGAGCTGCGACGCATCCTAGAGATACGACGCGTCGCAGCGCTGCGATGCATCATAAGTTACGATGAGTTTCTTGAAATCGGGTGCAGTGCTTCTATTATTGATTGCTAAGCATCTTGGCTGTGCGGCCTTTGACTCATGAATGGCGATGAGTGGTAGACGGTGGTGTTCTGATTGTCCGTTTGTGGCTTGATTTGGTGGAAATGTGTGGTAGATTGTCGACACTGATGACAAAATTATAATATTGGTATTTGAGCTTGTTTCGCTTCAGCTGTCACCATTTCGATCTCAGGCTGTGCTCCGTGGTCATATATGGGTCGATGTGGCCGGCAGCCATAGGCGCCTTTACGTGCCAGCGGCCCGACCACGTTGTAGCCGCGTCCTTCGCAATTCAGCATACCAGCTGCGAGTAAGGATGATTAGCCTCCCAAATTATTATTATTATTATTATGTAAAGATGCCGGATAGGTTAATGAATAAATTATGGACGAACTAAGTTATTGTGGCCTCTCAGTCTGGAACGTGGTTTATTTCGAACACTCCAGAAGACTAGACTATATTCCAGTCGCCTCAGATACATCAAGGGCGCCTCTCATTGGTGAAACATTTTTACGAGATATGTTGCAGAAAGCAATACATGTATTCTTTATTTTAGCATCTCCATGAGATTGGACATAATATCCAATTAACCTTGACGTGGACAGAAACTCGGCTACAGTTTTGGTTACTTTTTTCCAACCCTCAGTTTTCTAGATTTAGAGACTCGTCAGTATAAGGTAGAGCGATACACTGGTATGGAGACTGGAGTGGTCGACCATATCAAACAGACAGGGACTGATGCTGGAAGCCAGGAATGTCAGAAAGCCTACATACAACTCAGAATACAGGTGGGTCTGTATTTCTTTCAGATTCTTCAAGTCACATACAATTCGGGCGATCCACAATGCAGTGCGCCACCAAGAGTTTGCCATGGAGAGTCAACTTTTCAAGTTTACGGTAGACAAAACATGGCCCATTTGAATGAGTGTCGGTAGACAATTTCAGCTCATTCGTTATAGATTTGGGCATAGCGTTCCGCCGCCTTATAAAAAATCACCATATTGAAACAAAGAAAAGAAAAGGGCAAACATATACTTGAATCATATGCTTATGAAACTACTGACCAGAAAAAAACGAACAATTTCAAATGTCCCGCGCTGCGAATTTGTCGACCATCTCCCACAATGCACTGGGAAAAAATAACTCTCTGTGGCAAACTCTTGGTGGCGCACTGCATTGTGAATCGCCCGAATTGGCCCTTCTTGTCTGGAAATCAAACATTGCATATTGACAAGTTAAATCGTGGTTTTTGGTCGGGTGACTATGATAGCTTGTTCTAACTTGGCCATGAGGACTTTGAGAAAGGGACACAAATCAAAAGTAGGCCGAACTTATGGCGAAATCGGGAATAGTCCATGGCGATTTGCTTGTGCATTCCTTCAATCTAAGTTATCTTTTACTCTTTAGAGAAATCCGATCATCGGCGACAAATTTTCCAGTCGGCACGGACAGAAGGGAATCTGCAGTCAGCGATGGCCGACAGAGAATATGCCATTTACAGAGAGCGGAATGACGCCAGACATTATATTCAACCCACACGGCTTTCCCTCCAGAATGACCATCGGTAAGTAGGAGTATCTGGCGCCCTCTATCGGTAAAGTTCTCACAGGCGTTCCCAATTTGCATCCCAGCAAGTGCAAGTTGAAAAACAGAAAAAATTCAATAAAGTTCAGACTTTCATCCTATAGGTCTCTTGTTCAATTCCCAATGAGGCAATATCCAAAAGGATAAGTTGCAGAGATGAAACTTTTCCGATTTTAATCGGAAATCCGACTTTTTGAATTTTCCAACGAAATTTCCGATTTTCTTACAATGTGTCCCACAAAGTTTGATTTTGTAACGATTTTTTTCACAAAATGTCATTTTATTTCAATCATAATTTCGAAGAAAAGTCGAAGAAAAGTCGATGGAAATGGCACGTTAAAATCATCGCGAACGTAGTATTAATCTCTTTCACCAGTCGTTATTGGAGTGTTTCATTGACGATAGAAACACAAGCCATAACACTAATCGGAGCCTTTTCCGGCTGGACAAAAGGTTAAACATTGACAGGTGACATGGAAAAATCACTGTGTAGCACGTGCGTACGTGCGAAGATGATATGCAATGGTACCAGCGTATGTATGTACCGCACCGTACCGTCCGCTAGCACACGGCCGGTCGGGAACGGGTATCCTTGTGAACGATCAGTGGATAAAATCATTATGTTGTGCGATTTTCGGAGGTTTCAGATTTAGTTGTACAAAATGCAATGCTTTAAAAATCATGATGATTATCTCGAGGATAGCGAAGAGAGCATAAGCGAAACATTTCGCTGGCATTTGTTGGAAGAGAAAGACGATAATGCCTGATTTTTCCCCACGTACGAATGCTAGTGGAGTTGTGTGGTTGAATCATGGACATGATTGAAGCACCATAAACGGTGCCCTTGTCTTTCGGACTTTTTCCTCGACTTTCTCAAGTACGTAGTGAACTTCTTTGTTGATGTCTCCATTACTCTAACCGTAATTCAGGTGTTTTATGCAATGAAAACACTGACCATTTTTTTTTCTTCCTAAAATTTTGTTTGAATCGAAAATAAGCAGGAGTTGGTGTCTGGAAATTGGGCATGAAGTGTATTGTACATGCATGTAAATGCGTGTAACTGCAGCGCGGATTTTTGTTCGGCCTATTTTCCGATTTTTTTGCCATATGCCAGTTTCATCTCTGTAACTTAAGATGCTGTTGGAAGAAGTTGTCAGTCTGACAAGAGAGTCTATTAGCAAAGATAATGATGCTTGTCTCACAAAAGCACGACTCCTATGCAATTCCCACCAGAGCAGTTCCCTGCCTTGCTTTCCCAGCAAGCCACAGGTCGGAAGTCAGAATCCCACCAGAGTCTTTATTTTTCATATTTTTCATCCCTCAGGTATGATGATTGAGAGCATGGCTGGCAAGTCCAGCAGTCTCCACGGCCTGTGCCACGATGCCACGCCGTTCACATTCTCCGAAGACCAACCAGCCGTGGATTATTTCGGGAGACTTCTACGAGCCGGTAAATCACAAGAGAAATCTTAGCACCTTAAATAGCAACGAACATGTAGTCCTTTGCAACGTCAGGCCTTATGTGGAATGTACTCCAAATTTGGTGTAGTTTCACGGGACTTTCACGTCAGGTAGATAATGTAGTATCCTCACTGATAAATAGCCACAATCACAACTTACCCAAACCACTCTTTTTTTAAAGCTCCCAGATGTGGGTCAAGTTGATAGGGTACGTCTATGAACAAAAAATCCCTGTTTGTCCTTTATATAACGCCATGTTTTCTTTAATTACATAATCATCACAAAGACTAATAACATAAAAATGGTTGTGGTATTTTCCTTACAGATGCCCAAAAGTAGAATAAAAAAACACTGAAATCCATAAATATCATATGGGTCACAGCTTGTGCGAATTCTTGGCCGTGTAAAGCAGCTTAGCACAACAGACTGCTTAGTACAGACACTTACTGAGCACAAAAACTAAAAGTACATAAAAAGTTTTGCCAAGGAAAATCATGACACCAGCTAAAATACCCTGCCATGTCAATTGCTTGTGACTGAATCCCAGCCAATTGTTGCTTGGAACTTTCATTTACTAATATCTTCTGAGATCAAAGCCCTGTTTTTGTGAGGTAAGTAACCAAATAACATGTTGTTTTGTCTGAATGAACAGCTGGTTATAACTACCACGGCACAGAGAGAATGTACAGTGGAGCCACGGGGGTGGAGCTAGAGGCAGATATATTCGTGGGCGTCGTCTATTACCAGAGACTCAGACACATGGTCTCCGACAAGTTTCAGGTACACTTGAGCATTAATTTTAGAAAACAGATATTTAGGAAGTTCAAGCAGATTTTGTCACAACTCTCTCTTGCTGTCTCGATCCTGGTCCAAATACCACCTTGATCTTTAAATGAAGTCCGAAAAATGACCAGTATGGCAAAGCAGGTTGCTGCCATGATTAACTCGGCACAGGTTGATTTAAACACTCCTGGGCCTAAATACAGTAAACTCCGGTTAAACCGGCACTCTCGGGACCCGAGAATTTGTGACGACTTACGCGAATGCCGATATGCTATAAGTCGTCATTTTGCCGACTTACATGAATGGTCTTTTGCACACATGATTCATTGCACTAATTGGCTTCGATTTACCCTGGATTATCTCCTTAATGCTTGAGTTGAATCCAGCAAATTAATCCTCGAATTGTAGCATCACGTTTGGGGTATTGATAGTGGAGACCACGATACATGTGTACGTGCACAGTAACGAATTAAATTCGTGCGTGGTGGGGTATATACCACACATGCATTGACTGCAGCAGTGTAGTCATTCAATAAGACGACCCCCAAAATGGACAGAGCGCATGCGAAAAGCCAAGAGGGGGTACTGGTATTGATATGCTCACGATATGCGATGTATGCAGCAAAGATCCTACAGCGCCACGTAGTGGCATGCAGTAGGACACCCTTTTTCGACACCGATGCATGCAGCGATCACGGGCCGTGCGAAACCACTTTTCTCTGGACACTTTGCCAACCGCAGTATAGGAAGTCGTTGCCAATGCGTGATTTGTTGAATGCCAACTTACACAAAGGATTTTGTAATGCTATTTATGGAAAGGGGACCGAGAGTAACACGACGACTTGAGCGAAATGGCGACTTGTAAAAGTCGACTTAAGAAATAAAAAATTCAATGGAAATGCATTACGGACAATCGGGACTTTAGTCAGACGGCCGACTTGAGCGATTTGATGAGTTGTACGATGTCGGTTTAGCCAGAGTTTACTGTAAAAGATATTGCTTACCACACATACACTTAACAGGTGTGGATCAAGCTTTGGCTCAAGAGGGGGGGAGGGGTTTAGACCACCCAAACTCTCCCCTCCCCCATAGATTCGCCACACTCATTTCGGGGAGTCCGGTTGGCGTTGTGGTACTTTCCTCGCCTTCCACCACTGTGACCCGGGTTTGAATCCCGCCTGGGCCAACATGTGGATTGGGTTTTCCGTTCCGACCTGATTCTGTGGGTTTTTCCCAGAATCTTCTTCTGGGGTTTGCCTCCCACCTCTAAAAACTGTAGTTTCTTCTCATCGTCTTCTCTCTATAGCTTTCTTCAGGCTTGCGAACTACAGTGTGCTCTTGAGGATTCCTTGGTTTCATTACCAGAAATAAAATAATAATAATAATCAACAACTGCCAAACCAAGAATCGCATATTCTTTCAAGAGAACACTATCATTATACCAAACTCACCTGTTTGGACATTTTCCATTTTCACATTTGCCAGGTGCGTTCCACAGGGCCCATTGATGTCATCACCCATCAACCAATCAAAGGAAGGAGGCGAGCTGGAGGTATCCGCTTCGGTGAGATGGAACGAGACTCGCTCCTCGCTCATGGGACATCCTTCTTACTCCAAGACAGACTACTCAACTGCTCAGACAAGAGTATGGTAAGGAGTAACAATTAAAAAAGGATTGTTTTCTACCGAGTACTTACAGGGGGAGGGGAGGGGAGGATTGGCTTTGAAGTGAGGACATGTTCCGGTCCCTCCCCCATATTCTGGAATAAGCAAGTCGAAAATATTGTGAAATTGAGCTGTTTACGGAGTAAGTGCAGAATACCCCGCCACTCGGAAATACACCCCTAAAATCTCTGGCTACGCGGTTGGAATCACTGGAAAAGAAACCATTCAAGTCCATTGCCAGCTATGCGGATACTGAGTGGGGGTCCCCTTGAGAACGAAGCAACACAAAAGGAATGGGAGTTGCTGAAAAAATTATAAGTCCAAACCAAGTACCCTGTTGCCGGCTACGCGGCTACGAAGTGGGAGTCCTTATATGCTTGAGAACGATGCAACACAAAAGTAATGGGAGTTGCTGAAAAAATTCTAAGTCCAAACCAACTACCCTGTTGCCGGCTACGCGGATACGGAGTGGGAGTGCAATGGAGCATGACGTGTACTGAGTAGGCCTAGTGCTGAGAAGGTTTATTGAGGGCAATCAACCGTGACTCCGTAGCCGGCTACGAGGTGGATAGATCGAGTGGCGGGGTATTCTTCAATTGTGCCCCGTTTACTTTTTAGCTTGTTTTCACTGTCTTTACCTATTAATATTGTAGAATCATTGCGGACCTGATTGACAGTGAGGTTTACCATTTGTCCCCATTGAGGAAACCTTGGCATGCAGCCAAATATGTTGCATGTCATTTTACCATACTTCTAGAGCAAATTGCATCACTGGAATCCAAGATGGCGGCTTCCATATATGCAAAATTGTGATTGATTTTTTTTTACATTCCCCCTTCCCCCCACAGAGCCATGTGTGCACAAAGTGCGGCACCATCCTCGGAATAAATCTGGACAAGAGGAGTGCCGACCATGACGAAGGCATCAACAGCGCCCTCTTTGGATCAAACCAGAAATGGACCTGCAGCACGTGCCAGTCGGCCGACCACATCGACGTGATAACGATACCCTATGTTTTCCAATTCTTAGTAGCAGAGCTGGCAGCCATGAACGTTAAAGTCAAACTGGATGTCAAATGAGTTTTCTTCGGTGCATAAATCATGGGCCAAGTTTGGGCAAGGACCATTAGTCGACTAGTGGTTGATTTGTGACGTACCTTACACCTGCGCACTGATAGCAACGTGCGAACGTCCCTAGTCAAACGCTGGTAAAAATGTCATCGCAAAATTTCTGGATCCTGGCTCTCTGCTAGCGTTATGGATGTGCGCGGCTATTGGTTACCAGCGAAGCAACCAACCCCAGTAGGCTGGTTCCAAATAGTCGACTAGCGTAGTCAACCATCGTCGACTAGACAGAGTTCGGGCAAACGTTAGTTAACCATTGGTCAACTATAGTCCTTGCGCGAACTTGGCCATGGTACGGACTCTGAGGGGGTACAAGTACCCCCTCATTGGCAAGAAAGGGAGAGTTGGGGGAGACCACTGGAAGAGATATTCAAACACATTGCCAACAATGCCTGGTGCTCATGTATGCATTGCGCTATACGTACGCAAACCAGTATGCTCATGTGGCTCATCCTGACTGGGCTCTGGTAAGTGGTAAAAAAGCGCCCTCTCTGTTCACGCACTAAGCCCATGGAGACCATCACAGGGGAACCACGCGTGAATGATACATTGTCAATGGAGACCGACACTCATACCAAGATGCAATGGGCTTGTGCAGATCTGAGTGTTGGTGCTGCAGGCGCTACATCATTAATACCCTGCTCACTGGGCCAGTGAAACATTCCAAAGACAATCTCAGCTCCCTGGGGAGTATACAGCTCCATGCTGCCATTTTGGGGCAAAGCAGCTAAATCAACCATCTCTGCCGTCACAGGTACCCATTTGCTCCTGGGTGGAGAGAAGCAATGAGTGACAAAGTGCCTTGCCCACGGGCGCATGCACCACAACCTTAGGCTGGACTCGAACCCACAACCTGCAGAATTACCCGCAGACCACGAATTCAATGCTCCAGACCACGAGGCCACGGTGCTCCATAAACCATTAGTACCTAGTGTCTTACGCACCAACGACCTTGCACACATGATGTGTCCCCGTCACAGAGCTCTTGTGACTATAGACAAAGCACCACTAACTGGTCACACTTCAGTTGTTACAACCCTGCCATATATTCTTGTATTTGTACTATTGCTTACTATGAAATGGGGGCACAAGTTCGAGGACAAATGTTTTGCCCAGGTTTGGATTCTCTCTCGTCAGTCCTCTCGTTTTCTTAATATTATTTGACAATTGTGACGTGACTTTGTTAGTTTGTAAAGTGACTTTCTCAATTAATTTTCATAGTTGTCGAACCCTTTTTCTATTTTGTTGGCGGCATGTATATAGATGTACATGTGCAAGTATATACTTCCTCTCTTATTTAAATTTACATTTTGCTGGAATTATGAAATTAAACAAACTTTAAATCATAAATGTCCTTCATGCAGTCATGTATTGACAAATATCATGTTATAAGATGGAATTTTTTGCGCCGGGTTGATATAAATCAAATTAGGTTTTGCTCTTCACCGACGTTTTAAACACTGTATACTCAGTCTGATGTACATCAGATTCGAACCGGCCGGCCGATCCCGTTGGCTCGGTGGTCGAGTGGTGAGACATCTGCACTAGAAAGCAGGAGGTCGTGGGTTTGAGTCCCACCCGAGTGATTTTTTCCAACTTTCATCTCGGGAGGTAACACACTGAGTATACAGTGTTTAAAACGTCGGTGAAGGGCAAAACCTAATTTGTTGTGATGATTACCTAATTTTCTCGGTTTGATTTGCATGATGTGCAGCGGAATGACATTGAATATAACAGGCCTTTGAATTTAGTAAAAGATTCAGAATTTTATTTTGTGTTCGTGTCTTTCTTAATAGCCAACTTACAAGCCAATCTTCAACAAGTTGGAGCAAAAAAACCTGGGAATTGCAAAACATTAATTATTCAAATGGTATCCAAGGATAATAGCCCCTTAGGCCTATGCAATTATATTAATTTGATTGCTTTCATGGTCGTATATGCGCGCTCCATCTGCCGACATTAAAAATTAAAACATTAATTATGGAAGTCGCAGTAAAAGCATCGGTTCTTTTTGTTTGTTGAAGACTAAACACGTGTTTCCGTGGAAACCATTTTTTTTGACGAGCTTGTTGCTATAGCGGGGCCTAAATGGTTATTGACCTATCGCCGTTTGCGAGTTAGCCACGCCCCTAAAGACAACACTATGGAACTTTTAAAGTTGAGTTTTGTTTGTCTCATTTTGCGCGTTCCTCGTCCATTAACATATATAATTGAACAATATTTCACAAGCTGCGTTGACCCGTTGTACCGCGATATAGGTCTAGTCGCCTGGGTGGCGCATTGATGGACATAACTGGTTCTCGTCGTTTCAACGAGTTAACTTCTGTTGATTGAACATCGCAATCTACTCTCCAGAAGAGACATTTTTTAAAATTTTACTGCAAGTCGATAAAGATGTTGCTGGTGAAAGTGAGTTTCGTTTTGGCGATCAGTTCTGCGTTTTTGGTACTGTGGGGTTGGTGTGACTGCGTGCCCAAATGCTGCCCGTCAAAGTGGCTCTTTTGGCGCCGATCTTGCTACCGTCTCATCTCGCCTGCTAGCTGGGAAGCCTCCCGGTCAACTTGCGATGAGATGGGTGGGTTGATTGCCGCTCCCCATTCGCACGAGGAGAACGAATTCATAGCGAGAATGGCACAAATTGAGAAACACAATTATCGGTTGTGGATTGGATGCAATGACAGAGAGGCTGAAGGGGAGTGGGTTTGTGAGGGGCAGAAAGGAAAGAATTCCTTTCTGGATCAGAACTGGGACTTGGGAGAGCCGAATTCAGGATCATCAGAAAACTGCGCATTCACAAGGTGGCAAGCAAACGGCAAATGGCACGACGTGTCGTGTGATAGGCAACTCCATGCTGTCTGCGTTCGTGACGCAACGTGCGTCTCTCAGTCCAAGCATCCCCGTCACTACTGCGTGTCTCTCGATAACCGTGGCCGTCTCCTCAACTCCACCTGCCTCGTCGGCCGAGTCATCCGGGGCTTCGTTACCGACAGCTTCGGTGCCTGCGGCTCGGCATGCGTCGAGGATGGCGACTGTCGCTCCTTCAATGTCAGAAAGAAAAACGGAGAGAAATACTGCCAACTGAACAACTCTACAAGCTCAGATGATCGGGAGCAACTGCAAGACGTTGGGGCATTCTGCGTCTACTCGGAGATTTGTGAGAACTAGCCTTTGACAAGAACCGAGGAAGCTCGAAACAAGAGATAGACTTAAAAATTAATTCAAGAAACTTGCACTGAACTTTAGATATAGATTTGAACAATAATTGTAGACACTTTTTTGCACGTCATGTTTTTATGCCCCGCGGCGAAGCCGAAGGGGCATACTGTTTCCGCCTTGTCCTTCCGTGGGTGGGTGGGTGGGTGGGTGGGTGGGTGGGTGGGTGGGTGGGTGGGTGGGTGGGTGGGTGGGTGGGTGGGTGGGTGGGTGTGTGTGTGGGTGTGTGTGTCCGGACAAATCTTGTCAGCGCGATAACTTGAGAAATACTTAACATATGAACTTCAAATTTGGTTTGTGGATTGTTCTTGGTAATCCTAAGAAGCCTTTCGCATTTGGGGCCAAAAGGCCAAAGGTCAAGTTCACAGTGGCTAAAACAATAGAAATCTTGTCAGCGCGATAACTTGAGAAATACTTTACATGTGAACTTCAAATTTGGTTTGTGGATTGTTTTTGACAATCCTAAGAAGCCTTTCGCATTTGGGGCCAAAAGGCCGAAGGTCAAGTTCACAGTGGCTAAAACAATAGAAATCTTGTCAGCGCGATAACTTGAGAAATACTTTACATGTGAACTTCAAATTTGGTTTGTGGATTGTTTTTGGCAATCCTAAGAAGCCTTTTGCATTTGGGGCCAAAAGGCCAAAGGTCAAGTTCACAGTGGCTAAAACAATAGAAATCTTGTCAGCGCAATAACTTGAGAAATACTTTACATGTGAACTTCAAATTTGGTTTGTGGATTGTCCTTGGCAATCCTAAGAAGCCTATTGCATTTGGGGTCAATAGGTCAAGTGTCAAGTTCACAGTGGCTAAAACAATAGAAATCTTGTCAGCGCGATAACTTGAGAAATACTTAACATATGAACTTCAAATTTGGTTTGTGGATTGTTCTTGGTAATCCTAAGAAGCCTATTGAATTTGGGGCCAAAAGGTCAAGGTTCAAGTTCACAGTGGCTAAAACAATAGAAATCTTTTTTTTATTCTGAGATTATAGGGATTAGGGATTAATTCATATAAAACCTACAGAAGACACTAATGCTGTCAATGAATGTTCCATGTGACCAAGGTACATGTAAGTTGATGTTAAAAGAGTGGTGTTATGTCATGGGAACAGTCACGGTTGCGGGGCATTTGTGTTTGTAAACACACCTGACTTGTTTGACTCTGTGCTTCAGTTTATTTTCACGTGGTGACTGAAAGTTAGAAGAACAAGTTTTACCTCTAATTGATATTTTCGTCGATTTGAATAGAACACTTACTGAACTGAACTCTTAAATAATTGTTTGGCAGTTTTGAGTGCCATGGGAGAAGATTGACAGTTAATGGAGAAAATAAATAATTTTCAACAATTTCATCACTCCATCGATTTGGAAAAGAACTGACAAATTTCAAAGGCCATTTGATTACCAAGTCGAAACATGCCTTTGTGGAAACCAAACAATTATGACTTTATCGCAAAAAATGAGTAAAGAACAGTAATTTCAAAATAGAAATCAAGTGACTCAAGGACAGACATTTGGACTTAGAACTTGCCCTGTTGCACGGAATGCATAGTGAACCGAAAGCTACAGTTCAAGGAAAGCAAATCAACTATTGAACTTTAAAAAACGTAATTGTAAATATAGTCCATTCACATTTTTTTTCGCACAATTTTGATCAAGATTGCACAAACGTAGCACTTCACTTTTTTAAAATACAGGATTTTCCTGATAACATTTATTTATTTCATTAAATGAAGCACTAATAATACCAAAAAAATTGTTTAGATGTTATGAAACATGCCGAGGGATAAAATCTGAATCAAAAGGATGATGACCAAAATCCTTCCTCGTTTCCCTTTAAGCCACCCCCCCCCCATTGGCCCCGCCCCTTCAGGAAATAAATTTTCTTGAAACACAATGATGAAACCGCCTATACAGGTTGAGTATAAAAAAAACCCCGAAACCCAAATAACAGGACCAATTTTTGAATCAAGTTTTGCCTGTAGCACTTTCAAAATCTAGGATATGAAAGCCCAGTCATTAAGCTTTCTTTAAGTACAAGAATCATTCAAATCACCCATGTACTTTTCAAGTTATGGAATTTTGAACACAAACAACGTTTTAAAGTTCTGTCCACGGATCACAAAAAAGTGAAAGTGTTCTTTCAGCAAAACGAAAACAATTCTTATTGGGATGCATGTTAATTGAAAGTAGGTGAGTGATTTGAATAATTCTTGTACTAAAAGAAAGCTCATTAATTGGGCTTTCATATCCTAGATTTTGAAAGTGCTACATGCAAAACTTCATTCAAAAATTGGTCCTGTCATTTGGGTTTCGGGTGTTTTTTTTTAACTCGCCCTGTACCTGGCTCTAACACGAGTAATTAGCCATGGATAAATAAGAAGACAAAAACAACCACCCATTATAGGCTGCAGGATTAATGGATTCAATATTAATTGTCGCATGTCATTCATAATTAATCGCTTTTTTTTAGCTGATAAAAAAATGCCTTGGACAGTATGACAACTTACCGTACTGCATGCACGCATATACTAATCTTTCCTTTTTATGGGGAAATTATTCGGCACGTCTGTCAGCACACAGCACAAAGTCTGAGGTATTTACCAGCACGTTATAAACTTTGGAATCATGGTACATTTTTTTCAGCAATGAATCAGATAAAAGAGAGCTGATAATCTTATTTCTGTGAATGTTTTTTTTTATCGATACATATTCTAATCTCGGAGCGCACAGTATAGTTTCGGCAGAAATATTGCAGTTATGCCGAACATGAGAAGCTTGGAGATAAATCAAGTGATCAATCAAATTTTTATCTCATCATAATTGATCAGTGACACGAAAGTTTCAGTGTGTTTTACCAGATATAAAAACTTCATTTATTATGTCTCTACAGAAAAAAAATATATATAGGAAGAAATTTGTCATGGCGGACGTCGTATTCTAATAACTTGTTGTTTTCGTTTAGCGTGAAGTCTTCTTTGATACATTGAAAAAATGATAAATGTCTTTCAAGGCAGCGTCAACAAATGCGACACTTTCAAAATCCTGGGCAATGCATCAGTAATTCTTGACGGTATGTTTCTTTTGTCTTAACTTGTTGTAGAACTGATAAGCATAAAATAGCATATTATATTTGAACATATCTGATTTCAGAGTTTTTCGCAAATACATGTACAATGTACATGTAAGACTGGAACAGTGACAGAAAATGGATTTGTGTGTAAAAAGGTCACGGTACAGGGTGTTATGTGTACAATATAAGACATTTGTGAAACTGAAAGTGTTGGTTCATGATGATGTACTGGGTCATGTTATCAGTGCGGGGTCCACTATTTTTCCCTGCCCCTGTTTTATCTGACATCTAAGATTTTGTAATTCTTAAAAAGGTGCAGGATGTGTAAGACATCCCCATTTTGTGAAACTGAAAGTGTTGGTTATGTACTGGGTCATTCTATCAGTGTTGGGTCCACTTTTTTTCATGTTCCTAACATCTATGATTTTGTGATTCTGATGCACTCCTTAACGCAGACATCCTCCAAGAACAGCAAACTGTCTACCTGAATGACAAGTTAGGTAAAATTGACTGTTCAGAAAAAAAACATATCGCACTTTGGACCCTTTTTTATTAAATGGCCCAGTTGCATGACAGCGTGGAGTATATTTATTTCACAACATGCTGTGAAGAGAACGCGCCCACACTGCATTTGCATATTTTCGCGTCCCATGGGACGTGACCTCTCCTAGCTCTATGGTGTAAACTAACACTCCGCCACCCTACTGGGGTCATCACAGAATCGATATACATTGTATTGCCCCCCTCCATGCCCAAGTGAACCTGCTTCATAGTCGACGTACAGTGGGTGGGTCTCTGCATGTAGAGGTCAAAAGTGTGGCGACCAAGGAGAACGGCTGTGTGTATCACCATAGACTAGAGCAAGACTGTACATGTAGATTGAGGCTTTTTGAGCACAGATCATACTTCATAGAATTAAGCCCTTCGGCTTTGCCATCATCTTGTGATCTACTCGCAATCATGTCCTGCTTCACTGCTTGCTGCCGAGGAGGGTCGTCCACTGACGACACAGACGGTGAAACGGGAGTGAAGTTGATGGAAGGGAAATCAGATGACAACTTGGCAGGAACCCACTCCAAGTACACGATCTTGGTCAAGACGGGAGACCGTAAAGGCGCTGGGACGGATGCCAACATCTTCATCATCCTCCACAATGAGAACCAAGTCGCCTCCAAGGAGATCAAGTTGGATAAGCTCTTTCGCGATGACTTCGAGAGAGGCAAGACAGACGAGTTTAAGACCAAACTACCTGCCGAGTTCGGCGCCGTGGCGAAGATAGAACTTTGGCGAGATGAAAGCGGTGCTTTTGACCCGTGGTATCTCGAGAAAATCGACATCTTCGAGGTTCCGAAGGAGGGTGATAAGAAGGGGCCGTACGTGTTCCCCGTCCATCGGTGGATCCCAGCCAAGAAGAGGGTCATGTTTCATCAATTCGACTCGATGCTGCCTCAGAATGATCCTCTTAAAGACACCCAGAGGAAGGAAGAAATGCAAGAAATACGGGAGACTTATAAGTTCACGAGCCAAGCTCCTGAGGCTGGGCTACCATGTCAGGTACGTGCACAAACATTCCGTTGGGGGTGGGGTGGGGTGGGGAGGGGGTAGGACAAGAGTATACCCCTTTTCGCACGTGGGAACGTTCAAGGAGGGGTCGGACAAGGGTCGAGCAAGGGTCAGTCCCCCGCTCAGAACTGGGTAAAGGAAACATTGACTGAAGCTAAGAGTTAATGACAAATCCATATTGCTCAAATAACATGTAAATGACAACGTGGATTCCACTGCGTCTATCCATGTCCTGCAAATAAGATCAAAGTTTCGTCATTGCCAATAACATTATAAATTGAAGTGCTTCTAAATTACGTAAAGCCTACGTTTGATTTTCCCCTCATGTGGTCATTAATTGCACTGTTTCAAGACCAGGTGTGGCATGAAACAATAGGCCTCTCATAGCTCCATTGTTATACAAGTGACGTCATATCAAGGCATCATGACGTCCGCGCAC